ATTACCAGATATTCAAAGTATTCATATTGAAAGGTATGTAGATCAAGATGATTTGACAGCCAATGATAGGAAGTACACACTATTGTCACTTCCTGTGAAAGCTTACCCATTAATGAAGGCCGCTTTCTCTAGAAAGATATAGAAAATTTGAAAATTTTTGAAATAGCTCTATTTTTTCTTGGCATACAAGGTTCATGTACAACATACATCCACTCTTCTCGGGGTGAAACTGGACACCATGGACATTTCCCCTTCTGACAGATGCTATAAAATTATCGCCATAATTACTAGTTGATGATACACAATCTCCATTATCATCTGACTAAAAGAAGTGATGAAGGTTTAAGCTAAGTTTCTTACATGCAAAAGCAAAAATTAAAGTTTCAACAATGAAAGAGAGAAAATTGCACCAGTGTTGCGCGATAAGAATGAACAAACTAAACGTGATGCTTCCCAATTTCATCAAAGATCCCTGAAGCTTTTGTTATTTCAAGTGCACTCCGCCCAATATGAGGTACTCTGATTCCTTTAGATGAATCAAAACACCCAACTACTCCAGGAATTAGACCAAGACCTTTTACTGGAAAACATTATGATAAAGTAAAAATGGAATGTTTTGTTAGAGAGAGTTTCGTTTAGACCAGTTACCTTGTCCATTCTCCTTACTTGACTCAAAAAGAAGCTGCATGCCAGGATTGGACGGTATTGCTTGATATAAGTATAAAGAGCTTTAGTCATTCTGCATAAATTCTCATAAAAACTTGAGTGCCTTTGGCACTTGGACCAGCAAAGTATAGTGTTCAAGAAAAGTAAGTGCAGAAAATTCACCATCCCCAACCACCTCCAAAAAATTATAAAAACAAAAACAAACAAACAAAACAAATATGTAATTGACCAATGAATGCCTCACTAGTCCCTATCAATCAATAGGAGTACCTTGTACTAGAATCCTACCCCTTCTTGTTGAGCACATCCATGGCAATATCAAAGTAACCTGTGGTGCTTGTACCTAAATAGATGCGAAGAAAATAAAAATAGGAGAAAAAGGAAATGTGCAAGTACGGTCCAGCTTCCCTATCTAGTTACTTGAAATGACAATAAAATCTCAAAGAAACAAATCAAGTACTGTGAAGTGTGAGTTTATATTGTGTTGTGAAGAAAATTGAAATTCATAATTTCTAGTGAAATTCTAAAGTAGAAATGATTCGAGAAACATATTTAAAAATAGATTACATCTTTAACGTCAAGGCCGAAAAACCAAATTGCATTTGAGACTCCGGACATTTCCAGTGCCATGATCGAGCAAAGTTACCACTATAAAAGCATGAAAATTAAATAGTAAAATTGAAGGAAAAAAAGAAGTAAATAGCTCAATATTTATCATTAACTAACATCATTATAGAAGACGTCTCTCCATTTCTTCACATGAAACTACAAACATATCAATGGATTATATACACACCGCGTGGATGAGAATTACAGGAATCCTCTAGCCAGTAGCAGAGGAGCGGATGGAGAGGCAGCTGGAAAGTTTGAATTTGAGAGCGGTACTATTAGGCTTGAATAGACCTAGAACCGGCGGAAGAAGAAAATTTTCCAGCGGTTCCAAGTTGCGAGCTCAAGTAAATCAGTAAATGCGCTGCCTCCATGCAGTTTAGCGCCATCTGTTTTTATGGTGGTTTAAGGCTTTAAGCACAATTTGAGTGAGTATTATTTATGTATATAAAGTGTATAATAATTTAAAATTTAAATTTTTTTTATTTAAATACTAAAAAATATTATTTTATATATTATTGAATAATATATTTTTATATATTAAAAATATATTTTGTATAATAATGTATTTTTTCTAATGGTGCACGCACGATGAGGGGCTGCTAATTATTGACAAATTATATCGTGCATCGCAATGCATAATCGATTATGCCCCGCGTACAAAACGACGTCGTTTTGTTAAATGAAAAGAAACGTATTAGTTTTTTCGTCGTTCTGCACCCTTCCGCAAAAAGTAACTCTGTTATTAAGTTTTATTTTGTATAATACACTGCAGTTTCAGTTCAACACAACTACAGTTTCATTCAATATTTAGAGACTCAAATATGTAAAAATGTTATTTAATTTTATTTTATATACACTATAGTTTCATTAAAACACAACTACACGATCATTTCAATATAATTACAGCTTCATTTTACAATATACACTCAAAAATGGGAAATGTTATTCAGTTTTATTTTATATACACTATAAATTCATTTCACCACCACTACAGTATCATTTTGATATAACTGCAGTTTCATTTGATAATATAAAAATAATACGTGAGGCAGTGTCCGTTTAGATATACTGTAGTGTCAGGTGTTTAATACACCAAACATTCAAACTCCGTTAATAGTAACAGCAAACCGTTTCTTTATTTAAAAAAAAAGGGTGCCGTTTTTAACCGCAGCGGTCTACGATATAGTGACTGCTAATGATTCCAACCGGCAGTTGACTTACGGGAAAAAGTTTTATGTACCAAAGAAAAGAAAATTGCTGACCAATGACCATATTCATTTCAAGGCCCGATGAACTTGTTTGAAGCCCAAATTTGATCCATAATATTGTTCGTAAGCAGCCCAATTAATGTTACCCATGGGCCATGGCCATATGGGAGTGTTATGCTGTGTAACTCATATGGTGTACACGGTTGTAAAAACAACGTCGTTTTGATGTATGATTTAAAAAAAAAAATATTGCATAACCACACATCCATAACTTCATAACTATACATCCAGAATGAAATAAGAGTCAAATAGGCCATCCAAATGCACACCAAAATACAATTAGGTCATTGAACTAAAAAAGAATGCAATTGAGCCATTGAACAACACAAAAAAAAAATGCAATTTAGCCCAAAATGACTTGTTTACCTGATGTAGCAAGTTACCGATTTTAAAATTAATTTTTTAAAATAATTTTTAATAAATAAATAATTAAAATATTAAAAAAAAAAAAAAACAGAAACTACCTGCCGGTGATGAATTCGTCTCCATAGCCATGGAGACGAAGGTCTTTGTCTCCATGGCTGGAGACGGAGGTTCGTCTCTGGCCATGGAGACAAAGCCGGCTGGAGACGATTCGTCTCCAGTTCTGTTTTTTTATTATATAAATATTTTAATTATTTATTTATTAAAAATTATTTTTAAAATTGGTAACTTGCTACTCTAGGTAAACAAGTCATTTTGGGCTAAATTGCATGTTTTTATGTTATTCAATGACTTAATTGCATTCTTTTTTAGTTCAATGGCCTAATTGCACTTTGGTGTGCTGTTGAGTGGCCTATTTGACCCTTATTCCCATCTAGAATTGCATAACTACACATCCATAACTTCATAACTATAAATCCAGAATTGCATAACTACACATCCATAACTTCATAACTATACATTCATAATTGCATAACTACACATCCATAACTTCATAACTATAAATCCAGAATTGCATAACTACACATCCATAACTTTATAACTATACATTCAGAATTGCATGCATAACTTCATAACTATACATTCAGAATTGCATGCAAAACTTCATAACTATACATTCAGAATTGCATAACTACACATCCATAACTTCATAACTATACATTCAGAATTGCATGCATAATTACACACCCATAACTTCATAACTATAAATCCGGAATTGCATAACTACACATCTATAATTTCATAACTATAAATCCAGAATGTGAAATTATAAAATTATGAATATATGTTTACGTAACTAACGACAATCGAAAATATTTTTTTTATTTTATTTAAGTAAAACGACACCATTTTTGCATCCGTGTGCACCATGCACGGCATAATTTACCGGCCATATGCCCATAATCTCACATAATAATGAGGTGATCACCAAATTAGATCAATTTTGAATATATATATATATATATATATATATATATATATATATATATATATATATATATATATATATATATATAGGGAAGGGTTCAAGTGCGGGTATAGCTTCTCGTGCGGTTGTGCGGTTAGATCTGAGCTGTTAATCAAATTTAGATCAACGGCTCAAATCAATAAAAATTTTTTAAAAAAAAATACGTGTCGGCAAGAAGATAGCACCTACACAGCGTCTACACGAATGTTAGCGTCTACACATAGCGTCAGCGTCTACACAAATGATAGCGTCTGCACAACCTCACGCACATTAAGTACAAACCCCACACACATTAAGCACAGCCTCACGCACATTAAGCACAAACCCCACACACTTTAAATATTAACTCACAGATTTTACGTTTGAACAACTATTGACCCTCACGCACATTAAGTACAAACCCCACAAACATTAAGCACAACCTCACGCACATTAAGCACAAACCCCACGCACTTTAATATATTAACTCAGATTTTAAGTTTCAACAACTATTGACCCTCACGCACATTAAGTACAAACCCCACACACATTAAGCACAACCTCACGCACATTAAGCACAAACCCCACGCACTTTAATATATTAACTCACAGATTTTAAGTTTCAACATTAAGCACAACCTCACGCACATTAAGTACAAACCCCACACACATTAAGCACAACCTCACGCACATTAAGCACAAACCCCACGCACATTAATCACAGATCCGCTCACCTTAATTTTGACCAACATGCAAAAATTACAAAATTACCACCGAGTTTTTTTTAAAGACAATATTATGTAAGAGAAGGTTATCAAGATAGTAAAAGACCATAAGGAGGGAGTCACTCTCATCAAAATTCATTTAATATTGAAACACATAACATAAAGACTAAAGCAGGTAAAGTATGATTTATACTGTGTGTGTATATAATTCATTGAGATGTATGTATTATTTAGGAAAAGAATTGAACTGTTGAAGGCTCTAATCGTATGTATATATATATATATATATATATATATATATATATATATCATAATATTAGTGTATATGTAACACTTCATATTGAGTTTATTAGCATCGTATTCCTAACAAATTAAATCATTTCATACGAATTGAAGTTTATTACAATCCTCAGCTCTTAGCTTCTTTCTTATTTTTGGATAGCAACATCATATCATCATGTGATAAAAATACGTTTTCATATAGAAGGTCCGGTGTAGCGCAGCTAGAAAAGCAAGTTAAAGTGCATATTTTTTGAAGGCTTCCAGTGGCGTTTCCTTTGGTTGATGAACCAGTTGTTAATTTGTTTTCTATCCAATCCTGTTGATGCTGCCAAAACAACCTTCTCTGCTTCCTGCATCATATATATATATATATATATATATATATATATATATATATATATATATATATATAGACATTTGCAGATCAGATATTTCAACTAATGTCATATCTGCAACTAACGTAACAGCATTGATCACACTGCAGCTAGCTATGCTAGGCGCGCTATTAATAATTCACAAAAGAAGCATTATTACTGTACTCTTAGTTATTTTTTTAATAGCGCAGCTTAGTATGTATTATTGATATCATATATATGTTTGTAAGTACCGTTGGGTAAGGCCAATTGTAATGAGCAGACCACCAATTCAGCAATGCCTCTCTTGCATGCTGAGAGAGTTTTCCATTCTTCTTCCACTGCGAAAATTCTTGCTTTAGGGAACTCATATATTCTCCATACTCCCGCATTAGTCTCTCCTTAATTTCGTGATCCCCAATACTACTTGATGATGATATTGGCATCGTCTTATCAGCCCCGCCTACAACCAACAACATATATGCATGCATCATCATCGTATCATGTCTTAAAGCTTGCTACCTAGCTTCCCCCGTGCTTAATGTGCTTTGTTATGTGTTTAACGTGCGTAGTTTATGTACTTAAGGTGAGTAATTTGTGTTTTAAGGTGCTTTGTTTGTGTGCTTAAGGTGCGTGGTGATTGTGTATTTAAAGTGCGCTATTTTAATGGTGCGTCCAACCACCCCACGGGAAATCATATCATTCCCGCACCTGAATCCTTCCATGCATATATATATATATATATATATATATATATATATATATATATATATATATATATATTCCTCAGGAAAGGCCAACTTTGATTAACATTAATTAAATGAATGGGATAATTATATTAATATTTAGTGATAAAATATTTTGAGTAATCTCGTCTAAGTGAATGAATTGGATTCATAAATCGATTAATTTATTATTCTTGATCGAATTAAGTCACACAATATATATATATATATATATATATATATATATATATATATATATATATATATGGTTAAGGAAGACAAGCAAATCAGATCCTAAATATTGAAGTAATTAACATGACAGACCGGCTAACTTGAAATGAAAATGTTAAAAAATATATACATGCATATATATTATAAATAAAACTTATCTATCCAGCAGATCAGAGCAGCTAGCGCAGCTACCTGCTTTAATCATCTTTCATTCTGGCATCATATCACATGTGCTCATACAAGATTCCTCTTGTTATCCAATTAATCAGCAAGATGGGACTTTAGAGAATGGGATTAACTTTGAGTTCAGGTGCTACTTTGGTACTTTAATATATATACACACCATACTATACATAAGAGATCTGTGTGCAACTGCTATATATATCTATATATATATATGTGCGCGCACTATATTAATTAATAAATTAAACTGTACTTACTGTTGTTTTTCTGACAAATTATATAAAAGATTGCACTATTCAACTGACAACTTTGTACTTACAATTTATTGGTCGTTGAGTTGATTCATCAACTTTTCAATTTTCGATCAGATTCTTAATTTATTTATAATATAATAATGCGTATGTGTACAGTTAGCTAATTAATTAACTGGAACCTTAACTGTAATGTACTAACGCTGCGGGCGCTTAGGCTTAGCTTATACGGAGTACGTACTTAATTACTTAGCTAGCTAGGTTTTGAATTGGTTAGTTCCTGAATATAATATATATAATGATGAGCTGAGCTAGCTAAAATGCATCATATAATATTATATGGATGTCCTTTAATTTAATTGGTATCTAATTAATGCAATATAATGGTAAATAAACACTCTAGTTAGTCCTAACAAACTATAATATGTACGGAACATTACCTAATAAATGCACACTATGGATCGGAGTAATGATTGTGTATATAGAATTCTGATCTTAATTGAAACTAACATATATATATATATACATTTGGCAGCGCGGATCGGAATTAAAACATCACATCCATCTGATCTGAGTACGTACGTACCTGATGAGATGATGTTGTGGGTTGTAGCGCTGCAAAGGTTGTGGAGTTGGGTTTGCATATTGCTGATGAACTCATTTGCTTCAACGAATGGCCTTTCAACACAACACTTGTATTTCACTAATACATCACAATAAGTTTCCTACACCAAATTAAAAACCAACGAAATTAGATATGAGCTGAGCTGAGTAGAGTAGTAGATCTATCCATCCTGCAGCCTCCCCGCCTGCAGTATATATAAATTAATTTAATTTCAAAATGTAGTGTCTTCAATTCGTCAGATTATTTTTGATCACGCATGCTCTAAAACTGCCTGCCCTGCTTGCATTGCTTAGCTTTAATTTAGTCATTCTCAGCGCGCGATCAATTTATGAGATTTCACTCTCTCATCGATCGATCCATCCAGCTAGCTCACACACACAAATGTTAATTAATTAAGGTGCGTGACTGATCGATGTAGATGAAACAGCTAGAAATGTTATGATTAATTAATTAAGAAGCTAGCAAGATAGTATAGCCAACCATGAACTCATCCAGCTCGGGATCGGAGGAGAAACTTGTTGTTCCCCTACTAACATCTTTTTCATTGAGAATACCATCCATCTCTTCAGCTGGGGCTCCAACCTACAAACCAAACGGATTAATTAAAGATCAATCACGGCGTTAATTAGGGTTTAGTGTACTATAAGTACTATACGTACAGTATGATATATTCCGATTAAATTAAAGTCCAATTTAATTAATACTACTAGCTAGCAAGGAATCAATTCAATTAAGATCAAAGCAAACTTAATTAGGTAGGGTACGTTTAATTACCTTGTAGAAATCGATGTAAGCTTGGAGGAGCTTAGGGTAAAGAGGGTGAGAAGAGATTTTGTGTTTTAAACAGTACTTGCTGCTGCTATTAGTAGTAGTAGCCGCAGCTGATGTCACCGTCGTCGTCATCAGTGGTTCTGGTTGTTGATGATGATGAACTTCTTCTTCCTCTTCCTCTTGATGGACTACTACTACTCCCCAATTCCTACTATTACTGCTGCACCACCTGCGGCCTCCCACCTCAGGCGGCGGTGAAGATGACAGCTGTGTGCACGGCGGCGATGAACCCCCGGCCCCCAATTCAACTACTCCTTTTGCACCATACTCCGATGATCCGGAGGAGAGGAATCCCGCCATCTCTGCACAACAACTACTACTTACTGCACCATAATAATAATAATCGTCGTCACTGCTAAAAGACGACCTCACTCCGTACATTTCCTCCATTATATTCTATCATCAACATATATATTTGTATTATTATAGGGCTATCACTCCTCCCTCAATTTATATATATATAGTTGATTAGGTCTTCATCTCAGTTCCTAGCCTACCTACTGTATGTTGGCTGGGTGGCTTAATTAATTAGCTAGGTTAGGAGCTGAGTGACAATAATTTACCCTTAGCTTAAAACATACAGGCCGGAATCATATTTTAATTCTACGAATAATGATGCATGGACGGTAATAATCATGTTTTAGATTTGCGCCAGCCCAGGTATAGTAGTCTACGTTTTACTTTATTTGAGATGGATAGAATTTGTTACTTTTATTCAAAGTTAATAAAAATTGAAGTTTTTACAACAGTTGAAAATTAAATGAGTACGTAAATGTGCAGTGCGTGTGTAATCCTGATGTATATGAGGCCCCGACACTAATAGGGAAAAGGGTCAAATAGACCCTTGGAGTAGTGTCATTCAAACTTTGGGCCTCTATATGAAGTGTAGTTATAAATTAATTTGACGTTCCCTATTATATATCTATTAACTAAGTTAATTAAGTATATCAAATGGTTGTAATTGTTATTATCAAATTGTCGCTCGATTTATTTAACACTAATTTAACGGAATAACAAACGGAGGACTATATTGAGTAAAAACACAAAATTTAAAGACTACATTGGGTCACAAAAGTCGTTTAGGACAAAATTGAGAAAAATCAGAACCATTTTGTGTATTAACTTCATTCTAAAGTTTCCTAAATTAAACTATTCATAGTCATAAATTGTTTTTTTTATTATTATTATTACAAAGGAAGGGGGAGATCCATATATACAATTTACGCCTATACCAAGGCTTGAACTCTAGACCTACACAAATCGTTTAGGACAAAATTGAGAAAAACCAGAACCATTTTGTGTATTAACTTCATTCTAAAGTTTCCTAAATTAAACTATTCATAGTCATAAATTGTTTTTTTTTTTTATTACAAAGGAAGGGGGAGATCCATATATACAATCTACGCCTATACCAAGGCTTAAACTCTAGACCTACACAAGGGAACAACTAGATACTAGTGGACCACAAACCACTTGGTATACTAATAGATTGGTTAACTTCAATTCACTGTATATATGAATTAAACCAAATAATATAATGCATACAAAATGTATATAATAATTAAATATAAAACGAAAATACAAATCAAGAGGTAATTTTATTATTATTATTATTTAAAAAAAAAAACTAAGTTACAAAACTCTTAAAATCATATATCTTCTTGGTCTGGTCCACAATATTGTCCATTATATATATTTGTCACAACATGCATGGGATGATGTACATGAGTGGAGCTAAATTAAATAAATAATTTTCCCAGTGAGCCAAACATTCTCCCATTCGATTTTAATTAATTAATTCTCCAAATGGAAGAATGCATTAGTACGATCTATAATTTATACTTCCCCAGAATTTAAGAATACCTTTTATTATTCTTAATCAACCTAGCTGATCATTATTAATGCATAGTGGATATTAAAAATTGCATCCACTCAACCTAGGATACAGTACCTGCACTAGTAGCCGTTGAATGATCATGTTTTCCTTATTTCGCAATAATAATAATAATAATAATAATAATAATAATAATAATTATTATTATTATTATTATTATTATTATTATTATTATTATTATTATTATTATTATTATTATTATTATTATTATAAAGTGATATTGACTATGATTTTACACATATATATAATTAGCAGGTCCGAACCAAGGTGCACTATGTATATAGTTTAATTTATATATTGATCAGTAATATACAACCAAATGATATATATCACAAAAACAGTTTTTGGGCTAGGAATTTATTCACGATTAGATAACAATGTAATATATATAAGAATTTTTTAGTTTGAGACGTTTATGAATAATAATATACACTTGAATTGGTGGAGATTATGATGAATTATATTCTATTGATGATGATGACACATGCTAACTAGCTGGCTAGCCATTAACATATATGTTATGAAAAGACCTTTGGATATGTATGCGTTATGCATGAGAGCTAAACTAATTAATTAAGCTTTAACAATGGCCACTTCGTTTCAGACAAGGGTAGCCCATCAAAAGTTTGGGCCTTCCTTGAATTGGTCCATTTTATCTCATATTACCTCAGCTCCCAAGTAACCAAGTTAGGCAAATTATATCGTTGTGTGCATGTGTGCCCACTGCACGATTTGACCCAAAAGGCCAAAACGACGTCGTTTCTATAAGTTGGTAGAATTAACGCGAAGAACATTCGTTTCGTCTGTCCAATTCCGTTACAATTTTATGTTAAGAGTTCATGCATATTATGTTAAGAGTTCATGCGTATTATGTTAAGCGTTTAAGTGTATTATATGTAAGAGTTTACGTGTATTATGATAGGAGTTTATGTATGTGTATTCTACGGTACAATTCTGTACATACGAAACAGAGATTTTTTTGGGGCGCACGATATAACAATGGCCCAAGTTAAGTGACTTATATTGTGTGATTGTATATTTTATAAGGTATGATCCATTGATCCATTAAAGTTTTTCTTTTGTATAATAAAAATGTAAGATGACAATGGAATTTTTTTAAAAAGAAGCTGTTTAAGTCAAATTTGATAAATTGTGTGATTGAAACTATGTTTAGATGGTCAATTTTGATTAACTTTTGTGTAGTATTATCAATATTATTGAAAAGGATAATATGTATTCTTGTGTGATTGCACATATACATACAAACACATAGACTTGAGCAACAAGTATTAATTTTAATCTAAAGCGGATTAAAGTGTCACGAATATATTTAAATATGGGGTGATCTTAAACTAGCTTAGGCAATGATGTATGAACCAACTCGTTTTTTTTTTTTTCTTTCATTTGGTTACTAACCAAATTAAAAGTACTGAAAATTTGATACTTACAATCCAAAACATGGGAAACCAACAACACATACAATTTTCCTACCTCTTCCCTAAATGCTCAAGAAAGTAATCTGTCCATCCAACGAAGAACTTGATCTGAGCCCAAATTTGTGCGTGCAATATCTATATTCATAGTATGTTATGATAAGCACATCCATTTTATTTAATTTGAACCACTCAAGAAGTAAATCCTATGAGCTTAATTGGGTTACGTTTGATCGGATCGGGGAACCACAAATCCACAATGCAAGTTGAGTCTGAATTGAAGCACCTATACTACCACGCAACATTATTTGGAATTCTCAAGAAAAATGCAAAGGCAAGTAGTCCTGCAAAAAAAAAAAAAAAAAACATTAATAAGTTGCAGGTGTTGAGGCATTGAAGCTAGCTAGCTAGAAAGCAAATCGTGGTCAAAAAGCAAGCTGGCCATACCGGCTGCTAGAACATCCACTAAGGACCATGTTTCTCTAGTACTGGAAGCCGACTGAATTGCAGCTGCTGCAGAAAGTACACTTAGGTTAGATTCGATATTGGGCGGGACTAATGAATGAATATTAATTATATATAAACAGATACTGTCCTATAACATAAATCAGTAATACTAAAAAAACTTAATTAATTACCTGAATTATCACAATTTGATGTAGAATTCCAGGTGGCACACATGCACACATTGGTATAATCACCAACTTCATATCCACAGGATCCACCGGTTGCTTCACAGGCTTTACAAAAAATGTCATCCCCTTGCACAGAGAACTTCACTCTGATCCCATACGACCACTCATCCGCCCCACTCACTCTCAAGGGTGCAACACTATATGCACTACTATATCCTTGGCAATCAAGCTTGCTCAAGTTTATAGCCTTTATCGTTTCAAATGCCACTGCGCAACATTCTGGAGGGCCCGACCCGTATACCGGGTGCCCCGTCCTGCTCTTTGCTGCTGGCCCAATGATGTTCCACCCCGGACACCCGTAGTAGTCTTCACACCCCATGCCGGAAACGTTCCGGCAAGGCAAGTGCTTCCCGGGAAAACCTTGGAACAGTGGGGACTCAGCGGAGCAACCTAGGAGCATGAAGACGTTGTCGGAGGTGGGCTGGAGGTATGTGGCCCGCCACGGCTCAACCACAAAGCCGTTGCCTCGGCGGCCCAGCACGATTGCGCCGCACGTTGACATGTGAGGATCGTCGAGGGCCAGGGATTGGTAGGCGTAGTCTATGTCCAAGACGCGATAGGAGCCGGAGGTAATATGGAGCATTAGGACATCATTGATGCAAAACAATAGGTCCCGATATCCGGGGTGCCCACATCCTGATTGCAGGGCGAACGGGTAGTCAACCGTCAAGTTCCCACAATAGGATCTACAACTATATGCATGCCCGCCATTATTGGATTGGGTGGAAACTACCATGTGTAGTAGCAGTTGCAGGAAAACAATAACAGTAGAGAAGAACACCAAATCCATTAGGCCAGCTGGCTTAGCTTAGCTTAGCTAGCTAAGAGAACGTACGTTTTATTTGGATCGATTTATCGGAAGAATTGAATTGAAGAAGCTATACCATACTGGCAAGCTAAGGAATTGATCGAAGATTGGAAGATGAAGAAGAAAAGCAGCAACTGCAAGCAAGAAATATGTGTGTGCACGTGAAAAAATTTTACTGCGCAAAAGCTTATGTTTGCGTAGTTTTTTTTTTCCCTTAATTTAGTCAGTTGTTCTTGTACTGACCAGGCCAAATTAAATATATGAAAGCTAACCTGGACAGATATTTTCTTTTATATAGTATACGACTGGGAATGGAAATAATGATACTTTGCTTGAGGTGTTTAAAAAATGGCCGGTTAAGATTCGATTATTTAAGGGACCAGCTTGCCTGCCAGGAACTTTATTCCATTATGGCCGGGTTGAAGAATCTGAGTGGATTTTATAATAAGTTTTTGTTTCTCCTTTCGGGAGCCATTATAGTTTCTTTAAGAAGATTTAGCTGACTTTTTTGAGCTTTGTGCTTTGCTTTAGTTGCTTTTGGAGAGTGGCAGCGCGCGGCAGGCGAGGCTTACCTTGAAGGAACTCAAGGAAGACACGATGATGATGATGTTAAATTATTGTGTGGAGCACAGGAGCATGACAAAAAATTTCTTGCTCAAGGATAACATTTTAGGGTAAGATAATTTATTTTATGAATTAGAATAATGTATTTATACGTGTTAAAATAATAAAATTTATGAGATAAAATAATGTATTTATAAATTAGAATAATATATTTTTGTGTTATAATAATATATTTTATGAGTGAGAATAATATATAATGTATTTTATATGTTAAAATAATAAAAACTTTAAAATAAAATAATATATTTTATATGTTTTTAACCGTAAGCAATAATGATTGTAAATATGTTTGCTAGGCTAGCTTTCTTTATGGTCAAGTAAAATTTTCTCAAAACCCAAATATGAAAACATCATCGGCCTGGTAACTTAAAAGTCAGGCCCATTAGTTTGGTATCATTTCTGCATGTTCTAAAATCTTAGCCCAAAGAGAGAATAGAAGAAAAAAGAAAACAAAAGGAGTTGATGGAACGCCGGGCGGGCCGGGAGCTTTGCAGAATTGCAGCTCTTGCCTCGTAGGTGTCTCGCGAACCAGCTGCTCTGTGCCTCCCACCCCCACCGCTTTCTCCTTCTCTGTTTTCATAACGCTAGTTTGCTTCGTCTTCTTAACGAATTGACTCACCATTTTAGATTATGGATGCCCCCGAGAAATCCCAAGAAGCAGACGTCCTTTATGTGAGTTTCTCTCTCTATTTGTCTATCTGTACTAGCAGCTTCCGAATCTTTTTCCATTTTTGCAATCTACATCACTTTATATATATATATATATATATATATATATATTTCCATAATCTAGTAATTCCATACTCTGTTGTGAATACTGAGCTCAATTTTAGGGAAATTTGATCAAATTAAGTTTTGAGCTATAACAAAATTTATCAATTTCTTACCCCTCCCTGGAAGTTGACAACTGGGAATAGTAGAAATATCTAATGGGTTGCTAGTGCTGAATGCAAAAGTCGCGTCTTTTTGGCAATTAACGATGTGAGATCCCCGTTGAAGGTAGGAGATACTCTTTGATTCGTGGATTTTACACGCGCAGTGCATATATCTATTTTAGTCTTGCATCCTTAAGCTGGTGCAAGATCACTGATTGTTCTGAGTACAACTTATGTGTTGTCAACGCTCTTTTAAAAACTCTACAGTGGGTAGCTTATTTCTTTAACATTGAACAAAAGATGATTGGATTTTCCTTTAACTCTGAATGGAATTCATTCATTTTGTAATGTTAAAGCATCATACTTTTTTTTTTTTTGGTCAGAGAAGTCCAAGAATGCCAGGAACCGTCAATTGGGGCACTGCTACTGTTATTGGGGTATTTGCTGGCATGTTATATGGGGGTAGCAAGGAGGCAGCTGCCTCTGTTGTAAGTATGCACTCTGGGAAAATCTTTTGTCAACTCTTTTCTTGCAATGATTTGTGATTACTATGATCATATTTCCATCTTTTGACAGAGCAAGGATGCAGAGGTAATGTTGAAGCTTGGAAGCACATCAGATAAGCGTGAACAGCATCGCCTGATGAGAGATGCTATGGAGAAAAGATTTATACGAGTCACTCGTGGCTCAATAGTTGGTGGTGTACGCCTCGGGATGTTCACTGCTGCATTCTATGGTTTGCAGAATCTTCTTGCTGAAAAACGTGGGGTGCATGATGTATATAATGTTGTTGGAGCTGGATCTGCTACTGCTGCAGCATTTGGTCTAATTAGTAAGTAGAATAAGTTTTTAGAATCAAATGTCTTTTCTGTGCTTTCCTTCATCTTAACTCATTTTACTTTTGTATTTCCAGTGCCAGGGTCACTCTATTGGCGTGCAAGAAATGTTATTTTGGGTTCTGCTTTGGGTGCTGTAGTTTGCTTTCCTCTCGGTAATAATTCTGGCCACACTTGTTTCATCATTAGCTGCCTATTCATTTAAACAGTGTTTCTTTTCACAATAACTCTGATCCTTATAGTAGTGATGCTCTTATGGATTCCCTTGAATTCTATACCACCAGTGTGTCACCCAGTCATGTCATGGACTCTATATACATTTCACATATTTTAGATGTTTTAGCAGCTATCATTAAGGAACAATTGCAGCTATATCTATTCCTACTTCCTAGACCTCAACCTTTGCTTCAATATGACTTATTTCTATCTAGTTGTGAAAATAAGAGGATTGGGTTGCATGAGAGAACTAATTAAATACCTTTCAGAATTCAGACAGTGTTACCATGGAAGGAATTTGATGGGAATTTTGATGACAAAGGAGTTCAATCCAAATCCCTAGAGAAGTTTAGCTACTCATGCTAGAAATGTAAATCAAAGATTCAATTGAAATAAGGAACATTGCAATCACAACAAAAAGAAAGTGCTAAAATTAAAGAGAAGAACTTAGCTTTGATCATGGAAATCGGAAGATCAAATCTGAAAATTGAGAAGCAATTACAAGTTGAATTCTTCCTCTAGATCTTCAATAATGTTGATGGATTACAAAGTAAAAGTGTTTGGGAGAGTTTCTATGAAAGAGAACCTAGAGAGAGAATCTGAGAATGAAAAGTGAAGTTAAAATAACCGCCTCTTGCTATTTGTACTTCATATCCGTGCCAAAATAACTTACTCAGGATTGCTACTAGACACGTGGTCACGATGGAGGTCACGGTGTGACTTCCATCGTGATCATGCTGAGCAGGTGCAAGAGCCCAGGAGTTCACAATTGACCTCATGGCGTGAGGTCAATCTTGACCTCCTGGACCAGGCCTCGGATCCTGGGGTTCACGCTGGCATTCATGGTGTGACTGCCAGAGTGATCCCCAGGAACTGTAACCTGGTCTAGCACCTCACGTCTCGTGACCACCCCATTGCTCTCCGCATTCCAGCTTCACTCCCTTAATCCTTGTTTTGCACCTCATTATCTTCTACAATTGTTCTCCTTCCATGCTTGTTTATGCCTTTGCCCAATCTTTCCTTCCTTCAATAAAAAAAAAACACACCAAATTAAGCATTGTTCCGCCATCCTTCCCCTAACATTTAAGCAAAAATAAGCATATATGAAGCACAAATATAAGCCACTGTATGGCTTATCAGCTAAACTGTGATTTCAAAGGTGTTTATGCTTTGTTTGCTATAGAATATTTTTCTTAGTTACTTGCTACCACTTTTTGATTTTTGATTTTAATTTTCTGTAAAACCAAACCAAATTTGGTTGAGCTGAGAAACAAATGAAAAAAGATGAGGGAGGTTTTTACTACATTTATTCAAGAAGTCACTTTTATGGATTACTAATATTTAGGTTGGTAAAATATTAATGTACGCCTTGGATGCATAGATGATCTGGTTAAGAAGAATGAGTTATATGGTGTTGGGCACAAATTTTGTTTCCTAGTTCCTTTTGGGTGATTGTGTTAATTAGTAAGTGAAGCATATTCGTTCTTCAGGTTGGCTTCACCTGAAGCTTGTAGAGAAAGCAGCAAATGAAGGGAAATATGATGCTTTTCCCCAGACTGATGACAGCAAAGAAGTGAAGAGTGGAGTTGGTGCCGCGATTGAGAGGCTTGAAGGTCATTTGGGCAAAAAGATTGAGTGATGCCATCCATTTCATTAGATCCGGCAGGGCAGGAATGCAGGATACTAAAGGAGGAAATGAAAAGATGAGGAAGGCGAGGGACTAACAGAATGTTGTAATACCAAAATTCTCTACCTCCTCCTCCTCCTCCGTCCTTTTGAGAGCTCAAGTAGTATTATTATTTTTTGTTAGGTTGGTTTTAGTTCTCTTTTTGAACTTTGTTTGTCATCCCTATCCTAGAGGCAGGCTAGATAGATATACCAAATTTTCATACAAGGAATCATTTTTGGGATAAAACATGTGGTTGTTTTATTCAAGCCACATGGTGCTTTTTAGCTTAAAACCAAAGTGAAAAGACCTTTGCAAGTTATCCAAGCGCATGCAATGCATTTTGATGATGTGAGATTATAACTAAATAAATACTCCGTATAATAATAATAGTCCATTAGAGTGTAGCGACTTGTGCGATATGATGAGCTAAGAAAGAGGCAGAGCGGTCCAGTCAAAAGAACAGAGAGGACAGTGTAGGATTCCAGCCCAGACTTGTGGTTCAAAAAAGCAAGCTCTGTATCATCCCATCCCAACTTAGAATAGAAGATAAATAAATGGGTAAAAGAGATGCTGGTGATGAGTCATTTCATCAACAAAGTGAGTAATAGATGCTCTTCCTTTCTTTTACCTTTGTTTTGACTAGTTGCTTTCCACGACGGATTAGGAGGACTTGGACTGCCTTGAACGTCGGTTTGGAGAATATTTCCCCTACTTACCAGTTACCAAACCAAACTGGAACTTCACTGTTTATATAAAAAGAAAAAACCCAGAAAAATAGGCCGGGTATTAAATTAATTGTATGTATTTGTTTTGAGAATGCCCTCAGCTCCTCAAGTGTAAATAGTAAATACAGACTTTGATTCTTGTGTTGTATGTATATCCTAATAATTCCTACAAACAAAAACTTTACTGTCTTTTCTTATGAGGTTCAAATATTATTATCACTACAAATCACTTTTACATTTCTGTTTCCATAATTGAAGAGTCATATTCTTCTCCTCTGTGAAGATCACAAAGCACGAAATAATAATGATGTTGCTTTCCTCCAAAGAGAATTGAAAGCCGTCCCCTGCGAATTCTATTTGGCAACTCGGTGGCTGTTGAGCATTAATGAGTGAGTATGTTTCTTCTTCTTCTTCTTCTTCAACCATTATCTTGCACACTGATAAGAGTGAGGAAACCATTTGGATAGCAAATGGTGTTTGAGCTTGATTACCAGAACAAAAATGCCATAGCATGGTATGTGCATCAGCGCCACCGATGAATACCATAAAGGAGCAAATGGAGAAGATAAATCAAGGAATGGGTATGGCCACCTGTGTGGAAAGATAAAATGTTTTAGAGTTAAAATCATCACCATCTACTATACTAACTAACATATATACATGATGAATGGGAAAGATAACAAACAGATCAGAATAGTTTACCAAATCGCAATGCAGGCGTGGACAGCCCACTGGAAAATGACATAAACAGCTGTCCATAGAAAGAAATATCCAATTCGAAACCAAGGGAACCGCTGAAAATACAAACTTTAGTTTAGCTCATGAATCATCAAATTAAAGGAATTGATCGAAACATGAAATTAAGTTACGTTGGAGATGGAATTGATCATAACTTACCAGGCAATTCAGTGCAGTGTCACCAAGCAGAAAAACAACATTGATTGTATGCATGTTTATGATCAACTGCAATAAAAAGACATTATATATATATATATATATATAATCAAAGAGAACCCCTACATCAAATTAAATAGTATACTTCTCATACTTACAAAATTCAAATTGTAGCCTTTGATGGTCAGATATGGTACAAGAACAAACCAAAACACACAATCTGTAAGCGTTACAGCTCCAGCATTCATCTGTTGACAAGAAAGAAGGGTAAGTATTGGCAATATGGTGGAAAGTAGAGAAAAAAAGAAGCAGCCAGCCAAATGGTCCATTGAGGCTTGCTTACCTGGAAAATAATTTGAAAAACATAGCCCCAGAAGTCTGCAACTTTTCTATTTGGTTCATGAGGTGCTGTGGAATGTTTTATAGCATTTGAAGTGGTGGAATGTTCAGCATATGTAGATGATCTCCCAGATCCATATTCAGAATCAAACCTCTCATTATGAGTTTCACTGCTGATTCTATTATGGTATTGGTAACACCCATACATGGATAGCAGCGATCCAAGCTACATTGTACAACAAAATAATTTGCATAATCAAAATACAATTTAAAGCAGCAGCAGAAGAAGAAGTAGAGTGAGGAGGATTATATATGTACCCCAAAATAGATGGTAATTAATGTGAATGTCCACCTGCATGTTCAGAATCCAAATCACTTGTCAAAATACTGAAAACTCATCTCCAAGGCTTATTGAGATGGATATGATATAGATTGCAGGCAGAAACATTACAACTTACTGAGTATAGAAGTAGAAAATGAGCCCACCATCTACTGTAACATTTAGGATTAGCATTAAGAGAAGAACAAGGAAAGCGAAAATTCTGTATCCAAGCAGCCATCCAGGATGCACATTTTTGAGGCATGGCCGCCAAACTTCATCTTCATACAACATTCCCGGCCCAGGGCCAGGGGACTCTTGCTGCTGCTGCTGCCTATCTCTGCTTCCACTTTTTGCGCCACGAGGACCTTCATACTTTGTTATAAGAATAGAGGCAAAAACCATTGACATTAAAATCCAAAAGCAGCAGAGCAACACCCTCCAGCTTAGCCAGTAACTTGAGGTGGTTGTATCACCAGTCGTCACTGGCTGCCATGTACTCTTTGGTGAGCCTGTGAACAAACTCATGCTATAAAAAAATATAAAAATCTCCTCCAAAAATTCTCCACTGAGGAGGCCAGGTATGAAAGAATTCAAGAAACAAAAAAATTGAGGCAAGACAAGAAATTTCTTGTTTTGTTTAACAAAGTTCAAACGAACACCATCCCAGAAAGAGGGCAAAGCATGTATGTTATGGAAAATTCATGTGCAGAAACAGGAGAAACGCTAAACGTTATATAACTGAAATAACTACTGTAAGCAGTTTGGGATGCTGAAAAATAACAATTAAGATCGAAATGAAGAAGAGTGGGATGAAGTAATGGAGCCACAATGATGGGTGGAAGCAAGCAGAGATTCTAAACTTTGAGAATGTATTTGCACAGTAAAATAATGGCATGGCAACAAAATTAAAAGGGTTTGGGTTAAAGATGGAGGGCAAATTCTTAATTGTACGCAAAGAAAAGTTGGGATGCTTGCAAGGTAAAGCAAGGCAATGTGTAAGAGGGAGGAGATGCTTTGCTTCTTTGCTTTGCAGATTGCAGGACAAAAACACTAAAGCCAAACTACATAAAATACTTAAGTCTTAAGGGAGATCGGAGGGTAATAGTGTGGTTTTCTTCTTTGAGCCCAATATGTTTTTGTCTTTTTGTTTTTTTTACTAATAATTTTCTGATGGTTTTTTTTTTAAAAAAAAAAAATTAAATTCGGTTCTCCCAGCCAGCTGGTCTTCATGCAGCAGTCTATGATATGAAATTAAACAGCCATCTCCATATGCTCATGCAGATATAAAAGTACAATTCCAAAGGCTTGGAGAATATATATATCTTCTTTTGGTGGTAGCATTAGCAGCTTTATTCATCAGCTCTGATCTTTTTTAGTTTCTTGATATTCCAAATTTCAAATGCACTACCCCAGATAGGGGGACCGCCCATCACTCAATTACTTTTACATGCACAATTTGTGTTGCTCTGAACTCTGCGGCCACTGCAGCTCATGGGAGAATCATATCTTGGTGGATACATCATACATTGCATGTATAATAAATATGTAAAGGAATAAGTTATGCCTTACTTTTGTTCTGACCAATTCAATTTTATAAACATATTTTGTTTGACAAAAAACTTAATTGAATTATCCTAACAAAAACCCATAATATGCTTTATCATTATTTTCCGATAGATCCATAAAGCAATGCAAATGATCAAGTAGATGTGAGTATATGATTGTTATACTTATACTCCTTACAAGCTAAGCATGAAGCAATACACAATAAGCATGCCCGGCCCCTTAATCACTTCAATTAAATATGAAAATATATATATGCATGCTTTGTTTTAAATGTATTGAAACTTAAAATAATTTCAAAGTAAAATATTACATAGACTCTCATTTCTTACCCCCAACTTTTACTTTTTCTCACAAATTCTTTATATAGGCACTTATCCTAGGATTCACGTAATGAAAATATTCAATCCTTATTTGTCACATAATAGAGTAAAATTGAGAAAATAGAATTTGAGAGTATATGTAATAAAATTCATTTTGAATTCACAAATGTAAATTTACCCCAAGTGGGACAGGCATAGCATGATTAGTTTATAACTTTATAATAAGGCCGGGGTGGACCTACAATCTATGGTGTCGGTTTCTTGAATAGGCCCACGGAGGAAGGATCCTGCTATCCCATTCCCTTTTGCCTTATGCACTAGTACAGGAAACCGAACATGCTTGATGCTTGATCCACAAGCATAAACTAACAAACCGGCCTGTACAAATTTTGCCCATTTCCAACCTCCTTTCCTTTCCTTTCAAATGCTTTAATTTTTTGAACATGGTATGCATGTATGAATGGTACTATGCGTACGGAACACTAATATATATATATATATATATATATATTTATATAGTAATAATGATTTTCAAATAAATTGAAGTTAGTGTTTCCGACTTTGCTAACTAATTAGGAGGTGAGTTTGTAGCAGCTAGGCAACTTTTGCATGAACAAACTTACAAAAGTGTGGGAGTAATTAGTTATGGTGCATAATATATGCATGAACCAACAACTTCAATTCATATGTGTATGTGAGGCTTATGCACCCCCTCCCCCGCCCAATCAAATAAAAATAATAAATAAATACCTCATAAAGTATAACAATTTATAAATTTGTATACCACCGTATACTTGTTGTAAAATATTACATCTTAATCTAAAAAATATTATTATCATAGGCCGGTTTACTCATTGTACACCATTAGGTTGTGAGTGCAGTTTTATTTCATTGACAAGAATAACTAACTGATAAATTAAAGTAGCAATATGTATGTATGTAAAATCAATTTGAAGAGGTAGGGTGAGGTCTTATAGAGAGAGAATTAATTAAGAAGGTGCACCTTTCATTATAAGCGAATGAAGCAGCTAGCAAGGCAACAGCAAACCAATAAAATCTGGAGAAAACGAGAATTGAAGTTGCAGGCCAAGATAGGCTATGAAAATGGAAGAGTATGTAGTGGCATTGCTAGCGCGCTACCTCTAAGCCACACACTGCACATATATACATAAATGCTTTGCTTAGCTTGTCCATTGTATTCATCTACTATACACAACTGAATTGAAATGCTTTTTGTGTGTATTGTTTTTACTTTACATATTTTGATTAAATCTACCTTTTATTTATTTATTTATTTAGTAACTAATTAACCAACCTAGCTAGCTCATACCCAAAAACTTACGTTTTGTTCAATTACATGCATTTCACTTTTTATACTAAGATTTTTTTATTTTTTTTTAAATATAACTTAAACAACACTCCATTAGGTCCATGTCTATTTTTTAAAGCTTATTATATTGTTTTGACATCATATTGTAGATCAAACATGTATTGTTGCTATATCCATTATATTATAGTGATGTGATGATGATTTAATCGTTTTCCTAATATGATTTAGAGTTAGTTACATTACATATAAATGACCCAATTTGTTTTGTTTCACTCATTTTTATAATTTTTTTCATTTTCAACTTTTTGACCGGTAAAAATATAAGGCCAAGACTCAAGAAGATGATATAAACTTTTTTTTTACAAAGAGTTAATACCGCCTTCACTAGGGCTCAAACTCCATGATCTCCCATATAAGAGCGTCACTTCATGCCACTAGATCACAAGGTCATTGGCGACGTAATAAAAACTATGAGAAAAAGTCAAAGTTGCACATCATGATGGTCTTATGTGTGGAGGAGGGAGGCCCGCTCTTACATTATGTGTAATTCCTATAATTTACTATTATATACATTTTTTTCCGAAAAAAAAAAGGAATTTGATGCCTTTCTTATACCTTTTTTTTTTTTTTTTTCTCTCTCTTTCTCTCTTAGGTTGTTCACTTATTTTAGCTCATTCACTTTGAACCGATCGACCACTGAACCACCTATACACAACACAATTACTCCTTCCTAGCTTAATCCACCCATATATCTCCTATCTTTCATTTATTTACCCTTTTGCCCTTCTTTCTTGCCCATCCTATTCAACTAATTATCCATCATAAAATGTGACAACTCATCATTTATTTATATTAATTGATGATGAGTTTTTGTAAATTTGGTTAATTTTACTATGAGATAATTCTCCTATTATTTATACAAAAATAATATAAGATCTAATGCTAATAATATGAGATCTTAAAATTATTTTTATTATTTTTTGTTTGGTGAAGAGGGGAGTGGAATATCTTAAAATAAATCAATTTAGTTATTGAATATTAGATAAATCAAAATTTTAGAGTTGTTAGTCACTTAATTACGATGAACCGGGCATGATTCAAATCTATTTTCATGAATATATACATGGTCACTATTGGAGGCGGATTTAATGCATGCATAAGATATAATCTCTTGTTAGGAGATGTGGCCTATGAACAAGTAATGTTAGTCGATTGTAACAAATTGTATTGAATTTGAAGATAACTGTCTTTTAGTAGTCATTAAAGGGGGGGTGGAATTGAGTAAGGATTGGAGCGAAAATAAAAATGCAAATTGTAATTGTGTGGGGAAATGTGGTTTTTGGAGGGTACCCGAATCACGGGAGTTGGGGACCCGATTGAAACATTCAACGGAAAAGGCCAATTAAGTCAATTCAAAGGAGGCACATTGTAACCGCAAGGAATAATTTAGTGGTGGGAAAACGAAAAGAAAGCTGCCATTCCAGAGATAGAGAGAGAAGAGCATTGATAATTGTAGGAGTAGGGGAGAGGACTGCGCAATGAAGAATGAAGAGGATTGAGGAAAGATTTCTTCAACGAGGAGAGTGGGGTGTCTGTCTTCCTGTCTTTCTCTCTCATCAAAACCAACGAATGGATTCCCTTTTCTTAACCCAAACCTTTCTTTCCCCAACAACAACAACATTAACATCCCCACTATCATTATGCCCCTCTCCTTCATCTCTACTACTGTTTTCTTTATTTCACCTTGTTTTTCTTAGCCCCTTCCCATTTCTCAGATCCATCTCTCCTTCACACTTCTTTCAATTCTCCCCCTTTCTACAGGTATCCTTTTCTCTATTATACATTGTTTTTAGTTTATTTCCATTGACGAAAGATTTGATTTTTATACAAAATTTGTTTTGTATTTTTGGTATATTCTTAATTTTGGGTTCTTGGGATTTCTTTCTTTCTTGCTTGTGTTATTATCTTTTACATTGACTTGTTGATCCTATCATTGTATTGTATTTGATTTGTTTTTTTTTTTTTTTTCCTTTTTCTTTTGAATTATGGATATGAATTATTGCTTTGTGGTCTTTGAGCTTTGCGTACTCTGGATGGTTCCGTTTGTCTAACATAACCGTTGTTAGTTTCTTTCTATTGTTGAATATATGATTTTTAAGATGGTTGCTGTATTTTTGTTTGTTGGTATTTTCTTAATTTGGAAGATGTGAACTTTTATCTCTTGTATTTATATCTAATTCTCTGTTGTTTGATCCCATCATTCTGATTGATTAGTTTGTTTTGTTTGGATCCAAATAATTCATCTGGTGTCTCTGTGAGTATTGCCTCGTTTTAATTGATCCTCCTATGTTAATCAAAAGCATTTCTGACATCGTACTGTCAAGATAGTATAGCTTTATTCGTCAAGATGTGAATTGAACGAACAAAGTCAAAGTTTTTATTGTTACTTTATTGGATTGGATTTCTGTTGGTTTTGCTTATTATTGCAGTCGCATATGAACTTCTTCTTCTTGTTATTATTATTAATTATAAGCTGTGTTCACTAATGGTTCAGGAATATGTTTGGAGAAGGAAATAGCGGTAATGCCTTATTGCCTCCCTTGGTGGAGGGAAGTCTTCAATATGATGTGAATACCTTGCCTCAGCTTCAATTATTTGGAGAAAGTGAGTTACCTTGACAATTTACTCTTGAATCAGGCTTTTGTTAATTTCACTTTATCATCATTCTTTCATGTTGCTGTTCTTGTGCGATTCCAAATTCATTAGCATTAAAAAGTATACAGCAAATGAATCATAGATGGTCCATTTTCCTTATGTGGAAGGGGTAGTCACTGAGGGAAGAGTCTGGGTATAATGGAACTCGTATCCAAGTTGGACATCTTACATTTTCTTTTTAATGATTAGTAGGCTGGTTTCGCTGCCATTTGATGGGAACAATAGTTAGAAATCAGATGAAAACCAGTTTGTCTTACATTAAACCTTTAGCTATTCCACCTATATTATTTGAAGCAAATGGCAGCCTTGCAACTCAGACACACTACCAGCAATATCGTACAGCATCTTAATTTTTAATGTTTGTCCACTAGCTGAGCCACATTTTCCCCAGTCCATGCCCTTGATATAAATGATTATTATATCTCCATTGTTTGTTCTCTGATAAGTGATAAACCATTTGCACTTTGGTTATTTTATGTCACCTGTAATTAGTTTGGTTGTCTGGTGCAGTTCCAATAGGCTGCAGCATTAACCCCGTAAGCTATGTGGCAAACGAATGTCCACCTGCCGCAGTTCATCCTACCAAAAGAGCAAGGGATGCTGAACCAAACTTTAGCCAGCAAAAGCTTCGGATATCCTTGAATAACAACTTCTGTCAAGATGAAGTGGGACAAACTGGAAACATTTGGAAGCCAAATCCTGTATCAACTGGGCTTAAACTTTCTTATGGGGAAGAAGAGCGTAATTCCTCCATCACTTCAGCTACTGAAAACAATAAAGCTGTCCTCTCGGCATTTCTTTCACTTGGCAATAATGTTAAATATGAGATTGATCGCCAGAGAGAAGATTTGGATCGCTATATCAAAGTCCAGGTGAAGTCATTATACTTTATGTGCATATCCTGCAGTGGTTTATACTAGAGTAGTTAATTTATCATAAATGTAAGAGATTTGGTACATCCTTTGTAGGTTGAATAAATTTATATATTTTGCAAAATCTGATATGGGGTTTGTGACGCAAGCAGGGTGATAATTTGTGTAAGGGATTGAAGGAGTTGAGTCAAAGACAAACAATTTCATTCCTGAATACATTGGAAAAGGGAGTTAGCAGAAAACTACATGAGAAAGAGGTTGAAATAGAAAACATGAACCGGAAGAACAAGGAACTTGGTGAGAAGATAAAGCAAGTAGCTATGGAAGCTCAGTCGTGGCATTACAGAGCAAAATATAACGAGTCAGTTGTGAACGCCCTGAAGAATAACATCCAGCAACTAGCTGCCCAGGGTATCACACAAGTAAAGGAAGGGTGTGGTGAGTGTGAGGTAGATGATGCTGCCTCTACTACGAACCACCAGGAAGTTCCCTCCTCAAAACAGCAACAGCAGCAGCAGCAGCTAAGCTGCTGCAAAGCTTGCAAGAATAAACAAGTGTCGGTGTTGTTATTGTCGTGCAGACACTTGTGTCTGTGTACAGATTGTGAAGAGTTTATAGATATTTGCCCGGTGTGCCAGGCAGTGAAGACTGCAAGTGTTCAAGTATACATGTCATGAACACGCAAACTCAACACTTGCACTCATCATTATCTTGCATAGTAGAGTTGGTTTTTCACCCCACCACCCTTGCTTTCTTATGAAATCTGGAGAAGCTCAGGAATTTATACTATGATGATGATGATGATGATGATTCCTTTCTATGAATTTGTTGAGGTGTTTCAAGGTTTCACAGCAAAGCTTTTTCGAGAACCAGAGATGGTACCTAAATAAATTATAGTCTGGTAGCAAGTAAATGCTAGTTGTGTCTCATGTAATTGTTATTAATTTTGCCTTAGAATGCTGCTGCTGCATATTATGCATTAACAAAGTTGATGCGTTTTGGCCCCTCTCATTCACTCATACTGTCCTTGCTCCTATTTGGCTTTAATTGTACCCTTTTTTGGTAACCAAGCTTTTAATTGTACTTTTTTTTTTTTTTTTTTTTTTTTTTTTTAAACCAGGCTTTAATTGTTCCTGTATCCAAATATATCTAATTGCAACTTTTTTCCATGTTGGAACAACGTGGGTTTAGCTCTTTTGCTGTAAAATTTTATTAAGTAATACTCCGGGAGAAAAGATATCATTGTACTCCGTAATATTTTTTATTATACAAGTAATTATAAAAGTAATATGTCAAGAATCTTGTGATTTAGTGACACCGGAATTTAGGAATTAGGGTTTGATTTCGGAGAGGGAGCTTAAGAAACGGTTACCAAATCCAAGAAAGGCAGCATGCGCACAAATTATTCAATCCTGACACGGGGAAGTAGTGACAATAAATAACAATACCGGCTCGATCAAGTCTAGTAATTGGAATGAGTACAATCTAAATCTCTTAACGAGGATCCATTGGAAGGCAAGTCTGGTGCCAGCAGCCGCGGTAATTCCAGCTCCAATAGCGTATATTTAAGTTGTTGCAGTTAAAAAGCTCGTAGTTGGACTTTAAGATGGACTGGCCGGTCCGCCCCACGGGTGTGCACCAGTCGTCTCATCCCTTCTGCCGGCGCATAAGTTACTTTATATGAGATTGTGGATTCAAGTTGTGATATTAATTTTTTGTGCTTCGCTAGTTAAAGAAAGTAATTATGAAAAGATATTGCATTGTAACGGAGTCGATATAGTACTAAAAAAAATTATAAAAGTAATACACTCACTTCATATTTGTAAAGTTTATCTATTTATTTACAAAAATCTCATCATTTTAAGTAAACTTTAGACAATTATAATATTACCTTTTAAAAGAGACTACCTTTTAGATAAATTAATCATTTTCCTCTTTTAGTCGGAGTCAAATCGATGAAGGAGCATTCACTATAAAAGTAGAAATTTCTCCCCAGTCGCCAGTTTAGACCGCGAGTGAGAGAGAGGGAGAGAGGGAAATCCACTCACCGAGTTGTCGACTGTCGTGCTCTCCCTAAAATCTAACCCACCACAAATCATCAAAAAAAAAATCAACAAAGAAGAGTTAAGTTTGCTCACATATCCAGACCTCACTTTCTCCATTTCTACCAATTTATTTGCATGATTATTCTATTGTTTTCATATATCTACTCAGCTTCTGGTGAATTTACATTTGAGATTTTTATTTATTTTTTGAAAATTTCTTTTACATATGATGAAGATCATTTAACGCCGCTTTCACAGTTTGGTTTCGCATAAATTTGTTTGAGAATAATTGAAGTTTCTTCCATTAGTTGCTCCACCAACCTCATTAACTTGTGTACCACTAGTTGTTGTACAAATTAAAAAATAAAGCGGGATGCAAAAAAGTTTTGGTTTCATATATCATATACACACACACTCCGTACATGCATTTGTGTATCACTTTGAATATTATCTAGTTTGCATTTTTTTGGGACCCAGATTTAAAAAGCGACTTTTTTCCTTTCCATTTTAGATTTAACTGCAGAAGTACTAATTTTGAACAAATGGGTAGTGATTTCATATGATTGGATATTATTTGGGGAAATTCTTGATTGTTTATGTTCAAGGAATCAGCTTTTGCGTGCTTCTTATTACTTTATATTTTATAAATTATAGTATTTTGTTGGGCTTTTTGTCAGTAGTGGACAAAATATGGAGCTAACCGAATTAGACTCTTGACTGAACTCGAACGTTTTTGGTTAAGAAGCAGGTGTAAAAGGGGAATTGGGAGAGTTATGGCTGGTGTAACTACAGGAGACCTCCCTGACCTTGGAATTGACGATAAAAATGAAAAGGATAATATTGCTGTATTAGAGAGGGGAGGAGTAGAGAAAGAGAAAGAGATTTCTCCAATGCATCGCTCAACATCTCGTCCTCAGCTGGACCTGAGTGGAGCTGCAATTCAGGGTAATTTTGAAGAGAAGGATCCTACAATTCTGTTGCCTAACCAGTCTGATGATATATCCCATTTAGCTCTGGATATTGGAGGTGAACTTCAAAACATCTGTTTCTGAGATATTGGCTGTTATGCAGATTAGTTTTGCTATCAAGCTCCACTGCTTCCTTTATCTCTGACCTCTTCTTTCTTGTCTCATATTATATTATTGTTATTTTTTGAGGTATTGTGATTCATGCACATTTCTCTCTTTCAGCTATTTTATATCCCATCTTTACAAGTTGCATGAACAGTTTTTGGGGGTACAACTAAGGGGAATGGGATTGGTTTTTTAGATTTTCGTGCTTCTGCCACTAGACCACGAGGCTCTTCATACAAGTTGTGTGAACTTTGAGCTACCTTATGTATCCTTTAGCCCCTGGCCAATTTATAAGGATTATGCTTGTAATGCAGATGTACTTGTTCATGGGACATCTTTTACTGTCATCTTTATTTAACTCCTGCTCTCTTTCCCTCCCCCTTTTTCTTTTCAAAATGTTTGTACCTAGTGATTTTTAATGGACTCTTCCAGGTTCTCTTATCAAGCTGGTGTATTTTTCAAGACATGAGGGGCGTCAAGTGGAGGACAAGAGAAAGAGAAAAGTCAAGGAGAGATTTGGTGTTTCTAATGGCAATAGAAGGAGCTATCCTATCCTTGGAGGGAGGCTTCATTTTGTGAAATTTGAGACAACAAAAGTTAATGAGTGCTTGGATTTTATCTCTTCCAAGCAGCTACATTGTGGTGGTACATCTCTTTTCCTTGATCTAATGCCTAATTTAGTAACTTTCATCAAAATTTCATATTTTATTTGAGATTGAAACACAGTTCATATTTGATTTGAGATTATTTACATTGGCATGTGTATTTACACGTTGTGTATATCGGTATATGTTGTTTGTGCAAACAGGGTTGGATACACCTCGTTGGTCTTCTGAGGCTCCTCAGAATGAGAACACGATAATTAAGGTAAAATACATAACTACTGCTATTTTAGGTTTGAAACATATTGCTTTATGTGGAAAACTGGGTGAAAAATATAAAAATGTTTCTAACTCTTAGGCTTGCTACTCATACTCATCCAACAAATATTAAGATCATTACAAGGAAAAAAGGGGAAGTGTTCCTTTTACTGGACTTTCTGCTCCTTTTTTTACGTGTTGGATAACTTTTTGTATATTACTCATTTTCTGTTAATTAGATTTTGTTTTATTGCTTTTTCCTATTCAAGTGTATACTGTTGATTCCTCTCTTCTGAATCTTATGGCTTTTGTTTAAATATTATCTACCCCTCTCTGGCTCACTGTAGTCTTTTTTATTAGCAATAAAACAAAGAAACAATTGAAGAGCACTAGTTTCTAAATTTGTTGATCCACGTGTGCAACAGTGTGGTATTTGAAGCATATTAACCTCACTAGAACATGAAACTGATGTGAGTAAAACCCTTAACAACATTGTATACAATCTGATGTAGACAAAATACTCATGGAAAGCTTGATGTTCATGAATCCAAAACAATTTTACATTCTATATGGTCATTCAAAGCAGTTAAGATTAGTAAATTGTTGCATGAGGTGCAAGAATCTAAAAGAAAAAATGTTCATGTACTTGTGCCTTTTTGCTTTACTCCAATGGGAAATACGCCAAATGTGCCTGCCTTGTTTATTGACTATTATAATTTTTGAGAAGGCTACAGGTGGTGGGGCATACAAGTTTGCTGACCTTTTCAAGGAAAGACTTGGAGTGAGTATAGAAAAAGAAGATGAAATGAATTGCCTTGTAGCTGGGGCAAATTTCCTGCTCAAGGTACAATCTAATTCAACATGTTATTCTCACTTTATATCCTCAATTCATATGGATGGTGTGAATTTGAAATGAACATTCAGTACTCAGTAGACAAAAGTCTGTTCAAATAAGAAGAATTCTCCAAATAAAAACAGTTATCAAGTCTGAATATTTTGTTGGACTCTCAGAAAGTGGTGTGACAAGTTAATGGTGATAGAGGGAACACAATATTTATTCTTCAAATAAGTTCTTGGTGGCTGTCAAAAATAGTTCTGTTGTTGAGAATATTTCCTGATTGTATTGTATTCTACAATAGAAGTAGGATCCTGTGAGTCTGTGACACTCTATTGTCTATGGCCTTGTTATGTTTCTTTCCTACTGGTGCTTGGTTTTTATGATCTGGAAACAGTCCTTGCTATTTTTGTTTGAAAGCTTTTGTTGCTGTTCTTTTCCATTTTGTCACTTGTCCTGCTTATTTAAATGCTAATAATTTGAAGTCACATATTATATTTTCTATGGTTTTGTTTGTGATAATAAAGCAGCACATATATCTTTTAAGTAGTATGCCGAATTTTGTTAGTGGTGCCAATTTAATTAGTTCCTGCATTGCTTTTTCTGTAATAAACGTGGCTTTGCTAGTCATTTACACTGGCAAATTGCAAGCTATAGCTTCAGTCCTTCTATATTGCAGAATATGCATAACTATTAGCCATTATTTGTTGATTATTGGGCTAACAACTGTTCACTCAATAGGCCATACGTCATGAAGCTTTTACGCATATTGAAGGTCATAAAGAGTTTGTGCAGATAGATCAAAATGATTTGTTCCCATATCTTCTTGTCAATATTGGGTCAGGTGTTAGTATGATCAAGGTATTATCTTCGTTTTTTGTTACTGAAATCCTGATTTAAGGAATTGTTAAATCATCAAATTGTTCATTTTTAATAATAACTATTATAGGTTGATGGGGATGGGAAGTTTCAGAGGGTCAGTGGAACAAATGTTGGCGGTGGTACGTATTGGGGTTTAGGAAGACTATTAACAAAGTGCAAGAGGTGCCAAGATCCTGCTTGATATTCCATAGTGCTACAGTTTTCACTTTTGCTGTTTTTCATTTGATTTTTTGTTTGATTTTTCATAGTTTTGATGATTTACTGGAGCTGAGTCAGCGTGGAGATAATAGAACCATAGATATGCTTGTTGGTGACATCTATGGTGGAATGGATTACTCAAAGGTACACTATAGTGGCATAAAATGTTACCTGAATGAGGATATCTTCTTTTTAACCAATGGAAAACCAATTTTCTTTTATCTGAAGTCATCTCCAAATTTTTGTTTGTCCTTTTGCATCATGTGGTTAAGTTCTCATGATGTTAAAATATCTTATAGATTGGCCTCTCAGCATCAACAATTGCTTCAAGTTTTGGCAAAGCCATTTCAGAAAACAAAGAGCTTGAAGATTACAGACCTGAAGATATCTCTTTGTCTCTCTTGCGTATGATTTCATATAATATTGGCCAGGTATTCTCATCAATTAAACTACTATCAGGTTTTGGAATTTATATAGAGTACTTTACAGGATTGGTTCTGGTCAAATATGGATGGTTAGTGTGTCATTTACCTTATAGGTGTTTTTATCTTTACTGTGCAGTAATAAACATGACAAAGGTTGATTCAGCTGATTAGAATGTGTGCATAATGCTGTCACCCATTGTATTGTTAACTTGTTATATATATTGTGTGTGAGACTTGTCTTTCCTGTTTTGTAGATATCTTATTTGAATGCTCTGCGTTATGGACTCAAGCGTATATTCTTTGGAGGATTTTTTATACGGGGTCATGCATACACAATGGACACAATCTCATTTGCAGTTAATTTCTGGTGAGAATGGCACGGGATTTGAGCAATGAGTTGAACTTCTAATCTCAATATTTTTTAGTAGTCCCATTCTTTTTCAAGCATCTCTTCTTTTTCTTTCTTATATTTTTTTCACCCCATCTATATATTTTATTAGGTCTAAGGGTGAAGCTGAAGCTATGTTTTTGCGACATGAAGGCTTTCTGGGTGCTTTAGGTGCATTTATGAGCTATGAAAAACATGGGTTGGATGACCTAATGGTCCATCAGTTGGTGGAAAGGTTCCCAATGGGTGCACCATATCTGGGAGGAAATATTCACGGTCCACCACTGGGGGATTTGAATGAGAAGGCAAGTACCTTTGTAAAGTATGGCGTACAAGTTGAATTATTTTGCCACATTGGAACCAATTGAGCTGGTTCTCTAATAGTATTAATGTTTGCAATCTGTTTCAACATCATTGTGAGCGTATAAATTTTGTTTTTCAGTCCCAGATGCATGTACACCTTAACATGATAGTTTATTAACACCTCAAATGGTTTGTTTATTTATTTAAAATTGTGAAACAGATGATGATGGTAGTCATTGCTACTTTTTCAGTCCAATGTTACCTGAGAATGCCAATCTTTTTTATGTAGGCTTCTGCATGTGTGTTTGATTTGTATGGCCATATGCATGTACAAGTTGCTTGGAGAATGTAATTACTAGCTTCAGAGGACAAAGATAAAATGCTTTCATGATTCTAATTTTTTATTAAGTGCGACCAGAAAAAGGATTTAAAAAGATTTATCTTTTTTTGTTTTTTTTTTCTTTTATTATTATTGTTGTTGTTACTCATCTTCAATGTCAAAAGTATATCAACTTTAAAAATTTTCTCATATGAAGTAAAAGAAATCATAAATTCTCTCAAAACTATATTTCTTCTCTACGTTGATTTTAAAAGTCTGTATAGGGATAGAATAAGTGGCTAAAGTCACTAAGGTATATATTCAGCAATAGTGGTAACCAGCTGGAGCTTCTTTTAAAATATTTATACAAGAATATACACATTATTAGGACATGGTCAAATCATTAGGACTTTGTGGCATAATTAAAGTGATTCCATATTCCCTTTTGCATATCCAATTAACTTATTCATTATATGATGTTGTTAGTGCAGATTATTTGTCTGTTTAATTTTATAATATGCAGTATTTTTTTTTTAATAATCTGTAGACAAAGTTTGTGGTGTAATGTTCTTCTATTTATATCAGATCCAACAACATAACTAGTTATGTCTATGTAGCAAATCATATGAGATGGAATAATTTGGGAAACTGGTTGGTTTAATTGCAGATCTCGTGGATGGAAAAGTTTGTCCAGAAGGGAACTGAAATTATTGCTCCTGTTCCAATGGCTCCACCAGGAACTACAGGGCTGGGAGGCTTTGAAGTTCCATCATCTAAAGGAGTTCTTCGGTCTGATGCAAGCAAATTAAATGTTGGTGTCCTTCACCTTGTCCCAAGCTTGGAGGTTTTTCCAATCTTGGCAGACCCCAAAATGTATGCCAAGTTGATTCCATCATCTCAAATTTCCTTTAAGGTTCTTCTCGTCATACATATACAGAATATGTGCACATCCAACGCATCCCGATTAATTTGTGCCTTCAATTTCTATTTACTTTCTCATGTTTTGTTGATCACATGCTTCTTGCACATTATTAAATTGTGCATGCATTATTTCTTTTACATTTTGTATCTCATGTCTTGTCCCGCTTTATTATCTGTTTCCTCTTGGTTGTTACTGACATACAAATATAGGATGTGGTTCTTCACACTAATTCTCTGGAATTCTTCAAGGTCTTACAAAATATTTGAGTGTACTGATGGTGGATATGTACTTCTACCCATTACTGACAAGATTACCTGATTCTTGGTTACATAATTTTTATAGTGAGTAGCAGAAGAATGCTATCTGGCACTCAGTATCTAGTTCTGGTTGAGCAAACACTTCTCGACTTCTAACTGTATCCAAAGTGCTCTTATTATATGGTTTCTTTTTCTATCTTGCTTACTATGAACTAAGATTTTCTTAAGGTAGCAATCATTCTGTTTCTGTTATTTTCAAGAATTAGCAATTGTACAGATATTTCTTTAACTAAATTTGACTCTTTTTTAAAATTATTTACAGATATGAACCTAACACTGTAGACCTGTCCGATCTTAGTGAGCTAGAGTAAGTTCTGTTTACTGAAATTTGATAATGATACTGATGGTGTTTGTCAAAGCTTATGATTATGAAGATTAAAGAGACATATCAAGTTTTCTTAAGTCTTAACAAAGAATTGTTTCCTCAATTCTTCTCTTATGTTGAATACTCATTTGTTGCAGGTACTGGTTGACTGTATTATCTGAACATCTGCCAGACCTTGTTGATAAGGTAAAAGATGATTTTTTTTGGTTCAGGAATATAATTATTGGGGCAAACTTCTATCTTATTTTACTTTTTATGTTTGTATGGGCTTTATTACTTATCTGTGACATGGTATATGTTTGGTAATGATTTTAAATCAGCTTAATGTTAAATATTCAGGCAGTGGCTAGTGAGGGTGGCACTGAAGATGCAAAAAGAAGGGGTGATGCGTTTGCTCGTGCATTTTCAGCACATTTGGCAAGGTAGTATGTTTTAGTAATCAAATTGTTCTTACATTACTCTTATAAAAATCATTTCCCCATAGTATGAAACTTTTTTATACTAAAATTTTAACTGATTGCATCATTTTTCAGTTAAGTGAAGGATGTAGTTCATGGATTGATTTATGAGTACAATATTTGGATTGTGATACTTTGTATTAAAAGTTTTTGCTACCCTTGATTGTCATACTTTATTTTTCTCTAAGAGATCATATGCTTTGTGATTCAGTGGACAATGTTCTCTTCATCTCTGCTTCACTATGAATATGAGTATATGACTTAATTGGTTGAAGAAACCCCTTTCTTATTCAGTTAATGCTTCTTGTTTGGAAATTCTAGTCTCCATTTCTGCATTCTTTATCTCACTAAACGTATGCTTTTGCAATTTTCCTGTTATATGAAATCCTTTTAATTTTCTGTTATATTTGTATTTTGTTAACAGATTGATGGAGGAGCCTGCTGCATATGGTAAGCTAGGACTGGCTGACCTTTTGGAACTACGAGAAGAGTGCTTGAGAGAGTTTCATTTCTTTGATGCCTACAGGACCATTAAACAAAGGTATGGATATAGGAAAGATACATCTTTTGCATACTGTTCACTGAAAATGACCCCTTCCATCTATTATTCTATATTTCTATATATCAGGGAGAACGAAGCATCACTTGCAGTTTTACCTGATCTTCTGATGGAGCTTGACGGCATGAATGAGGTATGATTAACTCTATTTGCAGTTTTCCTGTTTTACTGAGTAGAAGTGCTAGGAACGTGTTCTAAAATGTAACGTTTTACATATTTCATTCAATCCTTTCAACTTATCTCTAGCAATCAAAATCTTTCCTCTCCACTTAAACTGCTTTAATTTCTTCTAGGAAATGAGACTACTTACCCTAATTGAAGGAGTACTTGCTGCAAACATCTTTGATTGGGGATCACGGGCCTGTGTTGATCTCTATCACAAAGGAACAATCATTGAGATATATAGGATGAGCCGCAATAAGATGCAAAGACCTTGGCGGGCAAGTGACACAAAAATAACTTTCTAAAATGAAATTTCAAATGAGTTGTTTTTTATAAAATTCTGAACTGAGACATTATAATCATTAATACTCTTTCTGATGTACTCAGGTGGATGATTTTGATGAATTCAAGGAGAGAATGTTAGGATCTGGAGAGACGAAACCACGACCTCATAAAAGAGCATTGCTATTTGTGGACAACTCAGGTGCTGATATTGTTCTAGGAATGCTTCCACTTGCACGGGAGCTTCTTCGGCGTGGAACTGAAGTGAGTTTTTATTTTCAAATACTTGTGCTATTTTAGTATGAAGATTGTAATGATGAAGTTTCTTTTCTCTCTCTCTCTCTCCAAAAGCTGTGTCAAATTGCCTTTTATTTTCGACATTTAAATTCAATATTAATAACTTTTCTGTTCGTCTAACTGTCTGAGATGCTATCACATTGGCTTTGCCACATTACATTCAATATTTATTTATCAATTCTGTCTATCAATATATTGCAACACTTAAACTATTGTAACCTACTAGTTAACAAATATATTGTGTAGGTTGTGCTGGTAGCAAACTCACTCCCAGCATTAAATGATGTTACTGCTATGGAGTTGCCCGATATTGTTGCTGAAGCTGCTAAGGTATACTAATATACTACTTCATCCTGAATTGATATTTCCCCTCCATAGACTAATGTAAAAGTATGATTTATGTGCCTGATACCTCTCCTTTGACCAAGCCTTATATCAAGACATATGATATAGGTTATGTGTTTTTTTTTTTTTTTCTTAATTTTTTATCAAATAGCAGGGTAGCCTTCTTCTTTAGGTGTTTTTTTTGGGTACAACCAAAGAGATTAGCTGTTTGCTTTTTACTGCTTATATAATGTATTTTACATTTTTCAATGCAAGTAGTGATGCTATTTGCATTTGCCGAATTGACGACATTTCACCTCAACTTAAAGTATTTTTTTGTGGACTGATATTACATTGTTAGATGTCCTCATCTTCATACTTAAAGATACTATTAAATCTAGGTTGCCACTTCTAAGCATAATCTGAATCCATAAATAGAAACTAACTATTGTGGTCTTTAGCATTGTGGCATTCTCCGAGGAGCTGCCGAAGCAGGTGGCCTACTTGTGGATGCAATGAATAATGCCCAAGATGGGTCTAAAGATGGTCCCGTCTCGGTTCCTTTGATGGTTGTTGAGAATGGATGTGGGAGTCCATGCATAGACTTGAGACAGGTTAGCTCCGAGTTGGCTGCCGCCGCCAGGGATGCTGATTTGGTATGTAGCCTTATTGTATTTGCAAATTGCAATTGCTTGCTTAGATGGGTGGAACATGGGATCTAAGGATGTGAGAGGAAAGAAAATAGCTAGCTAGGGTGTTCTTTCCTCCTACTTTTTACCCATCCAAACACAATAATAATATCATATCTTTGATATTCATGTATAGTACGTATTTAGAAGCACAAATTAATCATATGTGAGGTTTGTTTTTTGATGCAGATAATTTTGGAAGGAATGGGACGATCTTTGCATACCAACTTTAATGCGAAGTTCAAGTGTGATGCTTTAAAGGTAAATTCATATTAATTGCTGCATATATATGCTAGCTGTTCTTAGTTCAACAGTACTCTGATTACTCACTCTTTTATACCATTTTGCTTAATTAGGGCAACCATTATGTTGCACCGGAACACGTACTATCCTTGTAATCTAGCTAGCTTGCTTTTAGTTCCCCTTAATCCGATCCGGCCTCGATCAGATGAGAATCTAACGGAACAATTATAAATAATATGCAGCTTGCTATGGTGAAGAATCAGCGACTGGCTGAAAAGTTGATTGGTGGGAAGATTTATGACTGTGTTTGCAGATATGAACCAGCTGAATTGAAGGCTGCTGCGTAGGATGTTTTTTTTTTGGAATTGAAGAAAGGATGTTATTATGTATTCAAATTGGTTTAGCTGTACGTACTTAATGCCTAGATTGAGGCTGGGTGGGATTCGGATGTACGGAATTCAGCAGCAGCAACCAAGCTAAGAAAGAAATTAAAGAAACAGGCGGAAGGAGATTCCATTCCATATATATAATTCTGGAGTGAATTGAAGAACGTTATAATTAAGAAAGCAAAAACGTAACTATTCTAGTATTCTTACTTCTTCATATATGAATCCAATGACGCATGCATGCATTCACCAATTTCTGAAATAATTAAGACGTACTTGTAAGTTAATTTGTATTATTGTGAGTTTGTGCATTATGATTATACTGCCTACAGTTTCTTGCATGTCCCCTTTTGCCTACACTGTTAGTTGTAATGACTATGGAATATGACGTTTTGATGTTCCCTTGGAGATGCTTTGCAGACTTGCACTCAATATAATTTGGGTGAACTCTAATAATTTTATGAATTCTATTATATCAAGTATCAACTCTCAATTAAACGTTTTGACACGGAAAATAGAGATTAAACATGTGTATTTTATCAAGAATTTAAATATAAAGAATACAAGATAAAAATAAGTTTGAAAGTAAATGTAAAATTTTCCATAGTTGATAGCAAACCAAACCATGCATGATGCATGCATGCATCAATCCAATATATTGTTTAGTTTATTGGTCAAAAAAATAGTTAAGAACAGATACTATATTGTAAAATAGTCATCCTACAAAAATATATATATATATATAGTTGAACATGTATTTCTCATATTATGACGTCAAAAAAAATACAAATCCACGACTTACTGCGTACACGTAGTAGAAGCGTGATAAAAGTAATGATGATTAGGCACATATATGGAAAGTTGTGGCAGTATCTGTTCCTCTAATTAGTAAATCAGTATGCAGTGGGGGTTTGAGGTCAAACCAAACAATGGGCCACTAGGCATATGCATGTAGTGTAGCCTGTGGGTGCTCCTATTTCATTTCATTATCATTGTTTCTCCTCCAACAAATTCAAGTGGACATCATCCTCCATCCCAATTTCTTATCATTATAGTATCTATTTACTTTTTATTAGTATTTAGTCTGTTTTATATTATATTATTGCAGAAAAAAGACTGAAATGTGAAAATAGAAGTACGTATTTTTCAAAATGTGAATGTCCATTTTTGTGGACAAAAGTATGAAAAAGGACTGAAATGTGAAGATAGAAGGCTTCTCCCGCGAAGGAGAAGGCCACCGCCACTAGTTGCCTTCTCCTTCGCTGGAGAATGGTGTCGCCGGCAGCTTCGCCGGCGACCAATTAAAAAAGAAAACACAAGTGGGACTTGCGTTTTTTATTTGACCACTTCTGACATCAAACGCAAGTTCCAAACTTGTTTTTCATATTTTTATCTACAAAATGAACATTCACATTTTGAGAAATACATATCTCTATCTTCACATTTTAGTCTTTTTTCCTATTATTGCTCACATATTAATTTGTATGGCTCTATTTATTTTATAATGTTATCTTAATAAATTAAAATTGTAGGCGACCAGATATGGTGAATAAATTATACAATTACACTTGCATCTACTCCGATCCCATCTTTCCTTTTAAAGCAATATATTTAGTTTCAATAGTAATAACTCAATGCACACCAAGTTACACAATATATACAATTAATAGACTTATAAGAACATTTAATTGATCCAAAAACTTAAACAATGTGCTCAAGAAATTAGTATTTTGAAAAACCCAACGTACTACAAGTGGATATGGAGAAGACTGACAATTAGACCCACTTGCGCTAAGGGCATCCACACGGACCATACTAGTGAATTTTAAGTAGTTCTTGTGGCAATTTATATTGTGCATCACGGCGCACATATCAATACAATGTGCGCCCATATACAAATAAAATGCGCGTGTTTTAATTGCTGACGTCACTCCGTTCGTTCAAACGGCCCAAACCCCATAATTAACGGAAGAAGCAACAACTATAAACCTTAATTAACCTCTTACAGTAACAAGCATTCATTAACCTTAATTAACCTCTTAAATCCCCTCTTAGAGCTTGGCCTGAAGCAGGATCCCAACACCTATAAATAGGCCCCTAAGGGGCATTGTACATGACACTCAGGTGAATATACACACTAAGTCGAAATTCTTACCACTCATCTTCCACATTCTATTTTCCAGCAAATAATTTACGGAGTACTTATTTTCTTACATTTTTTTCGGTGATTCATCAGCTAAATCCAATCATGTTGGACTCCCAGTGAACTTCCAAAAAATCCTAAAACTAACAACAATAATTCATAATTTGAATAAATAGTTAAATAATATAATAATTTACGCTGGTGGGAAGCGAAGATTAACATTTTAAGAGTAGTGATACATAAACAACACTAGCATATATTATTTTGGGGGTGTTATTATAATATAATAATGTTGCAAGTGTGGTGTCGGGTGCGTGGCAACATAGCGCAAAATTAGTTGCAGCCGCGGCTCCTAATAATATAATAAGATAAGATTGGCAGGCTGGAGCGTATCTGTTGACCGAACCCACTGTAAAACGTGGGGCCACCAGAAACCGAGTGCTCCACCGCCCACATGAATCTATACCGTTAAAACTCTACAAATTTTCTTACTACTACCCCTCTCATAAACTTGTGGCGCTGTCTCCAATCTCGATCTGTTGGCTTTCTTTCCTTCACCCACTCCCTGTATATATATAAAAATATCTTCTTCTTCTTCTTTCAATATAATTCATACTTTACCAGCCTCATCAATTCCCATCTTTCCTGATTCAGCAATTTTAATTTTTCATCACTTCAATAATGTTTTCAATTAATTCTCTGATATATATGTTAGATCAGAAGAACTAGGACTAGGATTACTTCATTATATATGTATGTTCCTCTACAAATTAAAATTCCCTTTTTTTCTCCTCTCTTTATCTCTTGATTCTTTAAATTCCTTGCTTTTTTTAGGTTTTGATATATGATTCTTCAAGTTTATTACTTTGGCCTACCATTTCTTTTTTAAATTTCTTCATTCGATCGTTTCCACTTTTAGAATTTCGATCTGTGAGTTTCTTTAAAGGCTAGCTAGCCATCCAGCGAAAATTTCTCTCTCTCTCTCTCTCTATATATATATATGGAGATGAAAGAGCAACCGAATCGAGCTCTTCCCGCGGTTCCAATGCAACTACTCTTTCCATTGTCAATCGAAGAGAGTAAATCCAGGAGTTCATTGTCTCCCAAAATCTCGGGAAATAAAAGAAGAATGGAGTGCCCTTCTTATTCTTCTTGTTCTTCATTCATGGAAAGCTTGAGCGTTGGTAGTGACGAGGAAGATCCGGATGTGGTTTCCGATTGCGAAAGCGGGATTTCGGGTTCGCCCGGCCGGCGTGAAGGTGAAGATAGAGGGTGTGGTGCAGTAGCAGTGGAAAACGGGCTAATCAGAGTCCATGAAGACGATAGAATTCATGAGATTGTGAGTCAGAAGTTGGTGGCCGGTTTGGGTAACGTGGGAAATCATACTACAATCGAGGCCATTCATAGGAATGGTTTTCGGAGCTTGACGAAGAAGGCGAAGCTACAGACTTTCGAGATTTTCGCGAAAGCCGCGGAGAAAGAGTCGGGCGGCAATGCTAATGTGCGGTATGCTTGGTTTGGAGGTTCCAAGGAAGAGATAAACACCATTGTTTCGCACGGTTTTCTTCCTTACATGATTAATAATGGAAGCTATGGCCATGGCATCTACCTCTCACCTGACCATTTTCCTCTTGGAAGGTATGGATCGCATCGGAGTAATTCAATTCGTACGTTATATATATAGGTAGGTAGGTAGTTTGGATTTATATATAATTACTAGGTGTGTGTGTTTTATTTGCAGTGTGAAATGTGCAGTGGGCGATGAGAATGGTGTACGACACTTATTGCTTTGCCGCGTGATACTGGGGAAGATGGAAGTTGTGGCATCCGGTTCCGGGCAGTGGCATCCCAGTAGCCAAGATCAGTTTGCTTCAGTTTCAGGGGTTGATGATTTAGTGTCTCCCAGCAAGTATATTGTGTGGAGCAGTAACATGAATACTCACATCTTGCCCCAATACGTCGTCAGTTTCAGAGTCTGCTCTGGTGAGCAATTTCATTTCATCTTGAGTTCAATTCAATTGGCCTGGTTAGATCTATCGATCTAATTTAATTTAATTGTCAGCTGGAGTCCAAAGAAATGCGGCGGCGTTTCCACTTGGGAAACCGACTTCGCCCTGGATTTCTTTTCCGGCTCTCATTTCTGCACTGGCTAAATACTTGCCTCCTCAAACCATGAACTTGATTACCAAGCACCATAAGGATCATAGAGTAAGCATATATGCACCAGCTGTTTTACTTTTACTTACTTGCTATCCTCATCATTTCATTTCGATCCTTAGCTTCTTTTTCTTCAATTCTTCCGTCATTTTAACTAATTATTGTTCAGGAGAGGAAAATCTCAAGACATGAGATGATACACAATATGAGGAAGCTAGCCGGAGATGACTTGCTTGCTGCAATCATAAAAGCTCACCGGACAAAATCTCAGTCCGGATTCCATGATATGATATGATGTTGTTGAAAAACCTAGTTTTAAGTTTATTGGAATCAGAGAGTCGGTACCTCATATTCCGTGCAACTTTAATTTGGTTAGGACAAGGCAGACCGGGGACTTATATATGTATGTCTTTTGTTAGTTTATTATATATATATTTTTTAAGGGAAAATGACACTCTTCCCCCTGTGTTATATGCTTATAGCACTTTTTTCTCCTGAGTTATTCATGCATTCACATTTGTCCCCTCAATTATTATAGAAGTGGCGATTTTTCCCCCTGATAATATTAAATGGACATTTCTACCCTTAAAATAAATATTTTATTTATTTATCTTCTTCAACAAATTATTTCTTATACGTAGGGATGACCACGGTTCGGTTCGAACTGAACCAAACACTATAGCAATCAAATTAAAAAATTTCGGTTATGATTCATAACATAACCCAATATTTGGGTTTCCGTTTATTAAAATCGTGAACTGGAAAAAAATGGATCCTGAACCGTGAACCGAAGGTTCAAATCGGAACAACTACTAGCAATAGCTTAAATTAGAATTATAATATTTGCAAATAGTGTATGCTTTTTTCCGCATTTATATTGACTCTCACATATAAGTATATATAATCGCGGTTTGAGTTTTATTTTGAACTGTCGGTTCACACGATTTTGGATCCAATTTGAACGGTTGGTTCAAACTTTCTTTTAAAATTTTATTTTTTTATTTTTAAAATATTCTAAATTCAATACTTAATGTATTTTATTTTTTCAAATCGTGATTATAATTTGTTGAAGAAGAAAAATAAATGAAATATTTATTTTAAGGGTAAATATGTCCATTTAATATATCAGGGGGGGAAAACTGCCACTTAAATAATTTAGAGGGAAAAAATACTATAAGTATATAACAAAGGGGGAAAAAGTGTCATTTTCTCTTTTTTTAATTAAAAGGGGTGCATGATGCTATTTTTTTATGGATATTTTACCAAATATTTAAACAAGATCAGAACCCGGCCTGGGGTACGGTGGATGCATGAATATATTTAATAGAAAAAAAAAAAAACTACCAAATAAATGATGTTAAATAGCTACTAGATTGATTAGATTTGATTGTAAGACTTAGCTTGTTGAATTCAACAAGTGGTAGCTATTATTGTCATTATTATATAAGTTGACAATATCAAACAAAACGTATGCAACAAGAAATTAAACTAATTAAGAATGCTAATATGACTAATGACATCCTAGAAGCTAGTTCTTAAGCGTGGAAAATATAGTTACACATATTTATATGGTTGGATAGATTGTATTTAGTACACAATATAATAATAATAATAATTATTTCAAACATTAGTTATAGATATTTATATAGTTGGATAGATTGTTATAAGACAGAAACCTTATTAGGTTTTATTAATTTTACTAATATTTACTTATTTTTCAAAATAATCGCTACTATCATATCATCATTTTTATAATACGTCATATCAATTCACTTTTAAATAATAATAAATTGATAATTATTACTTTTACGAGGGTTGGCCCAATCTAACACCAAAAATTGTAAAAGAATAAATTGCATGAAAGTAAATGGATCGATACAAGAAATTATTACATGGGTGATGCTAAATTAAAATTTACTTTTATATTGTTAGGATAAATATAAGTTCACAACATCTAATTACAATAGCAACTTGGGCTGAAAATATTGTGAATATTTAATTTGTAGTGTAAGATTCAGAGAACTTTTGGACTTAGAATATTTTTATGAATGTTTGGGAGAGTGTATAAAAGGTTTGAGAATGAAAATTGATCATGTTGATCATATTGATATAGATGATGTCCTCATTGTCTTTGAGCATTGTCATTTATAATAGAGGAAAGGTAGTGTATAGTATATTGTAATAGGGTCTCCGTATGCTAATCAAGCAATATGGTAAGATGTCATAATTCATGATGAGGTATTTAAGAAAGAGGAGATAATTGAGCCTATCTCGATTGACTTTTATACAATAATTAGTCTTTTCTATGCGTAATGTGTAAAATTATATTCTCAATATTTATATTTTTTAAAAAATAATTAACAAATCCTTATTAATTAAAATCTATATGTTAAGTGAAAACTTGTTACATTCACACAAACAATATTAATATTGAAGGCCACATGAGTATTTTGAGAATGCGTCCAGCTCACTGAAGGTATAGTAATAAACATATATACACACTCACACAAACAATATCGAAATATTGACCCACATTATTACTCTATATATATATATATATATATATATATATATATATATTATATGGTTGAAAATGCACAATTTTTTTTTTATATTTAGAATATTTAATACTAATATTTATATTTCACATCACATGTTCTATATAGTTTTATTTTTCTTTAATTTCGTTTCAAAATTTATGGTATGTTTGGATAAAAGTTGGAGCCATTATATTAAGTCATCATGAGATCATAGTATAATGTGACACTCCAAAAAGTTATTAACTAAATCTGAATATCATATATTGTACGTAAGAACATATATCATATCATTATATGATTTCATAAAACAATAAAAAAAATAAAAAATAAAAAATAAAAAATAAAACAAAATAAGAGGAAGGAAATGCAAAGAAAAGATTATTATAAGAAGGTTTAATTTGGTGAAAAAAAGAATGAATTCTTCCCAAAAAGAATGAATTGTGTATACAAGTATTGTTGTTTCCAAAATGGAAAGACAGGTTACATTACATGATTTCTAAAATTAAACACGCATATATGTTATGTGAAAACTTGTCATTTTCTTATCAGATGTCTTCTAACCATCTGTTTTGGATCGAATCTTTCGTATTTATCTTAAATTATTAATTAATTTGTTGTTGATATTTTTGTCCCTCCAGCCAGCCCACTTTCTAATTCCTGGACCAATCATTTCACTGTGGACAACTGCTATTGATGTAGAAAGACTTTAAATTATTGGTAATTTTAGACGAGCTTAGGACATCACAAGTTAAATTTAAATTATTGACAAGTTAAGATTGAAAATTGTATATGTTAGGTGGTTTAGTAGACAATATTTAAAGGATGGATAGATCTTTTATGTACATCGCTATTGAACTTATACTATTTATTGAATTATCGTGATTTAATTTATTTCCTCCGATCCTATATATCAGGTCGAGAAAGGGCATAAGGATTTTTAAGATGGGAGATTTAAGCTTTGGAGAAAGGTTGGAAGATTATTATGGGTACAGCCTAGCTAGCAGACACATTTAATTGCGCAGCCAAATCCTCTAACGCCACACAAATTAATTAAAATTGTAGGGCGGTGTGATATATATCCACCTCCGGCTCCCACCCCTCTTTATTGCTTACATGTGTCATCCTTACCCTTTCCCGTGTTTCGTATCAACCATACCGCCATCTCACTTTCTCACCAATATTCACATTATATATGCACAACGTAACTATATATTATCACCTTTTTACAATATTTCATCATTATCGATCATATTTAAACGTCCATAAACATTACATATGATCTAACATCATTCTAATAATATATATATATATATATATATATATATATATATATATATATATATATATATATATATATATATATATATATATATATATATATATATATATATATATATATATATATATATATAAAAGTTTGTTCAAATACGGTCGCGCTCTCCTGTACAATCATTTGAAGAATACATTAATGGCATGTTTGGTTCATGGAATAGGTCAGGAATGGAATAACATTTCTTGGAATAGACCTATTCCATCGTTTGATTGGATCATTTTGTCATGGGAATGACATGCTTAGGAATGAGCTATTACCTTCGCAAGGGGAATAACCATTCCTAGGGGGGCCTTGGTATTAGCTATTCCCATGCCCTTGGGAATAACTTTTATATCACAAATATCAAAAATACCCTTTGCACATTATATAATATTTATATTTATTTAATAAATATAGTGTATTATATAAATGTATATATTTAATTAATTATAATTTTTATCCATCAATCTATCAATACACACACACACACACACACACACACACACACACACATATATATATATATATATATATATATATATATATATATATATATATATATATATATATATATATATTATTAAAAGTGTAATTAGGCCACTGAATACTCCAAATGTATGAAATTTCACCTGATAGCAGGTTACCATCAATTTTAGCAGGTTACTTGCTTACATAGCAGGTGAGTTGGCATTTTTAATAATTTTTAAATAATTTTTAATAATAAATTAAAAAAAATATTTTTTTAAAAAATTAAAAAAAAAAAAAAAAAAAAAAACAACGGCCAACCACCCCGTCATTTTACTTTTTATTTTTTTTTTTCAATTTTTCAAAAATTTATTATTAAAAATTATTAAAAATGCCAACTCAGCTGCCACGTACGTAAGCAGGTAACCTACTAAAATTGATGGTAACCTGCTATCCTGTGAAATTGCATATATTTGTAGTGTTCAGTGGCCTAATTGCACATTTTTGGAGTGTTCAAGGGCCTAATTACACTTTTTTGTTATTCAGTAACCTAATTGCAGGTTAGGTTCAGTGGCCAATTTGAACCTTATTCCAAATAATTATTACAAGTTATTGATAAGATAAAGACAAATTTATTTGTGTTTCTAGAATAATTTGACAGGGCATGAATCTAAAAATGTAGCGATATTTGTGTGTTCCAACCATACACCTGCAGGCTAAGGCTGAGGCTGCATCACCCCATGCCAACACAAAAATAGTTCCCTCTTTCTTCTTCAATTCTTCTATTATGTCTTCCGTTTTGATTCTCATAATAAGTTGCTGAAACTAACTCTCCCACACCTTTCCTTATTTCCACCGTACCACCAGCCAGCCGAACTTATCGATGAAAGAAATGCCGCAGCAGGCGGGGAGTCCGGTGTTATCGGTGGCTTCCTCATCCTCGCCCAGTTATTCCAATAATAGCAGCTTAGCGGATATTGCTGCCAGAGTCGTTGAAGAATTCAGAGCTGAAAATGAAAACGATGAGGATTCCGACGAGTTTTTATACGTTGGCGACCTGTTCTGCGGTCTCGGGGGAGAAGACCTAGGAAAAGAAGATATAGCAGCAGCAAAAGGCCTGCAGGATAATAATGATGAGGAGCAGAACAAGGATGGTGATGATGATGAACAAGATGAAGATGAGTTTGAGTTCGCGTTTGTTCCAAGAGATGCGGAGTTGTCGCTAATTTCTACTGCAGATCAAATCTTCTACAACGGACAGATCCGGCCAGTTTTTCCGATCTTCAACCCGAATTATTGGGAAGCTGCAACAGCAGCAGGAGGAGGCAACAGCAGCAGCATGTGTAATTCTTCGTTGTTATTGATGTCGAGTTCTGGTGATGAGCAGCAGCAGAAAGTTTCAGCTACGCCGCAAACGATGATTCGTCTGCCGTTGAGGAAGCTGCTGTTAAGTGAGGATCAGGAAACTCCGTCGTCGTCGTCGTGTTCAACCTCGGAGGCCGACGAGCTCGAGGGAATTCCGGAGGGGACGTACTGCGTTTGGCGGCCTACAGCGGTGAAGGATGAGGCCTCGCCGGGAAAGTGCAAGAAGAGCAACTCAACAGGGTGGAGGTGGAGATCGTCGAAGCGGTGGAGGCTTCGAGACCTTGTTCACCGGAGCAACAGCCACGGGAAGGACACATTTGTCTTTCTCAAAAAAGGGGAGGATATGGCCGGGGCAACCCAGAGTTCCAAAACTGCAGCAAAATCAAAGCCCAATCTCAAGCATTACACAAAAAACAGATCAGGAGATAAACGCCGGCACTCATATCTGCCGTACCGACAACATCTAGTGGGCTTCTTTGCTAACGTTAACGGATTTAGTAAGAATCTCCAGCCTTTCTAGAATCAGAATCTGTCATCCATCTCGCCGGTTTAATGCAGATTAGTAGCAGATTTATTTAATTAATTGCTAATAGACAGGTATGTATATTACGCCATCGCTTTGTTTAGACACTTTAAATAAGCACAAAATGCTAATTGTAAGGTTTTAATAAAAAGATGACAGCTGTGGGATTTGAACCCACGCCCTTTCGGACCAGAGCCTAAATCTGGCGCCTTAGACCACTCGGCCAAACTGTCTTAATGATAATTTACTGATATGATTATATATATAGACATTCATGTAAGCTTGACATTTTAGAAACTATATGCTATATATCAAAAGCAAAAATGCTACGTAGTGTTTCGCATCAAAGTGATATTGATTTTATATAAAAAAAAAAAAAAAACCTTCTGTCACAATATATAGCAAATTAGCAACAGTGAACAAAATTCATCCCTATCACCATTTTAGTTAATCTACTAATGTGAAGCCTATTGAACCACAACTTGTACAGAGTTAGTATTTTTGTGATCTGAAGTTGCTACTCTATTCTTCAGTAGCTTGCCTGCAAACTTGATTAGAACGATAGGCTACTATTGTTACACTTACACACAAATAACAGACAGAAAGAAATGCTATCTTCTTCCATGAATGACTTTCTAAGTATGCTCCTGGTAATCCTAGTTCAATTCTGTATCCACTTGGCAGGTTTGACAAATAACAAAGTGAAAAAAACATGAACACTAGCCTTTTGTACTTGTTACCTGAGCTGGGGTGAAGTAAACACCAGGATGGTATGCATCAGCATCTTGGTCCATTGCTCTCATTTCTTGGCCAGCAGCTTCAAATTAAAGGCCCAATCTGGTACTCGAATCATGTCAACGTACCAGAACATGAAATGTAGAAAATATCTCAGAAGCTAAGGTAGTGCAAGTAAGCCTTAATGCTCAAATTCACATATCAGCCTTACCCCAAATTCTGAAAAAGATATTCCTTGTTGATCACGTAGCAAAAGTGCTGGTCTTCTTGTTACCCACTGCAACATGGGTGCAAATTGAAATTCATCAAATATGAGAAACAGGAAATTATTAATATTGTTGTTGATTTATGATAAGTGTGTGTGTAAAACTGACAGCACAAGAAGAAAAGGGAGAACAAGACATGAAAGCAAAGATTTCTGTCTTGTACCTCTTCCTCTTTCTCTATTGCTTTTTCTTTTTCTGGTGACAGTAAATAGAGAGGAGAAATCAAAAGTTACAATGAAAGAGTCGGGGTTTACCTTCACTGCACATATACAAGCTATACAAAAAAGTCCACAGTAGCTGAAAAGCAACCAAATTAGAAAACCCCATTTTTGACCTTCTTCTGGCAACTGAAAGAATACCAAACAAAAAAAAAAAAAAAAAAAAAAAGGCCCATTCTAAGCTTGAAAAGTAAATCCAAAGCCCAAAACAATGAAAAACTTACACAGCTTCATGCACTCATGAACCACAAAGTAGCAATGATGGTCCAAGTCCAGAGGAAGGGATAGAGCAGTAGAGCAAGAATAGAAAGAAGAGCTATTCTTCCACAAAAAGGGGCATAGAGTTGCTGTCACCCAAAATCCCTAGAATTTGGAAAACGTATATGATATCAATCCCAATAATGTTGAGTATTGCATGGATGACACAAAGAAATAGGCAAGCACTAATTTAATGAATTAAGCAAAAGCTGTTAGAAGAAAATATCACTGTTATATCAATTGTATGAAAAATTGACAAAATCAAGCATGGGGAACTCATAATTATATTGATGCAAGCATACAGCATATTCAGCAGTCTACCAATTGCTGCTGAGCTAACCGAAAATATACAGACCACACACATTAATGCAATGTTTGGAGGGTGATTAAAATGAAAGTAAATTTTTACAATCCCTCCCTCCCATTCAAAAACAGGTAGACTTGGTAGCCCAATAAAATGAGTCCTTACAATCCCATTCCCGCGGCGAACGCATTATCCGCAAACATCAAAGACTCGGAATACAAAGACGTACAGCAGTGTAGTCAACCTGAGCAGAGCAGAAGTATCTATATGTGCAAGGGGAATTCACAAGAATGGTAGTTAATCGCCACAATTAGAGTTAAGAAACTGTATCTCTGCTCATAAAAGTTAAATTCATATAAGTTTTTTTTTTAAAGGAATAATATTAGCCAGAAATGGAAAACCAATGATCATCAAATATTGGAAGGATACATACTTGTAGGCAGCCAGCATTGACAAGAAAAAGCCATACCTGCAACATCAAACGAAATTCATATACGGAAATGAAAATCAGGGAAAACTAAGCACTTGAAATTGACGCCTGTCACAGCCATTGAAGATGGTGCAAAAAAAGGAAGTAGAAGATATTTTGACGGGCGTTAGTTGACGCCGCTATCATTGTGGGCCTGGGGGCAACTTTTTACGTCAATACTTGGTCTTTGGGTGTCCAAATTCGCATGAGAATATGGGCCGGACCACACACAGCTTAGCCCAAACTAGTGTTTAGAGTTTAGGCATTCTCATATCATCAACTCAAATAGATTATATATAGATAGACAGAAAACAAATTTATTAGTAGATAGACTCTAAATAAATGTTAATTATTTTAGTAGCTTAGAATTAAATATGCTAATTGAAACCACATTTGAAATTGAGCATTAAATTATGGTGTCTAAAATAGTTAAAAGTGGGGCTCAGCTCCTCACCTCAATTTATTATATATCGTTTTCCTTTCCTTTTCGATCGGCCAGCCCGATCAACAAGTCAAGTTTGTAGCCAATTTCTTCTTTTGTTTCCCTCGGATCGCAATTATGTATTTTGAGATATTTTAAGCTTAGCTTGAAGTGAGCTCATCCACACATTTATATATGTTATTAATTTTATTTTATTTTTAGTGAAGAAAGAGAGGCTAAGCCTCAAAGCTATCTAATTCTACGTTTGAAAATTGAAAGCTCCCCACATTTAAATTTGATTTTTTTTTTCTTTTATGGTATGGAAAGGGACCTCGATAAAGGAGATGGCTAGCTAGCCTCTCTCCCTCACCTACGCGCACGTTAGTTGTACTCATTTTGTCGTCTGTTATGACCTTATCAAATTAATTTATAATGTGATGTATGTAGTGTGTGTTATATATCAGAAGTCAACTCTAGATAAGTTAATTAGCTCAAATTCACATCAACACAAGTCTGCAACAAAATATAAGTTAAATAACTATCAAATTGTTAGAACAGTTGTTAATAACAGTTATCATCTTCCCACCTCTATACTCGGTATATAAACACAGTTCTTGTACTATGGCAAAAGTGTAGTTTGAATAAGATCATTTCTTCCCTTCCATCCATTCTCAGTGTTCATTCCTTCTCGTTCTTCTACTTGGTTACTGTCCTAGATAGTGTCCTCAAAGATTTCAACTTAGTTTCTTGGTTCAGTACAGTTAGTTGAGGATCGGATGATCATTTACCAATTTGTGTTGATTGTTGTTAGACGAATAATTGCAAGCACCATTGTGAATCTCCTCAATTGATCAATACAATCAAACTCTACAATGCTTAATTAATGGTTTAATTTGGAGTTGGAGTTTAGATTATTGGTATAAGTAAAGATTTATTACTAACTGATTTGTCATGACGGTATGTGAAGAAATTAACAAATTAGTTCTTTTTTTTTGAAAGCAATTAACAAATTAGTTGATTTCAAGAATTGTGATACGAGGAAAAAATGATAATGAACAAAAAAAATACAAATAAGGAAAATTTTGTGATTTTTTTTGATTGATATGCAAAGAAAAAACAAATGGATCAAACAATAGAAGAAATGTAAATATTTGTTGCGCTTTTTCTGCTTGTTTTTTTATTTTTTATTTTGATTTTTTAAAGGATGTTGCAATAATAAAAAAAAAAAATAAGGGGTACTCTCACCAATTGAATCAATGAAAGCACCAATAAGATTACGTACTAAAATTTAATACGCAACGGAATAAACCTTCCGAGCAGACTTCTGGTTCCAATCCGTATTCAAGCCACCACAAATCTCAATTTCACACTTCGAGCGTGTGAGAGCTCCAAACAAAATAGCTAAAATAGTTAAATAACAATATATTTCTATGCTTCTCAATCCTCATATACACAGGACTATTTATACTAAAATGCTAATAATACATATAACAATTAACCTACTAAAATAATATAATTATATTAATATACAAGGTAATGATTTATTAATCATCTTCTAATTATACACCCTAATCGATTCTTTCCTTTCACCAACGCCAATTATTTCTTTCTTTTATGCACTTTTTTTTTTTTGAAAAGCCTTTTATATGCACCTTTGTTTAATTAAAATGCAAGCTGGGGACAAATATATAACTAAGGTGGTAATGTGGTATAACAGCATTTCTAATCCTTAATTAGCTCCATTATTATAATAATTTGTTATTTTGTTTTATTGACCATTTAAACTGAGGTGTGTTTGGTCTTCCGATCCGATCTTTCAGTACATCAGTTAATAGAATGTGTTGTTAACTCCAAACATAGATTATGAAAAGGAAAATTATTAAAATTCATATAATAATACACCTCACGAATTGTAGTAGTAAGCATAATGTTGGTTAGGTGGGAGATGGTGTTAGTAGCTGGAGCCTGGAGGGCGGGGACGGAGAACTAAACGCTAATCAATCGCCATTATATTCCATCTGGCCAAACTTTATATATGTTTTTTTGGCAAATTTTATTAAAAGAGATGACGAAGTTTTGACCATGGTCCACTCTATAATGATTGATGTTTTATAGTCCTCTTCGAATTTTAACTAATTAAATTAATTATAAATTAATTGCCCCGAAATGAATAAACGAGTAGATGAAGCAATGCTTTCGCATTTGAATGACACAAATTTGATTCTTGCTAACACTTTCTTAGTTGAATCTGCACAATGGTCTTTCTAGTATAGTTTATCTACTCTTCTATATAATATAATTGACATATTATTACACAAAAATAACATTTATCTGATCTAATGTATATCATCATATAATGACAATACCTCATCATTTAAAACAAAAAAAAAAAAAAGAATGAAAATTATATTCTCTTAACCAGGCCAATAAAACAAGCTCAAGCAACCGTACCAACATATGCCGTCCCTTTCGACGCGGACTATGAAAATATAGTACATGCATTGTCCGCTAGCTAGCTGCGCTGTATTATCGATCCACCAGTTCACACTTACCTTTCTTTTAGAAAACAATTTTGAAAATGAGGTCATTGTCTGCGTAACATATCATTAATTTCACACAATACAAATCATATACGGAGTATAATGTATAAAAAAATATTTGAAAATGATGTCATTGTCAATCAAAACTTACTAAATATCCATAAAAAAATATTTGAAAATGTACATTTAATAATAATAATAATAATAATAATAATAATAATAGTGTTGGAATCTTTAATTAGAAAGTGAAGTGATAAAAGTGGGCATACTCTGAATTGCATGGATAGATTAATTATGTGTATTGGAAGCAATATGATAGAATTGCATGTCCAAATGGAAGTAAATAGTATGTAGGTGGCCGGTGCAACCGCGGTATGGTAAAAAAAGTCATGCCCTCAACCAATGTTGACCCGACCTTCATAGTGTACCTTCCAAACTTGACTGCTTACTACATGCGTTTGGTTCGCAAAAAATGTTTAAAGATTAATAAAACTTTTTACTTTTCCATCGTAGCAAACCTTCCATAAATCTTCCATTATAATCTATTTACTCTAAAACACTCCTGTCACGCACCTTTCACCTATCTTATCTTAATTAATTACTACCGGCCTATTTCCGGTAATATATAGTTGTTATATCTGGATTATTATACTCTATTACCAAAGGTTGACGGTGTTAGAGTATATTATATATATATAATTCCAACGACCATTATATTCTATTTTCACTGTGTTTACGCCTATACGTAGTTGTTAGATATAAATTAGCAATTGCTATTACTCGAAGCTAGCTAGCTAGCTAATAGCAATTGCTAACGTAGAAACGCAGATGAGATAGATGGACTTTTAAGAAATGATGATGAATATGATGATGTCAATACTATAGTACGAATAGTACGTCGTCATAGATTCAATCAGTGGACCGCGCTCCGATCCTTAAGGGAATATACTACTCGTCCGCTGATCTGACACTCTCGGTCTCTCTCTATATATATATAAATATATATGCCTCAGCTCCATTTTCAAAAAAAAAAATATATGCCTCAGCTCCCATCACCGTTACTTGTCTGCTGCGCTGCGCTGCGTATATATGCATGCTTGCTTTTCAACGTATAGTAACTAAGATCAGATCTGCAAATATATATACATATCGATCAAGTTAATGGATCATGTTATCCAAACACCATCAGAAAAACTAGACCGGAAAACTGTGGAAAGGAACCGGAGAATTCACATGAAAAATCTATGCGGAAAGCTTGTTTCTCTTATACCTCCTCAACACCGCCAACCTGCTGCAGCATCCAGGGTATATATTATATTATATTATATTGCAGGCCAGGACAGATCGTAGTTAATTGGTGTGGCAACATACAAGATCAACTTTCCAATTTATTTATTTATTATATATATTTGGCCTAGCTAGCTAAGCCGGCCTCATTTAATTTCCAATTTATTTATTGCAGGAGTTGGTGTCGCAACAAGATCAACTTGATCAAGCAGTCACATACATTAAGGAGTTAAAAGAACGAGTGGAGAAACTAAAGAAGAAGACGAGGAAATTAGTTCCGGCGGGAGAAGAAGAAGAAGAAGAAGAAAAAGAAAGGTGCAGCGGCAGCGCATCTGCTTCGTTAAAAGCTCCGATTCTTCAAGTTAGAGAATTAGGTTCAAGCTTGGAAGTAAAATTGATAAGCTGTTGTACAACAAATTTCATGATGCATCAAGTAATCAAGATTGTGGAAGAAGAAGGAGGTCAAGTTGTGAGTGCAATCTTTTCTGCCATTGGGGATAAGGTTTTCTATACACTCCATGCACAGGTACATACGTACTGTACCCCACAAATGCCTTACGTTATTTCCGCCCTATTTTAATTTGCTACCAAAACTGGTGCGTGCCTGCTTTTTTAATTTTTCCTCCTTTTGCATACATCATACATGGCCTGGCCTACTCCTCCTTCTAGGGCCCCCTTTTTTTTTTTTTTTTTTTTTTTTTTTTTTTTTTTTTTTTTTTTTTTTTTTGATCTCATTCTTATAAATAAATGAGGCTCTACCAAAAGTATAAGTGCAATCTTTAAACTCAATATTGTAAAATATATGATTTTTATATTTCAAATAAGTATGAACCTTTAAAACCAATACTACAAAATATATGATTTTTATTTTCAAAAATTACAGTTCCTACTGTAAAATATATGATTTTTATTTCAAATAAATATGAACGGTGTAAATATTAGTCTTTTTAAAAATTGAGGCCATGTGCGGTTGCCCATCTTGCACGTACGCCTCAAAATCCGGCCATGCAGGTTAAAGTTACTAGGTTAGGTATGAACACTTTCAATTGATCATGAGACATATATAAAAGTAAATGATTCTATGTTGTTTAATTTGATATATTCTACCTTTAATTTTGATGCGTGCAGGTAAAAGTTACTAGGTTAGGTATGAACACTTTGGAGGTTTATGAGAGGTTAAAAAAGCTAATAAACAGCCAATTGCCAGCTAGATACTGCTCAACCTATCCATCCAACAATTCAAGAATGAAGCAGCAGCAGCAGCAAGCAACCCTGCCCTGCCCTTCTCTCAATATCTTGTAGTTTCCCACAGATTCAATCCTCAGCTCGGAATTATTATTATTATTATTTTTTATTATTATTATTATTATTTTTATTTTTATTTTCTATAGACGGATGTAATAAATTTTAAATAAATAAATAATCTAAGTCTACTAATATGTATATACATGCATGATAGTCTGATAGATAGTTTCGATTCAATATGAACTTCATTCTATTGAGTATTGAGATGCATGGATATGCCCGCATGCATGACAGCGAGCTTCAATAATGAACTTGTCTTGACTAAGATTCATCAATTAATACATGCATGGTACGGTGATGTTATTTGACTAAATTTTGAATATATAGGTGGTTTAAAATAATTTTGGATGAAAGACACACAATTTCAATAACATTATTCTTGAGTCAGATTGTTTAAAGTTTTGTTCCGCTTGTAATTATTGTAGTTTGGACCTACGTTGGTTTGATAGTTAAGCAATGTCATAAGATTGCTAGTGACATTGGGAACGTTTCAGTTTGTTATGTCAATAGGTCAGCGAATCACTTAACTCATGTGCTAGCACGGACTTCTGATTCTATGTCTGCCATAGGTTTGTGGTTTACTACGCCCCACCGACCTGTATCTCATCTTTGGTTGATCATTAATACATCTCTTCATTCTCTCTCACTCAAAAAAAAAAAAAAAAAATTAAAAAGTTATGTAAAATAACCGTTACTTTGTTTATATTATCTATCTTACATACTTTAATTTGATAAAATCTTTAAAATACTAAATTATAATAATTAATATGCTCAGAATCAATTAAACACGCGTACATATTGAATTAATTCATTTCAAAAAGTTTAGCTTTTTCATAACTGTATTCGAATTAAATAAATTATAATTAACATTCGGTTTATATATAAAGAATAAGAAGAAGCGCATCAAAGTTTTTTTTTTTTTTTAACGATAGATCTGAAATTGAAGAAACAATTAAAATAATACAGTAAATAATTAAGTTAAGGTGTTAAAGCCAATTAAGTATATATGTATATCCAGATTCAATTAATCTAGAACTTTACTGTACTGGCATGGCCTGGTTTAGAAGCAATACAAATTAAGTTAATAAACCACGTCAACTGAATCCAGGTAGATTCAATTAATCTACTACTGTATTTTGTTTTATATATATATATATATATATATATATATATATATATATATATATATATATATATATATATATATATATATATATATATAATCCAATTTGGTTCTTTTCAATTCGTCGCAACAATATATGAACGTCATCTCTGACTTTAAATTTTTTTTTTTCTGGTTGTAATGAGTATTAATAATGGATCGGAGTGTGTGTGTATATACATATATTCTAATGTCACAAGTCAACATATATATAGTATATATTTCACCCCTCCATCCTAACTTTCTAAAATATCAATTGACCAATTTATATGTTACCGGCCGCTTAAATTTTTAACTAATTACTTATTTAATTTTATATGTGTGTATTTTTTTTTTAATTTTTTTTGTTGTTGTTGTTGTTGCAATTCCTAGGAAGTAAATTAAAGGCAAATTATTTGTTTTTAATCATCTTGTCAGAGTGAGAGAATTTTACTTTTTGTGTATAAAAACTCATGCACAAACATGCAAAACAAACTCTTCAACTAGTCCAATTCAACTTTCAAACATAAAAAATTAATTAAGTATAGATAAAAACAACCACTAATTACCTTTTAACATACATACACGCATATATGTATCTCATTAGATAATAAGTTGTAGGTCTCCTTTTACACTTTCTTTTACATATAAATGAAATGAGGCAATGAGAATAGTGTCATCATAACAAAAGTTAGAATTGAAGTTCCATGTCACCTTCATTCAAATACATCATTAAGATTAAAACAGATGATTAATTGTGACAATTTAAAAAAAAAAAGTTAATATGTAAAACAAAAAATTAAAATAATAGAACTAAATGTGACAAGTTGAATATGAAGTACAAAGAGTTAATACCGCATTTATTGTAACTCGATTCATAACCTTCCATATAAGAAAGCAACTTGGTGTCCTTCCATATAAGAGAGCAACTTGGTGCCACTAGATGACAACTGTATGCAACATAAGTATTGGAAAAGAGATTCTTCATATAAGAGTGCAAAACTTATGTACTTTTTTTTTTTTTTTTTTTTTTAATAAATGAGTAAGTGACGTGAAGGAATTGCTTACTGCAAAGCCAAACTATTGTTTTTTCGGCACATTAATTGATTATTAATTCCATAGTACAGCCGTACAGTCTTTGGAACTCCACATTTTTTTTTTTTCACGATACGAGAAAAAAAAAAAGGAAAATACATCTAAAAATTAAATTACAAAAACCACAACTACTATACGTTACTTTATACCAATATATTTATAAAAAAAAAAAAAAAAAGGAAGTTAAAAATGAAATAACAAAAGCGGATTGACTGATTATAGAGTAGAGAATATGAAGAAGCTAATAATAATATATATATAAAAGCTAGCTAGCGTCGCATTCAATTCGTATATATACACCACCAACTACAATTGACCTTTGTGTTAGACGGCAATATATAGAAGATTAGGAAATAGCTAGTTAACTTATCAATCAATTTTAGTTTATTTAACTACTATTAATTAAAAATAATTCATATGAATGTTTGATTAATTAATTTTTTTATAACAATTTATTGCTTCAAAATGTTAAAATTCAAAAAGCTACACAAAATAACTTTTTTGATTAGCTTTTTGAGGAACTCATTTTGTATGTAATAAGTTAATAGCTAATTTACAAAACACTTTTCTAGAATTAACTAATGCTATCAAGTATCAACGAGTTAAACTCACTAACCAAATCAGCTAACCGCTAACCGCTAATTTACCAAACACTTTTCTAGAATCAGCTAAAGCTATCAACTAGTTAAACCCACTAATCAAATCAACTTGCAGCTATTTACCAAAATCCCCTTATAGAATATATATATATATGCCAGAAATGTTGAATGGTTTGTAAGTGAAACCCTATCTAGCTAGCTTCCCGGCCGCGCGGGGCTTGACAAATTTCTCTTTAATTTCGATTTCTGTATGTCGCCTATCATCCCGGGTTGGCCGGCCTGTATGTATGTACGTATGTATGTGTATGGTATAGTTAGGTGCAGCTAGATAGCTAGCTAGCTAGCTTAATTATTCGATCTGGATCTGAAAATTAAAGCTAAGCTAAGCGAGGTCGGATAAGCTATATATATATACATGCAGTATATATATGAGATCGATCTGAGGATTTAATTGAGAAAGGTAGGTGATGGAGGAAAAGATGAGGATGATTAGCAGTAGAGGTGGTGTTTCAGAAAAACCTGATCGGAAAACAGTGGAAAGGAAGCGGAGAATTCATATGAAATATTTGTGTGGAAAGCTTGTGTCTCTTATTCCTCCCCACCACTTTTACCCATCTAAGGTATAAGCATCTATAGCATATATATACATATGCATCCACTTCAATTACATTCGTTCCATTATTAGCTACCTTAATTATTTTTAAGTACAAGTTTGAAATTAAATACAGTTCGATCTATGATTATCTATTAATTGGATCTGCTTTTAATTTGTATCATCAGCAGGAATCACTGTCACAACAAGATCAACTTGATCAAGCTGTGACATACATAAAGACATTAAGAGAACGAGTAGAGAAACTAGAGAAGATGAAGAAGAAAATGAGTTGGGGAAAAGAAGAAGAAAGCAGCGAGAAGAAGAAGAAGAAGAAAAAGAAGAAGAAGAGTGCAACAACTGCAGCAGCAGCTTGTACATTACTAAAATCGGCAGTAATTGAAGTTAGAGATTTGGAGTCAACCTTAGAAGTAGTTTTGATGAGTGCTACTAATAAACCAAACTTCATGCTGCACCAACTCATAAGGATCGTAGAAGAAGAAGGGGCTCAACTTCAGACTGCAACTTTTTCCACTGCAGGGGATAAGGTTTTCCATACACTCCATGCACAGGCTAGTAATTATTATTATTATTATTATTATTATTATTATTATTATTATTATAATTTCCATAATTTCATTTTCACTACATCCATTATCCAGGCATATATATAATGCAACTACATACCTACCTAATTTAATAATTAGCATTTCTTTAGATTTGTTTTTCTTATATATGTATATATATTTTTTATGCCTGCGCGCAGGTGAAAGTTGCTAGGTTAGGCATGGAAACTTCAAGGGTTTATGGAAGGCTCAAACAACTAATCACTTAATACAAGCTAAGCTAAGATGGCAGCACACAAGTTTTTATGATTCATTCGTCTAGTTTTTTTTTTTTTTTGGTAAAATAATAATCTGTAAAATCAACAGATTTAGTTAATTTGTTGGTAAAAATAATTCAAAAAAAAAATCATTTAGCAGTCCGAGTCATGGAAGTGAAGTTGTAATTTGTAAAATGTTACGGAGTATTACATTATTAAATAATATCTTAGCTTTCAAGTTCTTTATTTTTTTAAGAGTTCAATTTGGTAACTTAGTGTATAATAATGAGAACTTGTATTTTGAAACAGTTTAAAAATGCATGCATACGATACATACACTAAATATACACTACAAAATGTAAGACTGAAAAACGCAATACACCTAGGACTATAAAGTCTTAACAAGTAAGTATATGTCATAAAACTGGAAAACTAACAAACATTATTATCAAACATATTGATAAACTAAGAGGTGAAGATGCAATTGTCCAGTCCCCTCTAACTTTTTCAGATCAGAGATTGACTCCCCTTTTGTATCAATACTTCAATATAATGTGTGGTGTATTTATGCATACCACACATCTAAAAAAAATGCACCATACCTCCCACAACTAATTGTGCGTTTCCGAACAATGTGTGGTGTATTTATGCATACTTAATGGTGCATTTTGTAGTGATGCTTACCTAATTGTGCATTTTTTTGTTGTACGTTTCCTAACACCATTGGTGCGTCCGCACGTTAAGGCGCGGCCGCACTAGAACTAGACTCTTTATATATATATGCGGATGACTCCTCTGGTAAAAGCAATAGCATTTTGATAATTTCATTGATTTGAGGGTACATTTAGATGTGCTTGGTGCATGTAGATATGCGTGAAGTCTTGATGGTGCTTTGAGTCCAATGCACCGTAAAACATTCTCATGAGCACCACAGACCAACACTTAGTGGCTTAGTGCAGCACAGACAATAGTTAGTGGCTTAGTGCACCACAGTCCACAGACCAACATTTGGTGGTGCACCATAGACCAACCCGTAATGCACCACAGACCATCACTTAATACATCACAAAATATATTTAGTGCAAAAATTTATTAAAATGTCATTACATTTTTTACCATTGATCTGAGCTCATACAACGATCCGGCCAATCTGTCTACATGTTCGCAAGCAAAGAGGCTACTACACCTGATCCGGATTTTATTTTATACATATTCCTTTAGTTTTTAAAATTTATTCTGATAAACTTAATTTTCAAGAATTATAAATACATTCAAACGAGAGATTGAGAAAGCTAGCCACTTAGCCAGAGGTGAGGCCAATCATTTCTCTCATTGGAAAACATATATGTCTAACTTGTTACTTCAAAATTTATTCAAAAAAAAAAAAAAACAAACATATTAAACAAACAAATAATTAAAGGCATCTTATATTGCGATCAACGATTCCACACATGAATAGTTTTATTTTGTTTGGGTCATGCTGCATGTTTCACAACTTAGGCTCTTTAGTGTTTGTATAGGTGCACACATCCACACATATATATTAAAATAATTACACTCCGTTAGTTATTCTTTTACATTAATACGGAATAATATAATATATGTGTAAGACTATTCACACTCATTCAATCTTCTCTTACTTTCAAAATGACACATCACAAAATTTAAAATTATTCATTATTCACTTTTCATCCATGCAACTTTCTTTTTAAAATTTTTTTTTTTTTAAAAAAAAAACTTCATACACTATCACATCAACTTATAAAAAATTATTTATTAATAATATATTATAATAATAATATATAAATGCCATGCGCTCCTTTTGCAAACCTGACACGGCAGTTGCAAAATTTGCAAGTCTGTCGTGTCAAGACTTGCAAATTAGAGCATCCACAATGGTAGATTTTTTTATTTTTATTTTTTGGTAATTTTTGAAAAGTTTGTGTAAATGTGATTAGGAAAGAGATTATGGGAGGAAAAAGAAAAAAATAAAATAAAATTGTTTTAATAAATAAATAAGGAGCATGTCAGGCACACTTGTCAGTGAGCCTGGCTGCACGCGCCCAGCGTGGCTTTGATGTGCGCAAAACGCGCACAACAGCTGCTCTCTCTCATTTATTTCTCTTTCATTGGGAAGAGAAATAACATTCCCTTGTAGGAGGAGATGTCCCTTTCTCTCTCTTGCATCTTTCTCCGTCATGTTGGTTCTCCAGTCTAAAAAATCGTGAATAAATTTCAAATAATCTGCTGATATTGATGCTCAGAGAAGCCATATATATAATCTTTCTTTCTTTTTTTAAACCAACATAGTCTTTGCAAGGCCATCCCTTTCATGGGTGTGGATGGCCTATGTAAACAAAAGGTGGAGAATTGATGAAGAGATGATGAAAATATAAAGTATATAAACATTATATATTTATTTGAAATGCATGATCGGCTATTTAAGATTTGTGGGATCTTATAATATCTAATGCATGCATGCATTAGATATTATAATGCATGCATGCATCACGAATATATGTGTGAATTCGATTAATTTGCAGAAAACGCTAATTAAAGTCTAACTCTAGTTGTCTTCAAGTTATGGTCAATTCAATTATATAGTTAAACTCCACTATTTAATTGCCCTTCAACTTTAATTTATAAGCAAGTAAAGTCGTATCAACGAAGAAATTAAAGATTAAAAACAAAATCTCCATCAATATATATAATTCAAAAATAGGCCTTATGATTATAGGGAATCATTTGAAAGTTTCAACCTGACCCAGGAGACGACTTTTAAGTTTTAACCAAAGAGCCAAATTGACATTATAAAGATAATATTGTTTGACAATCAACGGTTAGCAGATTGTGTTAGCGATTAACGAATACAGATTGTATTAGCGGGTTTTGACTAGCGAATTGTATCAACTGTAAAAAGATGTTTGATAATATTAGTTATTTAAATTAACAATTAACATGTAAAATGACCTAAATGGTATACAATAATAATTCGACTGTACACCCACAATCCTTACACGACCATGTTCTCATTTGGTCTCTCTCACACATACACACACACATAAATATGATGGGGAATATACCCCGGGTTCAGGCTCCCCGTACACACCGTGCTCCTGTTTGGGACGGGTCAAACGGTTCGGGTCAAGGTCAAACCCGTCTTGGTTGCACCTATATAAGGGCACTTGACCCTTCATTTTGAGGGGGTTCCTTCCTCTCTTCATCCTTAGATCACACACACACTCTCTCTCTAAAGAGATGTCTTTGAGCTATTTTCCTCTTGTCTACATACATTATTGTTCATACCTATTACATACGGTACATACATCCTACTACTTAGCGGGAATTACCCATATCAATATATAAGTAATTTATTATATTTTGATTCAAACTCACTTTTAGTGTATTTCAATTCAAAATAAACTTATAATATACAAACAACAAACATATATCTATCAACGATTCATCTTACTACACCGACTTTAGTCAATGATATAAGCATTATTAGTAAACACGTTTGAAATCCAAATAGTCTAGCCAATAACAGTACGGATTATTATTATTATTATTATTATTATTATTATTATTATTATTATTATTATTATTATTATTATTATTATTATTATTATTATTATTATTATTGTTTTAAATTGGGTTATACATGTACATTGTACCTTGTCAAATTGGTCTACTGTTTTTGGTAGTTTATATAGTTAGGTCTCCAAAATTATCGATATGCCATGCGGCAGTAACTTTAGACTAAATTTAACATGCAATAATTATAGAATCTCTACAGATATATGAAATTGACAACACGTATATACTTTTTTTGGAAAACCCAACACGTATATACTTAATTAAGCTAATTAAGTAATTATAATATGTGTTACAGGGTGAATCTCATAAAACATGGGTAGGTTCATATATGAGATGGGGTCTGATACATGCATGCGTTGAATTTCATCCTTAATCCTTTCTTATGTATAATAATTACACTACAATATTTTTAATAAATTTCATGCACTGAACAGTAAATTTAAATGTTTAATGCGAAAAAAATAACAAAGTTACAATAACATTTTTTTTGGGTGAAGTACGAGAAGTTACGCCTAGAGGTTATATATCTGATTTGTGGGAGGTCGCTCCCCTGGCATCATCCGTGAGGAGGTTGATGAGCCCCTCCAAGGGTTCATCGAGGACGTACTGAACTACCCCACTTGATTGAGTTTCGCAAAGAATTCCTCACACTTATTTTTTCTACGAAAAATATGAGAAAACGTAATTTCATGGAATCTGCTAACCGCAAGATAAGACCAATAAAAATGATCAAAATATTAGAAATGTAAAATTTATAAAGTATATTAAAAAGTAAATGCAATGTATAAATTATTACATTTCATGATGTCAATGTCTAAAAAAAAGAGTAAATCAAAAGAAACAAATTGTTAGTATACAAGAAAGTATGTACAATATACAAGATTGTGATTGAATCATCAATATAATGTTTCAATAGTCGTTTAGCTATAAAAATAAGACAGAAAATTAGTCTAAAAAAACTATATCAAAGCAAAATTTAAGACAAAATATAAATTGTGCTATTTTCTTCCTCTCCGTCCACCTGGTTTATTTGTTTCAAATTAAACAATATAGAGAACCAAAAAGCGTCTAGATGCATTTCTCAAATAATCAAATTTAAGCACTTTATCAACTCCTTCCATGTGCCTTCAGCTTCATGGCTTCATGCGAGAATATGTATGTTTTTATCCCGACGCTATAAGGTATAAATAGAAGTTAAGACTTAAAGATAATTTTTATTTTTTTAAATCATTACATCAAAAGATATAATTAGTACGGAGTAGTAAAAATTTAACTTTTTTTGTACATGTATAATAATTAACTTATGATTCGTTTGTTAGTTAATTCTAGCGGATGTCTCTTATATTTAGTTACAATTTCAAATTTAGTCTCAAACAATCGAATTTGTCATTTAACAATCCAGACTATCACATTTTGAACACTTTTTGGTTCTTTTGATGATTTTTTTAAGGTGAAACTTTATTTTAAGAAAGTCGATGTATTTTTTGAAGAGACAAAAATACCCTTGCCTAATAGATTTCACCGAAGAAGTCATTGGAAGGACCAAAAGTGTCCAAAATATGATAGTTTAGGGTGTTAATTAAATGGCAAAAACGATAGTCAATGAATAAATTTGAAATTGCCACAAAAAATAAGGGATCTCCGCTAGAATTAACTCTCCATTTTTATACCAATTGACAAGATTAAGTGCTTTATCACTATGTCAAAAGCTGATACTAATTGTCAAGATCAAATGTTTATCACTACACCAAAAACTATACTCAATAATAATTGCGACTACTCAACTTTATGTCCTTATATTTGCATAGTAATTACTACCACATTTTGATGGCAGAATGTTGAATTTAGCGCTCTAAATCAACATCCAACATAACTCTTTGTTAAGATCGAGTAAATGCTTACAATTAGCTAAGAGTTATAGTTAGTACATAAAATATAACTTTATTTTTGTATATTTGTGTAGTATCGCTACGTGTTGATGATAGGATTTTGATGGACTTGTATTTCTAAGGCTGCACCCAACACCCATTTTCACTTCAATTACTACAAAAGTCTTTTCAAATTGACCGATTATCTTATTCTTTCCAGTTTCCACTGACCACTTTTATGAAGATCAAGTGTTTAAACTGCCACAAAAATTATAATAAATAGCAGGAGTACAATTTTATTTTTGTATATTTGTGTAGTGGCTCGTTAACACCACTGATGATATTGGCTCTAAGTTGAACTCAGAACCCTTAACAACACTACAAAAGTTAGCTATAAATATAAGTTTAGTCCAAGATTTATATATTATTAGTCTAGATTTGGGCTGAATTGGAGGGTCCTAGCAGAATGAGAAAGGAGTGACTTATCCACTGGACTAAATGACTGATTACAGAAAGCCCAAAACTAAAAGTAAAACAGGCCCGAATCTAGTTCCCTAAAGAGTAAAGACTGTCGTCGATTAACTTGCGATTTTTTACTTTCCCAAATTCCACCGTCGATCAGAGGGAAGACTTTTCGGAAGAAGTAGAACTCATCAACTCAACTTCACTATACTGACTGAAGAATGAAGATCATGATTTCCCGGGATTATATTTCCACCTTCTTCCTCGTAGCCGCCGCGATCTGCTCCTCTCTCCAGGCAAAGCCTTCCTTAATTACTTGTTTTTTTTTAGGGTGGAAGGGTTTATTATTTCTTCACAAATAAAACTGAAACTGATATTTTGAAATTTGGACCCGATTTTCTATAGGTTAATGCTGATCCATCACTCTCCAAGTCCCCCTTCTCCGTTGCTCTCGATACCCTTCAAGCTCAAATCAAGTAAGTTTAATTTCTTCCACCCCATACATTTTGTGAAGAAGTGCAGTGTGGGAATTGGAATAATGAAATTTGGTGGTTTGGGTGAAGGTTAAGTAACGATGTTAGTATTGTACTGTGTATATAGCTATACATTTGAGAATGTTGGGTTGCTTCGACGTGCTATGACGCATTCCTCGTACTCAGAGGAGAATAACAAAGCTCTGAGCATCCTGGGAGAGAAAGTGATCGAGATATCGGTGTCAATGCTGTTGCTAGTACACAACATTGACACTTCCTCCAGCGACCTCAACGATAAAATTTCCGAAGCGTCAAAGGTGGAGACTTCATGTGCAGGAGATGGAATGCGGTTGAATTTGCAGAATATAGTTAGAGTTTCGTCCAATACCAATTCCACAACTCCTTCAGTGGTGTGTGGAGCTTTCCGGGCAATTCTTGGGGCAGTTTGTTTGGACACAGAGAGTACAGACAGTGCTGGGAAGTTGTTTCTGAAAATTCATGTTTGGGAAGCTTTGGCAATATAATGTAACATCTTGCTGCTAATAATGTTCAAATGCATGCTACGTATTGGAATCTTGAATTGACCTACTTACTTATCCTGTATTATATTATGAACCTACCTGGAGTCCATATATATATGTGTGTGTAATATGTTGGCTAGCTGTTTCAATCTAATGTTAATGCTTTGTTATGGATAAAAGTTCCTGAATTATTGTCTCATTTTCTTCACATTTATAATTAAAGTTGTAAAGCTGCGCTGGTGAATGGAAGGAATATATGTTAGTTGAGAATATACTCCGGATCCTGCAACAGCATATATGTTGAGAACCCAGCTCAGCTGGCTCCTTTAATAGGCTATAGCGTATTAGCGTGGCTTACTTGTGTTGCTTACTAACACCATTTCCGTTTGATTTGATTTGTCAATTATCATTTATGAGTATCACTTATAAGTATGATTTGACATAAGAAATAATTATATATGCAGTAGTGGTGTGTGTAAATTGCAAAGCAAGATTAGAAGTGGGGTTTTCCTATCTAAATCCAGATCATTATGCACCAACTTCGTCCTTATCTCGCACCTTACCACTTTCAAATCATATTTATGTTTTAAAAATCAAATCTTGAAAGCAAGCAAGCAGTAAGGCCGGAGTAGGAGGAGATCAATGATTGGCAACCGGAATTTCCCAGTACCCGTAAGGCCGTAACACGTACCCTTCTGGCTGGCTTCTACAGCTACAGACACACTGGGATATTTATTTTTATATGTATATATATATGTGTGTGTGGGTGGCGCGTCTGTTTTTATTATTCACACATACCCAAAGTTTGTAGCTTTTTAATCTGATCTGGGGTGTGAGATACCTGTGTATGGAAGGCCGTGAAGTTTCATACAATAATGATGCGGAGGCGAGGAGCAAGAGCCCGGAAGTAGTATTATTCCAGAAGCGGCGCTGCTGCTGCTTCCCATGTTTCGGGTCAGCCAACCGGGGCGGGTTGAGGTGGTGGCATAAGCAGCATCAGCTGTCCCTGGGGGGCGAGGTGGAGGAAAGATCATTGTTGAGCAGAGGAATCAGCGCCCTGAAGAAGCTCCGGGAGTGGTCGGAGATCGTGGCTGGGCCAAGATGGAAGACTTTCATCCGCCGTTTTAACAGAAGCAAGAGCGGAAGCGGAAGCGGAGGGAGGCAAGGGAAATTTCAGTACGATCCTCTGGACTATTCCCTCAACTTCGACCAAGGCCCGGGAAATTTGGAGGAGGAGACTGAGTACGCCTACCGGAACTTCTCCGTCAGATACGCCTCCATTCCGGCGTCGGCCAAGGCATCCATGGACCTGGGTAAAGATGGGCCCAGCTTCGTCTAAGTGCGCTGCGCCGTCCCGTCCGTTGCTGCTGGGGTGGAAATGATCGATCGCTAGCTGTAACAATCAACGATCGATATCTACTCTCACATGCACACCTCATCATACTGCTTTTCTTTCTTTTACTTCAAAAACAAGTATTTTTCCTTTTTTTTTTTTTTTTTTTTTTTTTTTTTTTCAAATAGACAATTGTTGTTGTGTATAAAAAAAATGGTTTTTTTTTTTTTTTTTATTTTTTAAATACGAAACATTAATACTCCGTATATAATTAATTATGGTTTAGCTCATGATTGTGTTAGTTCAAAGAAAGTAAGAGAAGAAGATGCGTCAAGTTATATATGTATTGAAATTGTTGGTCAAACGTAATTAGTGGAGATTAAGCATGATTTCCTACAGGGTGCGGGCCGGTAATAATCAGTACTCAAATTAAAGCTAATTAATACACTACTCCGTAATTATTAATTAATACAATGAAGACAAGCACAATAGACCAAAAAGCTAAGGTAAAAGTGGAAAACAGAACATATTCCTTAGAAAAGTAAAGTGTAAAGATAACAAAATTGAAAGAAGATGAGAGGACATTGTATTATAGTGCAGGCAGGCAGGCAGGCAATCCACAGGTACAGATATTACATTACAAAATGCTCTAAAAAATACCTATGCACGCTCCTCCGGCCATGTCAAGTGTGAAATTATAGATGATCAAACAAATTGAGTTGTATTAGTGATTGGCAGAGGATGATTATTTGTACTAGAAGAAAACTTATAATTATCTTTGTTGGACCAAAGCCAAATCTTGGATACTGAGAAGCTTTCCCCTTCAGTTCTGGCACTGATTTTCTTTCCTTCTAATGAGCTGCTACTGGGACCTTCAACCTTGGTGGCTCCACCATTACTAATAATAATACTAGGTAGAGGTAGAGCAACCTGCAAATCTGAATCACCAACCACATACTGAAATGACCCCATAGAGAAGCATCTCCTTGCATCCATGTTGCATCTACTACTGTTTTCCCTTTCCTCTTCACCTCCTCTTTCGCCTGAAACCGAAGCCCCCAGCCCCTGCACATTCACGTTTCTGAATTTTCCAAGCCTCACTGAAAACACCCTCATGTCACCACCATTATTTTCTTGAATTATTTGCGTCTTATGAATGCCCGAGGAGGAGTCGTTGGCCAACAACAAATTTGGATGATATGGATGAGCAGAGCCAGTAATCACCCCTCTGCACAAAGGGCATGTGGAGTTTGACAGCAACCAAGTGTCTATACAGTGGATGTGAAAGGCATGGCTGCACAAGGGCAGCAGCCTCAGCTTGTGGTCTCCTGAAAATTCACACAAACAAACAGCACAATCAAATGGCTCCTTCAAACCCATGATATCCTTGTACAAAAACAGTGGCAGGGTATCTATGATGGCTTGGTCCAGCCCGGAATCGTGTAAGCGAAAGAGCTGTTGTAGCTGGCGCTGGAGAGCTTGGGAGCCAGAAGTTGTTTCTGGGAATCTATTGGACGACTGAGAAACAGATGAAAAACAAGGCCTTTTCATCAAATATCTAACCAGAAGATGAAAAAGACCAAACAGAAAGAAGATTACAGCTAGAATTACTATCACCAACAACAGAATTGGGCTAATTCTACTCATGGATAATATAATTCTACTCACTGTCTCTCCTTCAAATTTTTACAGAATTGGGTATGGCCAAGACTACTGCAGTTTCCACATTTAGTTTGTGAAGGCATAAATCTGCGCTGCAGACAGTGGGATCAGAGAAAAATAAAGGAAAAGAGAAGCATCAAAAGGACATCTTTATGCTCATATTAGCAAAGACCTTTCTGACATACATTTTTCAAAACCAATCTTTGAGAGAGAGCGCAGCAGTATAACCAATCAAACACAAACTTCCTCTTCCGGCCAAGAAACACCTCTTTATGCCTTTACATTACATAAAAAGTTCCTGGGGATCGGATGGACTCATTTAATTAGCAATGGAGATGATGACCTGAACTTTCCAAGAAATATTTACCACTCGTACGTACTAGATATATAGTGTGGTACCTATGTGAAGCAGGTAACTGAAAATTCAAAGAAATTGTCAGAAAATGGTATATATAGGACAACTGCTACCTCTGCAATTAAGATGACCAACCAAGACATACTAGTGACTGGAGAATCTCCAGAGATAAGAGTTTTGGACTTTCTGAAAAACAACATAAGTCATAGCAGTAATTATGCGCGCGGTGGCAAATTTTAACCACGTCGGTGTTGATGTATAGTCGTTGTAAGAAAAAATCGTATTGAGATGTTTTGATTTGACATACGAATAAAAGTAGATAAAAAGATGAAAGATTATATTTTAGAAAGAGTTGCGCCCCAAAAGACTACTTTTTAATTTGTTGCAGTCAACGGTAGTTAGATTCAAGGGAAAAACAAAAACAATAGGTTAATAAAATGGTTTGTGGCCTGGCAGGTGTAAAGGGAAAGACAGTGCATTCGAAGACTTAAAAGGATTTTGGTAGTGACATCACCTTACCTAAACAATCATCGCCACATATGTCTTTCTCACTTCCTCTCTATGAATATTATTTAATTTCTGGAGGTTTCTCTGTCCAAGTTTGTGGCCTAAATACCTCCTTTTTTTTTCCTTAATTCTTTCTAAATGATATTTACTTCAATTCAATAGTTTAGAGGTGTTTAATTATATTTCAAATATTTATGGGGTTTAATTTTCTTAGTCAATGATGTTTTGGAACAAAATAATGACACATGTAAACTATAATCATAAACAAAACTTGATAGCATGCATGACAGCATTATTAGTTAGACCTTGCTAGCTGTACGTGTTCTATATATACATTTTCATACTTTAATTTTGACATTTTTTTAACATTTCGATCTCTATGATAGGATAATACAAAAGAGGTCATAAAAAGTTGTTTAAAAAAAAAAAAAAACAAAGAGAAAAAGAATGGGACAAAATGGCAATGGATATTAAATGTTAGGAGCGCTTTGGCAACTTCGTATGATCAAGACAAAAGGGTTTCATTTATATATTGCAGTTATGCTGTCTATTGTTTAAAGTTAGGTAGCAAGGTTGGTGAATATGATCAAACATTTTTATTTATAAAAATGATTGAGTAACACTAATATATATATATATATATATATATATATATATATATATATGCCGGTGGAAATGAAATGAGATGCGCTGTTATTTTTATTTATTTATGCTTATGTGATTTCAGGTTCACCGAATTAATACTATGTCCACGTACTGAACTTCGTCCCTAGAGGTCTAGAGGTAAATCGTGATTTGTATAATCAGTCTACTGATCAAATCTTAGTTTTCATATTCTACACAAGTAATCTAACCTAACACATATTTTACTGGACCTTTTTCCTATTCATGGAGTTATGGAGCACGTGACAATGTTGAGCCAGCTGCCATGGCAAAATAAAAATGTGGTCCAGCTAGATCCTTGTCCAATGCCAGAAAATTTATGAGATAGATAGATATTGTTGAGTAATGTATGGTGGAAAATTCTGTGGTGGGCGATGAATCGGAAGCGGAATTGGTTAAAGGAAGTGTCTGTGACTGTGGCACATGCATTCATGCATGCATGCATTGACAGATTATTATGGTATATATGGCATGCTGACCACTAGATTCTGGTCGTCTCTTGGTCACCAACGTAAACGTTAGCATTTGGATCCCTATCTTTCAGCCTGTCATCGTATTTTTCGAAACTCTGATCCTACTGATTCTTAAGGATAACATTCAATTCGCCATATGCACGCGATATATCACAATTTTCACAACCAAAACTCATTCATAATAATTGAGTAATTGTAAACACAAAATATATATAAGGTCACAATAAGTATAGTCTAAAACACTGATATAGTTTAATATGAGATATTAAAATTTTATCCGATCTGAAACCCGAACTAACCGAAATTTTGTTATAAATATAAAAATGTAAATTATATATTTAGTTTTAAATGTATTTATAATTAATAATTCGTAAGGCTCTTACTTAGTTATTAATATTTTATCTTATTTTTAGTTTCATAATATATATAAAAAAAATATAAATATACAAATAATATAATCATTAAAAAAGCTTAAAATTGATAAAAATTAAATTTTAGGTATATCTAAATTAACTCGAATTAACCTGAAATAATTTCACCAAAATTAAATATATGTAAATTAAATTTGATTCAAATGTTGTGTGTAAAAAAAGATCACCTGAAAATTTTGAATATTCGAAATAAAATTCAAGTAACACAAGATCGGACGCCCATATGAAAAGTTAAAAAGTGAAAGAGCCAATTTTGGCAAGGAGGAAGAAACCCATTTGAGAAGGATTTATATTGGCAGCCCATGATGAGAAAAAAGACGGCCAATGCGTATGTGAGGCCCAATTATAAATTAAAGTAAAATCCAGAGCGATCGAGGTGCAATAGTTATGTTGTGCAACCGAATGCACCATGCGCATGGTGCATACGATGCAAAACAACATCGTTTTGATTAAAAATGCGCGTCCCACTTTAAAAAAAAAATTCAGGTTCGATTTTCGACAATAGCATTATTGTGGATATATAGTTATGAATTTATGGATATTTAGTTCATTCATTGTGGATATTTAGTTCATTCATTGTAGATATTTACTTCATTTATTCACTGTGGATATATAGTTATGAATTTATGGATATATAGTTATAAATTTATGGATATATAGTTATGAATTTATGGATATTTAGTTCAATCATTGTTGATATTTAGTTCATTCATTGTGCATATTTAGTTCATTCATTCACTGTGGATATATAGTTATGAATTTGTGGATATATAGTTATGAATTTATAAATATATAAAAACGTTATTACCAGAAATCGAATCTGATTTCTTTTTCAAGTGGGACGCGCGTTTTTTAATCAAAACGACGTCGTTTTGCATCGTATGCACCATGGTGCATTCGGTTGCACAACATAATTTGCGATCGAGGTAATAGCCGCGCCGCAAATGGAAGTCCAGAGAGATAGACCTTCCACGGAAATAGTGTCCACCAAATTAAAGAATTGAATTCAACCATCCATTAGTTTAACTAGGTTACTCTCAAATTTTACTTTATCAATTATACTCCCTAATGTAACAAATATGAATAGAACATTTTTATCTGAATTCTAAAAAAAATTATCTATATCTAAAATTATGAGAAGGGATAAAAACTGGGAGTAGAATTTGAATGTACAAATAGTATTTTCTTTACTTTAAACTTGTTTGGCTGATTCTTATGTGAAATCAATCAAAATTATAGTCGTACAGTGATGATGAGTGTGTATTTGAAGTTCTCAAAAAAAGTATGTAGCTAGCTAGGATTGATGGGAGTAATATTGTATTTACAAATACAGTACAAATCCAGCTTTGATATAATAGTTGTTTGCACTTTGCAGTGATGAGGCCGGTAGCCAGTTAGCTAGGCTGGTTGCCCACCAGATACAAAAAGCAATAATCATATCGATCATTCATCATTGAAACGGATCGGAGATTCCTTAGCTTTATTTATGCGTGCTTTATATCATGCATTGCATGCGCTAGCTTGCATTGCTAGGAACAACACCAAAAGTGAAAACAAAAAAAGTTGATGAACAGCGAGCACTACTACTACTAGCTAGTGGAGGAGTGTTATATATACTGCATGTAATTAAATATTAAATATTTCATTTCATCAAATTAAATTTACACTGCACACACATTGCATGTAGTGCAGTGTGACCACCAAATCAAATCATGCAATGGTGGTAGTACGTGCAGAAGAGCACCATGAATTGTCTCTCATTCCTCCGACTTGAAGACGACACAAAAACCTCACACATTATTTTTGGTCCAGCTTTTTCATATTCTTGTTCTCCATTTTTGGGGTTGGAAAGGAAAGATGTCCTGTATGTATGTTTTAGTGCTATATATATATATATAAACTACATTTTAATCATCACGTTCCTTTAATTTCATCTTCCACCTCTATTTTCTTTTCTTTTTTCTTTTCTTAGATATATTCATCTTTCAAGCTAGCTAGGTAATTATATAAATACTCCGATCCAATAAAATTAAAATTTTCCACATTATATATGTCAACCTTATTCAATTCATATATATATATATATATATATATATATATATATATATATATATATATTTCAAGTATTGCTTCTACAAATTAAACATACAGATCAGAGAAATATACTGTCTGAACAATATATTAGCAGGTTGAATTGGTTTGTGATGACCAAATTAAAACAAAATATTTTGATTTAATTAAGGTTTTAGAAAACATACAGCTGCGCTGCTAGCTTAGGCACGTACAGTAGGACAGGCCAGCATGGCTTTACAAAATGGACATCCATCCACAAGGAGATGTTGGGTGAGTGTTGTAAACATTAAATTAAAGATTCCATACTACCCTAGGGCGTAGACATAAAGGGAAAGATGAGAAGATTGAGCTTAAATAAATAAATACATATATAGATAGATGTTGTCTTTAAATTAAAAAGCTGCCTTTATCAATCTTTATGTTGCTTTGTTGGGAAACAGAAATATGTACTAGTAAGAAGGCGGCCGGCGGATTCTCAGCTCCGGTCCGCACACGACGACGGAACTACATATAGTGCTATCTGCATAAAGCGCGCAGCTGCAGCTAGCTGGATGCCATCAACATACATATATAAACAAAAACTGTCTCCATCTTTTTCAATTCTTTCTTGTTTTTTTTTTTTTTTTTTCAAGGGGATTAATTAAATTTAAACTTATAATAATTCTTTTCTTGTTCTTAATTTTAATTTAATTTGTAGGCAAAGTTTAGTTCTATGATCTTAGTAATGTATAGAAAAGGCCGGAGTCGGCCATTATTTATCGAAATTTGTAGGCAAAGTTTAGTTCTGTGAAGAAGATCGACATGCAGAAGCATTGGACCTGTGTTGCTTAAATTATTAGCTTAATTGTGTCTGAATCCATCTTCTGCATTTCTTTAATGTAATAAAGTTCGATCGAGATGACTCATCAACAAAAATAATTCATTAGTGGGCATTAGGCCGGCCAGTAACTCGTTGATCAAAAAAGTATATATATATATATATATTTTTTGAAACCAGTGAATGAAATGAGTCATCTTACAACATATTTGTGTTACATAAAAGACATGCACATAATGAGTAGAGTGTAGACAAAAACATGAGGTTTTGGGGACCATTTGAAAATTCTCTCTTATCTTATCTTTATGCTATCTTCTCCACAGATTTACACGCATAGCTAAGAGCTTAGAATTAGTTCTTTGTCTTTATAAACTAATTAAATTATTCTTTTTTTCTTTTGAATGCTAATCTATTACTCCCTATGTCCCATTTTACCTGTCTTACTTTCCTTTTTAGTTTGTTCCAAAATTACTTTCCAAAATTGAATATAACTATCACTCTACATTTCTCAATTTACCCTTTTGACTTTTCAAATTTCTAGAGGTAAGTACAATTGTACTCCGTACAAATAACACCTACTTTTGAGGGGCAAAATTGAAAAGTGAGTAACATTTGTTATGTTGTATTAAAAATCGTGCAAAAAGCAAATGAGACAATCAATTAAGAATGGAAGGAGTACATTGTCGTATCTTTTTAAACATACTTTTCACATGGGAGAGGTCATTACATGTCATTTGAGCACAATATGCCACTGAACTATTTGGGAAACAGCAATTACGCTACCGAAATCAAATAACCCCAAATAGGTCATTGAACCCGAAAGATCAAGGGCCAAAATTAATCCATAATTTTAGAAGTGTTCTCATTTGATCCTTAATCTATATATATATATATATATATATATATATATATATATATATATATATATATATGTGCTAGCTACCGCGTGCAGGTAGGGTTTAATATTTAATGTAATTAGTAATAGTAGTATTTAGAAAACATATATCTTTATTGAAAAAGTGATGGATCGGAGTGGCAATATAAAAAGGTGCGGTGGGTGTGGGTAGCTAGCTATATATATAGAGAGAGATGAGTTGAATACTTATTATAATTTTGTGGTAGACTTGCTTGAATTGCAGAGAGGATCGGATCGGAAGAAAAACAAATATATATAGAAGAAAGAAGCGAGGTATCCTAGCGGATCGGAGGAAATAAAATCAATGGGGAACTGCCAAGCCATAGACGACAACTCAAGTCTGGTAATACAACACCCTGGCGGGAGAGTAGAGAAGCACTATTGGCCTCTCTCCGCCACCCAAATCATGAACACCAATCCCGGCCACTATGTCGCTCTTCTCCTTACTACTACCACCACCGCCACCAACAATACCAAAAATAATATCCCGCCACTTCGGAGGATTACACGTATTAAGCTCCTCAAGCCAACAGACACTCTTGTTCTTGGACATGTTTATAGACTAGTAACCGCTCAAGGTTAGTTGGCGTTTTAATTTCCGCCCTAGCTAGCTTTACATACTAATTAATAATTATTTATGTTTTTCAATTCCTTCTTAATATATTATATTATTCCGCCGTATGTATGTATGTATGTATAGTTTTAATTATATTGTTAATGGGTTGGTTTTGAATTCAGAAGTAATGAAGGGGTTATGGGCAAAGAGGCATTCGCAGCAGCAATTATCATCATCATCATCGTCAGGGCCGGTTAAGAAGCATGAAAAATCAACTACTTATTCAGATTCATCAAACACAAGAGTAGTTAACTACGTTGGAAGATCTGAGGTAGTGCACAAAACCCCCCAGCTGCTAATTATATTAATTAATTTCCTTGTTCAATCTCCCCGCCACCGACATCGTTTCTACAGTATAGTAGTCAAAAATTGAGAAGGCCAGGCCGGGATCAAATTAATAATTAATGAGTAGTGTATATATGCTTGCATAGCTAACTATAAAAAGAAATTAAATGATTAAATGTATATATGCAGCAGCATGTAAAGCATGAAAGGAGGCATAGGTCTTCTTCTTCTGCAGCAGGAGCAGGAGGAGGAGGAGGCAGATGCAAAGGCGCATGGCAACCCTCACTACTGAGCATCTCCGAGGCCGCCGCCGGAGTTAGCTAGCTAGCTACCTCATTAATTACTTCCACATACAATTTCAATTACAGTTACTTACTTAGTTTCTTTATTTTAATTTGTACCAGCAGATCAGATTCATCACATCAATATATATTCTGTAATCTATCTAGCTGTAATATTTGTACCTCATTAATATTGTCGTATTTATTTAAAATAATAATAAATGAAATAATGTATGGAGACAAATTAAAAAACAAGGAAAGAGATATATATACTGGATAAATATGAGATGGGATGTATGGATCGATCGGAGTAGGCGCATATATAGGTGTCAACTTTATGGACTGAAAAAGGCAGCACGAATGTATAATTTATGCAGGCCACAGGCCAGGCCGGGAGAGAATTGAAAAATATTTGAAATTAATTGAAGGTGATCGGAAAAGAAAAGAAGACTACAGTCGCCCGGCAAAAAGTATCATTTGCATGCGTGCATTATTATTTGGATACCCAAACATGGCAGTGTGCACTCCAGTGGCCTCAGGCCCTACCATGCCCCCGCCTTCCCCACCTCACATCACTCAAACCTTATCTGCACCATTCACAACAAATCAATCTAATAATTCACTCCTAAATCATTTAGAGCATCCGCATCAGTTGGGGAGAATGAGGATAATGTAAGAGTGATTACGATAGAGAAGATGGGAGGAGAAAGAAAAAAGGAAAAAGAAAAATTAAATAAAAAGTAATAGTATTTTAATTACTGTCGGGCGCACCTACGTGCAGTGCACGTGCCCGCTGGGCGCAAAGGTGACAACCACACATGGCTAAAATTAAATGTGGGCTCCACATTTCTGAATTCTCCCCACATTTGTACAAGCACCCAATTTTTCTCTTTTTTGCTTCTCTCTCTTTCACATGGCATTAATTTCTGATATTATTCTCACATTATGCATTGGTGTGGTTGCTTTTTCTGCATGCCCTACGTCTCTAAATAATTGATTTTTTTTTTTTGTCTTGTGCTAAGCCGATGAAGCATGATTCTCATAGTTAATGATCATGAATTTAATTACAGTTAAATTTTTATGTGTAGTTTATAAGTTATTATACATTAATGCATGCATCGAATAAATTAATAAATTAAAGTGGACGATATATATGATGAAAAGTAAGAGATTAATCATAAGACTGTGACTGTCTTACTAAACTGTACTACAACAACTGACAATTGATCAAAGCTACCTGCATGCACTCATCAATATATATAATTATGCTTTCTGTAACTTTAAAAAAAAAAAAAAAAAAGTTTGAGCAAGCCCATCTTTAATTTGTTACGACGTTGCATTGAATCATCACTCCTACTCTCCATTAGATGCTTGCTTTCCCCCCTATACATTAAAATAATCTTTACAAAAACAGCAGACATCCTATCTGATCTGAAATTGGGCATGCACTGACTAGTGACTACACACAAACAATATAATGTGAAGAGGAATATAATTCCTTCCACCACTAGTGAAAATTATGAAATTTCCGACCACCTAAAAATGATCTTAAATCAAGTTGAAAGTCTTGTTCCGACCACTTTTGATATCCAGAAAAACCTTTGTTGCTATTTTCGAACACTTTTTGATATTAACTTGATTTAAGATTACTTTCCGGTGGTTGAAAATTCCATAATTTCCAGTAGTGCACTAAGAAAATTGCCCAACATTTTCATTGTATTTATTTAATTTGCACTACATTAGGAATACTTTGGGTGTAATACATGACATTTAATTTGGTATGCTATTTCTTCTCCTATTTTATTCTACATACTCTATATATTCACAGTAACAAGCTAGTTTAATTTCTTGCCCTTGGTTGTTGTTCCAGGTAAATCTGGATCAGTGTTTTCAGATTCTATCTATCAGGTAGGCTATAATCATTGTTCGTCTCGTCTCATCCATCCGAACAGATCAGATCGAAGTAATCCGTTTTAATTCTCAAATGATAAAGCAAAGTACTAGTTTAAATGATATATCTATATATGGAGAACAATAAATTAAAGGATATCCGATCCATCCGAATATATATATCAGTGAGGACATCAATACATACCTGCTAAATTACAACAAGGATTGAGAACATCGATCTCCCACGCACCCTCTTGATCAGTACACGCAGTAGACTCCTTGAATTTGATTTGAAGTGTTTCAGATCAGTGATGCATCTGGGGCCAGGAGCTGTACAACGTAACAGTAACCTAGGCTTAGGACTATATATGCTAACAAACACACATTGAAACCAGACAACTTCCAAAATGAAATTTCTATAAAGGAGGAGTTGAGGACACCCCAAACAAGTGTCAAATTTATTGCAGATCAGATAGATAGATATTCATTTGGATCGGAGATGCATTTTATTTGAAAAATGAAGAGCATATATATGAAATAAGCAAGCAAACCCATCACACAAGGGTGAGTGAAAAAAAAAATTAAAGCAGACTGCATAAATACATATATGCTAGCTAGTAAAGGATTGGAACAACCTTGCCGGTTGCCACACAATATAATGTGGAAAAAAATTAGAATTCTCACAACATTTGGTACAAGTTTTGCATCATAGTAGCTAGCTTTCCAATCCCTTTGTCCATATATTTAACAGAAAAATACTGCTAGCTCGTATTAACCTTTTTTTTTTTTGTTAAGATCCCAAGCTAGGATTCTATGGTTGCTGAGTGTTGGATTTACGTTGTTGGGCATATATATCACATGATGAAACTTTGGATAGCACGTCATATTTGGCTAAACATTATGTTTAATTTACTGATAATATATGTACAAACGAGATATAAGTCTGCAAAAAATAAAAAATAATAATAATAATAATAACAATAATAAATGAAGATAGAAACATATCAACCTACAAGATAACAGCACAGAATAAAACTACTTAAAATTAAATGGAAATGGATCGGAGATATCGCACAAAGATGATATTCTCCACTACAGACTACAGTACAGTAAATCGACAGTCCACAACAATAAAACAATTCCAAGAAAAGAAAGGAGAACTGATGAGTACAAGCTAGCTAGCTAGGTATCATCCTTCCACAACACCTGCCACATATATGAATCTTCATAAGCTAATCAGAGCTTTAATTTTCACAACTATATATCTATATATATTGATGAGATGAATTTTCTGATGATTGAAGAGACTGCATGCATGCATCATAAATAAGCGTCTTCAATTCTGCAGTTGAACCCAGTACTTTTGTTGATTAATTGCCCGCAGCATTAAATACCATATATATATATATGTGTACTACTAGCTACTTAGTAATATGGAGGAGCCTTGTCTTTTCGATTAACACCTACACCACCCTTTCTAGCAACAATTCTCCTAACAGAGAACCACCTCAATACACTGAACAACATTTTCCATCTCCTCTGTGCCTTGTCTGGGGAGACCGCTGTGCGACCTAAAAAGCTATTCACAGCGCTCTGTAGATAAGAATCTGACTGCTCAAAGCTGGAGCTGTGAAGCGAATAATCAGAATCGAAGTAGGGTAGAGGCTCGTCCCCACAGAAAGGCTGAGTTACAGCATCTACTGTGTCGTAGATGAAGGAGTTTGTATCTCCTCCAGGCAACCTTAGTGGTTGCTCAAACCTAACATCCATACTGTCAATGCTATGCAAATCATAAGGATCCAACCCACTCAAACCCCCAATGGAGTATATGGATGGCATGTTATCAGGCGATGGTTGATAATCACACATCGGAGCCTTCTGTGATGCCAAAGCATTATTGGTGCCATCAGAATTAGCCATAGCGGATGAAGAGTGGATATTTGGAAACAGCGAGGACTCGTTGTCAAAACACACTACTTCTTCCCAGTGTTGAAGGGCAGAAATTACCAACTCACGTGCCTCAGCCTAAAAAAATCAAAGCAAAGAAAGATAAATTCACATGCCGGGCTTGCAGAAAAGAACAAATTAAAATTGCAGAAGCAAATTAGAAGCGTGCAGTGCCTTCTCAGTCTCAGATAGCTTTTCAGCAGGAATATACTGACAATCTACAAAAAGCCCCAACACTTGTGCCACGATGTTAAAAACCACGCCATTCTTTTGCTCAGATCCAGAAGCATAGTATGAGTACAATTTCTTGCCAAGTACACACGTTCTAGCATGTTCAACTGTCACTTCCCACATCTTCGTCGACATTCCTGTCCCAAGGATCTGCAAGGTTTCCATGCATACAGGTCTTGTCAATACTATCTACACATGCAAGTCCTTAAATCTTATATATGTTCTTGTAAATGCAAGCTAATGACTTACATTCCGAAGTCTTGCTGGATCAAGAGATAGTAAAGTCAGAAAATCCTTTACTGTATATATTCTTTCCTTGCTCAAACGCCTGTGGAATGCTCCATCTTTACCAATTTTTTCCAGCCTCCATACTTCATCCAAGAGGGATGGCGGATGATGCTTCTTGTATACTGCAAATCAATAAAAAGGGATGACAAATTAAATAATTTAGTTATTAAATATGTTCCTGTTTTCATCTTCACTCTTTAGTTACTGAAAACATGTGGAACTTACATTCTCCTCGGTGGTCCCTTACAACAAATGACTCTGTTTTTCCTTCTATAACTTTAATTCCATCAAAGTTATCCACAAGTCTTGCCCCAAGTCTGAACTTACGGCTTCTTGTCCAGCTTGAATTATCTGTAAAGGAAATATCACCAACCAAACCAACACCATCTTTAAGGTTCAGAATTGCATCCCCGTTAAGAAGAGCCTTCTTCCCTTCCCTTTCTCTCACAACGTTATCTCTAAATTCTTCAACTGTCCAATTATTCCCTTCATCACTGTCAAAATCTCCCTCAAGAACTACAATTTCCACCTTTGCAGATGATTCTGGGCCAGTTGTCACAACTTGTCCGGTAAGAGCATCAACCAAAGCGACTCTAAGACTTGAGCCATCCTCTCCTTCTATACGAGTTCCAGTAAATACAGGAGGAGATATAGAATCTAAAAATTTTAACTTGAGGCTTCTTAATTCATAAGGGTGTGCATCTTTCCCACCATTCCTACACAATACAAGTGCAAAGAATATCTCAATCAAAATAGGGGAATTATAGTAGAAAAAATCATTATCTATCTGTTTCATGAACATCAACTATATATATTGCTTGAAATCGGAGCCTGATTCCATACCGTTTCAAACTGGTCACGTACTTTCTCAATGCTATGTCAACTTCCTCTTTTACCTGTAAGCTCAGCTCCCATGAAATTGAAAGAGTTACTACATTTCTTACATACTAGTTAATTACAACGTTTGGAGACATTAAAATGTCCAAATTTTCAATAATCCAAAGGATTTTTTGGTTTTAAAACATAGTCATATCAATGGAAAGCAATTCACATTAAACTGCTAAAAGCATCAGAACAACTACAAGGATGTGAACTTACAACTCTACGTATCAAAGGCTCCAAAACGGGCTCCATAAAAGTCTGCATTTTTCGCATATTCATAACCTCCAACACCACACTATAAAATATATATATATATATATATATATATATATATACAAAGCATAATCAGTAACAATGGAAACAAAATCAATAATGTGTGTCTGTGTGTGTTTTTAAGATATAAGTTAGGCAAACTGTATGATAAAAATTAAGGAGCAAATATCTAAGGCAGTCGTTCTAATGTTCTAATTGTATATTTTAAAAGTTCATTCCTCAAAAGTACAAGTTAGACAAAAAAATATGTGAAAATAGTTCTCCATTATCTAAAAAAAAAAAGTAATTCTACATGTACTTCCAATTTGTACTCTCATTTTATACTCCCTATGGTTTGGCTGGCTTTGATTGCTCAATTTAGTAGGGGCATATGTTTATCCATTCATTTTTTTCTTTCCTCCAATCAAATTTGAACACAAGTAGTGGGAGTAAAAATTGGGAGGATATCAAGTATTTTTCAAAAAAAAAAAAATAGAGTTGAGAAACAATTGAAGTAAACATCGTCACCTTTGTAATATGTATTATGAAGCACCCAACAAATGCTGCACAAAGGTAGCAATAGTATACCACAAACAAGAAAGTGGCGACGCAGAGGGCACCATCAAAAAAGATAACGTTCAAACGCCATGTTTTGCATCAGCAAAAAGGAAAAAAAGAAAAACTTTTTCCCCAAAAACAAAAGCAACCCTCTTTTTGGCACACTAACATCCATTTACTAATCAACAAAAATTGAACTTCCACACTCGGTCAATTATACATAGCAATACAGTTTTAAGGAGACACCATATTATATTTGTCATTATTCTCTTTGGCAAAGCTAAAAGCTGTCGACTCTTTCTTTTGATTACTCCAAGAAGCAGCCATGGAAATTCCATTAAAGGCAACTAATAAATTCTACCCATTTAGAAACAGTAAAGTTCCCAACTTCACACTCAAGCAAGAATCTTGAATTCTTGAAATGGTCTTTTTATAGCGCACCAAGCTAAGCTAAGGTAGTTTAGATGAGGGTGTGAAATTAAAGTAAAGAAAAAAATTTCAAAGTTTAGAACTTTAAAGCAGCAGGCCGGAGTAGATGGGTATGAGAAGCTTACCTTTTGAGGGAAGGAATCTTCCGGCGGCGTTTATCGTCGGAAAGTCCGCCGTCGGGTAGAGACTTGTAATCCTCCTCGGGCTGCCGCTTCTGTGACATTTCCGATGACGGTCTGAAACTCCACAAGATACGGCGGCGTTAATGCTGATAACATTAAAAGTAATCCAATCAATCAGCAGGCGGAGCAAGCTAAGCACAGAGAGTGATGATGGAGATGGAGGAGAAAATCTGATTGTCCCAGAGGAGACAAGAAGACCAACATGCGTTAGGCGATGATGATGAAGCAGAAGATCAGAAGAAGATACGAATAAATAAAATAATACACTAATAATACGGAGGAGCGCGCAGAAGCACATATATAGAGATGATAGATGAGTACGTACGTGTATATACAATGTACAGATGACACTACTCAATCATAAAAATTAAAATAAAATAAATTAGAATGGCATTTCCTTTAAAGACGAAAGAACATAGAGAAATAAAGGAGAAGAAAACAAAAAAGTGGGCATATGGGTAATCAGGTAGAATTTGGCTGGGAGTGGAAACTTAAGTGAGAGAATGTATAGTATGTGGTTTCGCGATGGTTATGTTACTGTTGGTACGTTTTGGGATTATTCCCAGGCCATGGAAAACGACGCCACATTCTATTCTATTCTATTCTATATTAATTAATTAATTCATGAGTGGGCCAGGAATTGAATTTTCTTGCATGGAATGAAGTCGAAATTAATTATTACAGCCAACAAAGGAACGAACGAACCTCTTCTTCACTGCAGTCTGCAGTGATTATGGACGTAATCCAGACAAATTAAGCGAAAGAGAAAGGAAGAAGGTAAACCCAAACCGCGTTGCCCCACCCATCACCCATAAATATGGTCCCGTACTTGCATTGGAACGATGTCTCTGCACTGCACTTGTCCCATTCCAACTCTTTAATTCTACTTCAAATTTTAAAACAACTTTTATATATCCTCCATTCAAATTGCATTCAAACCATATCATCGCTATCTAAAGCCGCATTCTCTATCAAATTAATAACACTAATTCACAACACTCATATATTTGGTAAAATAGTTAGCTTATCAGTCAATTTTAACTTATTTAATCACTATATGTTTGACTTGGTTAAAAAATTAATGTAAGTGTTTGATTAATTAGCCTTTTGTAATTTTAAAATGCTAAAATTTTAAAAAATGCTCAAAATAATTTTTTTCAATTACCATTTTGTAATAATAATAAATTATATCAAACAGCTTTCAGCTAATAGCTATTTATCAAACAAGACCAAAAACTCAAATTTAAAATTTTATGATTACTAAGCTATTTAAGTCAATTATCAAATTAACTTGATTGGATTGTCACTTGAATTCTATTACACGTTTCATTTTTTTTTTCATGGATCAAATTTTATTTTGATTTATACTCTAAAATATATTCTTTCTTAAAATATTAATGTTTACTGTTATAAAATTAATACTTTAATTTAATGTGTAGTTTTAATATTTTAAACATTCAAAATTTAATCTACATGCCTCAAATTAATTTAATCAAAATGATTATGAAAGCAGCAAGCTAAGTTGACAAAAAGAAATTTGTGATAGGGGAAGTATTAGTTAGCCCATTGTAATCTTAAGGAGTTGCAGTTTCAACATTAGTTAGAATTTAAAAGTTATGAAATAACAACAGTATTGAGACTATTACTTTAGTTTGATTTTTTTTATTAAAAAAAAAGTTAATATTACTATGTAATACTTTTTTTTAACAAATTTTTCTTTAGTTATTTTTTTTAGTTTAATGCAATATTATATTTTAAAAGATTTGAGATATATGATAATTGATAAGTAATTAATCAAAATTGCATAGTCACCTGGTGTAGCGTCACAAGGACAAAAGTTGGTAGAATATAGCACAAATATGGAATGTTTTTGCAGATCTACTTTTGAATATTATAATTACAAAAAATAATACTCCGTATTAATGATTAGGTAATACTATAGAATGAGATAAGTATTCCCTAATTATTATATAATAATAATAATAATAATAATAATAATAATAATAATAATAATAATAACAACATATTTAGATTAAGCATTTGCTTATAAATTAAGTACATTTAAAAAAGTCACAACTCACTACTCCATTTAATTTTTAAACATGTTCAATAATTTACAACATATTCCACACCCACCTAATTCATACGCAAATTCAATCATTTAGTGGGAGGAAAAATTACAATTCCTCTAATCTTTATGGAATTAAAATCTCATGTCCCCCTGATATTTTCAATTTCGTGATTTTTGATAAGAAAAAAAGATACTTTTGAGACAATATTACCCTTTTCTTTTTAACCTAAAATTAATATTTTATTTGTCCACTATAATAAGTATGAACATTTTAGTCTTTATACTACTTATTCCCTTTCAAATTTCATAGATACCAAATGGCTATAATTAAAATTTTCAATAATTCTATTTAATTATGCAAATTAAACCAAACATTGAAATTTAAATTCTCACATTATTATCATTTTATTCCTCTTTGCAATATATTTCCCCCTAATTTATTCATTACAAATTTACAACAAAATGCCCTGTTAAAGTTGATCGTAAAATATTGTAAATGTTCCGTCACACAAAACTTGCATAAACATAGAAAAGCATAAAAATTAAGAATGATTAAATAAAAATGTGGTAGTGAGTCTAACCGTAACCAAAACAACGAGTCATGGAAACTTCGTTGTGTTACAGCACATAAGTCCAAAGAGGTTAGGACTTAGGAGGATATCACCACAAAATCCTTTCAATTCGTATACTAATCCGTACTGCTAATTCAATTCAGTCTGCATCACTCAACATATACTTTGAGTATGTAAAATCAAAAGGGTGGTGGCCCATTTCCTCTTTAATTACATTTGTACCCTATCCCTATGTACAATTGATGATCAAATATCTGTATCTTTTACGTAAAAATAAAATAATATAATCACTATTTAAAATGTATAATAAATAAAACATAAAATTTATATAATATTTAGTATGTATATGCATTTTGTGAAATGCGTGCATGAAACGTACCCAAAGGAGTATATTTGTAAGAGACGATATGAGGTGACATGTTAGTGAGTTCAATTTAGAGCATCATTATTTGCAATTTTTACTTGATTTTTGACAATTAGAGAGTATAATTTTTCATTAGTTTTTCCTCTTGTAAATTGTGATTTTTAATGAGTCCATGCAAAGAGAGAAAAAGAAAAAAGCAGCACAAAATTATGGGCATTGAGCGCAAATCTGCGCCCTGTATGCACGCGCCATTCTAGGCACATAAACGCAGGCTTTATCTTTTTTCGCTTTTTTGTCAGAAATTGTTTTTTTTTTTCTCCCCCTTTTCTCTTTGTGCTATCTCCACGAAAAAAATCTAAAAAAACGTTATATTACGTTAGAGCAATCCCAATAGTGAATCTTTTGGGGTTTTTGCAGGTAATAACAAATTGAGCAGTGATTTTTAGTTAATGGGGAAATTAAAGTAATTTTTTGGTAAATTTTCTCTGGTAAGTGTTTAATTTTTGACAGGAAAAAAAAAAAAAAAAAAAAAAAGTTAGACGCACGCTTATAACACACAACTTGCAACAAGAGGCCGTTGGACGATTCAAAGTGGCCGCCAGCTGGCAATCACTCTCGATCTTTCTTTTTAATTTAATTTTTTTTTTTTTTATGTTTTTCAAATGCTTTACTTTTGTTTTTTTCTTTTATGGTAGCCGTTGCTTTACGGCCACCATTTTGTTTTTGTCTTTTTAACTTTATTGTTTTTATTTTTTTTCTTATTAAAAACATTAAACATGTAACATAATTTTAATAATATATTTTATTTGAATTAAAATTTTATAATTATATATTTATTTTAATTTAAGCATAATTAAAATAATTATTATAATTATAATTTTTATAATGATAATAAATAAAGAAATAATTAAAATATAGTGGAGTAAAATGGTAGATTGGTAGGTCTATAAAAAATTAAAAAATTAAAAAATTAAAATTAATGGAAGTGTAGTTTTTGGATTGAGTGAGAATGTGAGATTGGACTTGTTTAGTTATTGGCGGATTCTTCAAAATTTTAGCGGAGTCACCAACTTTAGCGTTTTGTCCAAGGTCAAAACGCCAAAGACATTATTTGGTTAACAACGATTTGTTCCAAACCGTTGATTTTTAAAACGCGGCATATAACAGCGTTTCACTTTGACGTTTTGAATATTTGCCCAAAACGGCCTTACTTTAATTAAAAAAAAAAATCAATATTCATTCAAATTCAAAGGAGAAGCCTCAGGCTTTATTAACAATGAACCCTGAGGCTTCTATTTCCCTGCCCATCCGATGTGGGAACCGGATGGGCTGGGAAGTAGAAGGGTGCGTTGAGCTCCTCTTTTAATGAAGGAGCTCAACGCCCTCTTTTCATTATCTGTTTTCGATGTGGGATCAGTTTTGACCCCACATCACTTTCTTTCTTTCTTTTTTTTTAAAATTTTTTTTTTTGATTATTATTATTGTATGTATATCATTTTGGTCATTTTACATGTTAATTGCTAATTTTACTAAACATTTTTTTACAAATCGCTAATACAATCTGATCTACTGGTTAAACTCGCTAATACAATTCACTACTTTTTATCCGCTAATACAAACCGCTAACCGCTGATTATCAAGCAAAACCATAGTTGATAATAAGATGTATGTTTGGACCAAAATAATAATAATAATAATAATAATAATAATAATAATAATAAAAGTCACTCTTACCTTAAATGGGTCCTACACTTGCATCTCTGATTCTTTATTGAGGTGATGAGTGATGACTACTACAGTAGTGGACTCTATTTCTTCCTCCCTTCTTACTGACACGCATCTCTGCCTGACTGCATCACTGTACCCTACATACGGACTAATCAATCCATCTCAACTTACCTCCTAAATTCCATCTCTTATGTATTTATGTTCCGCACGTAACGTTTTTTATTCACGTTATAAATTCTTAAATTTATTTTAGTCCCACGTACTACCATCAACTAATACGTTAATAACTAAGCTTACATTAAAAAAAAAAAATTGGATGAAACTATGGAAGAAGCAGAGCTAAAGTAGTATATATGACAATTTATCTCGTGTATCAATATTAGGATACAAGGTTTAGAGCATTCACAATAGTTAATTTCCGTTGCGGTTTTTAAGGGATTATTGTAAATGTAATTAGGAAAGAGAACGTGGGAGGGAGTGAAAAAAGAAAAGAAAAAAACTGAATTAAAAAAAAAAAATATATATATATATATATATATATATATTTATATAATTGCAGTACATGTCAGGCACACGCGCCTAACGCGTCTGACGTGCCACTGAGTGCCTGCTTTGGCGAAGTTGTGCACGAAACACGCACAATGTTTCTTTTTCTTTCTTCAATTTTACACATAACGTTGTTTCAATATGTAGCACTTTGCACATGAACCCCTCTATTCTCTCTCTTACATTTTCTCTCCTAGTTGTCATCACTTTTGTTCACATTCTCCCTAAAATAACATATGATAATGTTGCTCTTAGAGACACAAGTTGAGATTTGTGTGTTTAGAGTGGTTTTACTGGTTTGTGGGCTGGACACATGCATGGGGGCTCACATGTGTGGGTATTGGTAAGCGAGTCACGAACATAACGTACGATTGGTACGAATGGGAGGAAGATGACGTTTGGGGCAAATTATTATGTGGATTCCCATTTAAAAAAATACACAATTTACACATTGAATATTCATAATTTACACACTAAATATTTATAATTTAAATGGTGAATATTTAGTACCTAAATTGTGTATTTTGAACCTAGGTCCATCTTGCTGTGGACCATGGTATATGTAGTAGTGTGGACCATGAAATATGTATTATTTCAATTACACTTCAATTTCAATTGACAATATTGCTGTATTTTATAGTTTTATTTTCCCTCCATACTAATTTCATTATAGAAAATAAAAAAGTATCATTTTAATTGTACTATAGTTTCATTGGGTGATATATATTATTCATTGAGCTCTATTTTTTTTTGTTTCATTTTCCATACACACTAGTTTAATTACAATAATGTTGAAGACTTGAAGTATTATTTTAATTGCACTTCAGGTCATTTGATAATATATGTTATTGTATAACTTTGAATTTTAGTTTCATTTCTCACGCATAATAATTTCATTATAGCAATACTAAAATATCATTTTAATTATACTACAATTTCATTTGACAATAATATGTTTTGTTTTTTAGTTTCATTTTCCACACACTACTTTCATTATAGTAACACTAAAATATCATTTTAATTCTACAACAATTTTCATCGGTTCACTGTATAACAATTGTGTATTGTGTACTTTAATTCAAAAATTATATATCAATCAATATATTATGTGTATTCATTATTCAGTTAATAAATTACGGAGTATGTGTTTGTAAATAAATTGAAGGTACATAATATGTTATCTAGATGTACATAATATGTTAATTGCATATTATGTGCCTACAGTCATCATATTATATACATGTAATTAACATGTTATTTGCATATAGTTAATAAATTATATGACTTCAATTTATTTTTAAACGACATATAAATTGTGTATTTTTAGTATTGAAATTATGAACTTCGAGAATATAAATTGTATTTCTAAGTCAAAACACATAACAACTGTAGAATGGAATTCGTGAATACAATACATGATCATCAAAAATCCTAATTTGTTAATATTGTGTGACTACAGTATTTGAAAGGAACTTGTGAATACAAAACAAAACAATCAATTATATATATATATATATATATATATATATATATATATATATATATTAACATTGTGTGTTCGTAGTATACAAATTATAAATTTTAAAGATAAATTGTGAACATTTGAATCTGGGTCCACGAAATAATTTGCGAAGATGACGCACTAAAATACTCCATGGAGTAATTCGTTGCTTTAATAAAGCTAGAGGAGAAATCAAGTGGCTTGTAGTCCACTGGTATCGGGTTGTTCCCCTAAGTGGGAGGTGTAAAGTTCAAACCTCAATCGAAACAAATAGTGTGTAAAAAAAAAAAAAAAAAAAAAAAAAAAGAGGAGAATGTAATGGTCAGACGTAGCCCAAGCATTATACTGTGCTTAGGTAGCCCACAAACACTATTAATGCATTACTGGACGCTATAGACTTGGACGGCAAATTATGCTGTTCATCCGTATGCACCAAGCATGGTGCATACGGATGAAAAAACGACGTCGTTTTTATAAAACGCGAGTCTCCTCTTAAAAAAAAAAATTAGGTTCGAAACTATAATTCCATAATCGATGAACTATAATTCCATAATCGATGAACTATAATTCCATAATCTAATCTATGAACTAAAATTTTCAGAATGAATGAACTAAAATTCCAGAATCTATGAACTAAAATTTTCAGAATGAATGAACTAAAATTCCAGAATCTATGAACTAAAATTTCAGAATCGATGAACTATAATTCCAGAATCGATGAACTATAGTTCCATAATCGATGAACTATAATTCCATAATCCATGAACTAAAATTCCATAATGAATGAACAAAATAATGTTGTTACTAGGAATCGAACCTGAATTTTTTTTTTAAAGAGGAGACGCGCGTTTTTAATAAAACGACGTCGTTTTTGCATCTGTATGCACCATGCATGGTGCATACAGATGCACAGCATAACTATTCGACTTGGACTGCCCCGCTCTGCCTGTATCAATTCAGCTACAACTTTACACATCAAAAAATTATTGGTCCATAATTACAATACATACTACTATCGGTCCATCAAATCTTTAACCCAAACAAGAGAAGGATGATCACAATGTAGATCAACATTCACCATGAGTATTGTAGATCATGATTCAAGTTGTGTACTTTCAATTAACAATTTATGTATATTGTACATAATCCGTTGATTTTGCGCCTACACTAGTGATGGCTTTATGACTATCGAGACTCGAGAGTGTTTGTTTTACCATACTCAAAGTCAATGATCAAATTCTTCATGTTTGGTTGATGATGGTTGAATGCCTCCCACTCAATCACATCACTCAGGTTGAATGCTTATTTACTTTAAAACACCAAAAAGTTTCCGCCCATAACCCTTTTCCGTGGGTACTTGTACATGCTAATTGTGTTATAATTAATGCATTAAACTCTCTTAAATAAAGCCCCACCAATTAAGAAAGTAATTACAGAACAAAAATTGTTTTTAATTATGTAACTGCCAATATTAATGATTTCACGCTAACCTTCAACCTTTTTCCACCGTCCAGGATGAATATGCAAGTTTCGAGACCGAGTATCGGTTTGACTACCCTAACTCATCACTAACACCAAGTATCGGTTTGATTATCCCTACCCTAATCAATCACATCCCTCAGTGGGCGGCCAGGAATATCAACATACGTAGCTGTCATGGTGTTGTTTCCGAACCCACCGATTGAATGTAGGACACGTGTCAGTCATGTCGAGAGCTTGGCATGTGTCTCCCTTCTTCCACTATAAGTAACGCACTTAATGCTAGAGGGGGACTTTTGGACATCTTCAGCTCCCACATCTATGCTCTTTGACATCACGTAGTTTACCGAGATTAGGACTATAACAAGACCTTAATATGACTGACCCATTAGTTCAATTCGTACGTATTTGAGACTTCACAGCGTATTTACAACATCAATCATGATAATAATAATAATAAAAGTAATCTAATGTAAAATTGTTCAATCATGTGATACTTTCTTCCCAATGTCCATTAATGAAAACAAAATACCACCTCCTCCACAAAGAAAACTTTTTTCCTCAAAACTAAGGAAAACATTTTTCCTTGTGATTTTTTTTTTTTCATAAACAAAACAAAGAACATTTCAATTTTTTTTTTTTTGCAAATTTAAAGAATTTTTTCTTTTTATGAAAAACTTTTTCCATTCAACTAAACATGCTCTTAAAACTTTTTTTGAGTACTAGGAAATGGAATTAGACCTCCTACTAAACTTGTTTTAAAGTGCCCTTATATTAATTATACGTACCTTCGTACTCCATTCAATATACAACAAACATTAACACAACAAGTTTCATAAACATGATTATAGTCGTGGTCCACTTGTCCTAGGCTAGGCGTGTTCGACCAGTAACCACACCAACTACAAGTTGCCAGTTAAGGTCCAAAGGATTGACCAACTTGCTACATTATAATATCTTTCTACTAGAATTATAATACGAACCCTAGCATAATTCTTTGTCTAATTTGTTAGGCACTTCCTTTTCATTTTAAATAAAATTTGCTAGGCACTACTTTCCCATTTTATGAAAAAGAAATTACAGTGAACACTTTAATAAGATAAATGAGTGTTTGGTAAATAGTTGTTAGCTGTTATTTAATTACTCTAGTTGATAGCGGTAGCTAATCTATTGTAACAAAATATTTGATAAATTAGTTATTAATTGATAATTTTTTTTTTAATATTATTGACTCTATTATAAGGTAGTACTTGTTCTATATTTTCTTTAACTATTACAATCCAAGGTGCTTGGCAGTTGTTAATTGATAGTTAATTATATGCAAAATAACTTTTCAAAAAAACTTATAAAAAACTTGTTTTGAATTGAAACATTTTGGAACAATAAGTCGTTACAAAACACTAATTTATTAAATGCTAATTTATTGAGTATTTCACCAAGTCAAACACTAATTTATTGAGTATTTCACCAAGTCAAACAGCTAATAATAGTCGAACAATCCAAAATTAACTATAAGCTAACTATATTAACAAACATGACTGAAATATATAAGAATATGGATCATGAAAACTACAATAAATCAGTCCTGAAGATCCCATTTTCATTCATAAACCTAATCTATTTACACAACAAATAACAGTCCCTGTGCAAATAATTCCCATCAAATACTTGAACAGAAAAAAAAAAAAAAAAAAAAAAAAAAAAAAAGAGTCAAAATTTGACCAAACACCAAAAAAAAAAAAAAAAATCACTAAAATACACCTTTACCAATTCTTCTCACTTGACTTAGAACTCGGTTGAGTTAGGACTAAGCAGACTATTCCCAACTCGGTACCGAGTCCGACTCAGCCCACCTTCCAACACGTCTTCCCAATCCACATCCTCGCCACCGCCGTCGTCGTCGTCCCGGCCTCTCAGCGCCACCAGCAACCTCTTAGCCTTCTCCTTTGCCCGCTCGCTTCCTCTCTCCATTATCACTTGCAAAACCTCCGCCGCCTTTGCCTCCTTCGCCAACCCCTTGAACCTCAAACTCCCTTGACTCAGTGAGTAGAGAGCCGCCACGCAATTCTCTCGAGTCGACTCGTCCAACTCCGGGTCCCTTAGCATCTCCACCACCACCTCCACCGCGTGACCGTCCAGCAAAGCCGTCTTCCCCTCCGCGCAAACCGCCAAATTACACACTACCAGCACCACTCTTCCCGCCAAGTCTCCGCTCTTCATCATCCCAAGCAGCGCACTGGCGGCTCCGAGCTTAATCAGCTTCGCCCGGTTGCTCTGCACCAAAGTTAAATGATAAAGCGCGAGCGCCGAGTCGTGGCGAGTCCGCTCAGTCCCCGCCCTGAGTGCGTGCAGAAGCGGCGGCAACGAACCCAAGACACCAATAGCCGTCTTGTTGTCGTCCTCGAGCGCCAAACTGAAAATCGCGCCGGCGGCGTGCTCCTGCGACTCATCGAACCCGCCCTTCAGAACATCAATCAACAAGGGAACAATCCCAGCCCTAACGATCTTCACCTTATTGACTTTCGCGAGAGAGAGGTTGACCAATGCGGCGGCGGCGTTCGCCTGAATTCCGGCGTACTTGGACACTATCAGCGGCTTCAGTGCCGCTAAAAGCCGCGAAGAGCAAAGCGAGACTCTAGCTTCCTCGTTAGCCCTAGTCATCTTTCTCAGCTCGATCACAGCTTGCTCCTGGTCAAAGACATCCAATTTCTTAAACTGCACCACATAATATTCATCCTCGGACGACGACGTAGAAGCAGAAGACGGAGTTTCGTCGGAAATGATCTCCGACGAATTCGATTGGGACGAGGGAGTGGAAAAGCAAACCGGTCGAGTAGTAAAGGGCAGTAAAGGAGAGCCGCTGGCAATCACTGACTCTTCTGAGCTGGAGGAAGAGTAAAAATTGTGATTATTCCTGGGATTCAACTCCGTGGCGGCGTGAGAATGCAAGACCGGAGGATGATCTGCAACCTGTCTAAGCAATTCCTTTTCCGAAACCCGAAATCTCGAATCTTCTTGACTACGACCCGAACCAACCATCATGGATCGAACAGTGGACTCGATGGCGTAATAATCCGGCTGCTTGGGTTTCTCGGCGCCGGACTTGTCGCACCAGCTAAGAATCGCAGTCCTGAGAGCCAAATTAGGAATCACGGCGGTGAAATCAGGGGTGGCACCGTCGGAAAGCTGGGGTTGAAAAGCCAAATCTTTGCAGACCTGAACAGAAGTGCGCTCGAAGGTTTGGCCGGAGGAAACGACGACGGGATCGAACATTAATCCCCCCAAAATGGGGCAAAGATATTCCGTGGGAGGATCTTTCTTGCCGAGTTTAGACGAAGGCGATCTATGAAACGAGAACCTCCACCTCCCATAACCACCCATCAGATCTTTTGCAGCAAAAAATGTAAAATCGGAAGTGAGGTGTGAAGCAGAGGAAGAACACAGATGTAATTGAGAGGATGATAATTAATTGAGGAGATGACAGAGTGGATCGGTCATCGGAGGAGATAACGTTGTCAAAACTAACCCCGTAGAAAGGGTCAGGTAATTCTGTGTTTAGGCGTTTAGCGCACTTAATTACAATTTACTATACAAAACTTACTAAGCGTGGTACTGGTGGACCCCTTCTTTTGACTGGGTATCATCTATTTGAGACATTTTCCCTACAAACCAAAAGTAAAATCACATCTGAATCGCTTTTTCCCCATACAAAATATTGCACTACACATATAATCTTTTTTTTTTTTTTTCCTCTCGAAATAATCTCATATTTTACTATAACACATTACAGGAATCAAATATAATTATTATCTCATAAAAAAAAAAGGAAGCTGAATGACCTATAAGTCTATAACATCAAAGTCTAATAGAATGACAAATTAATTTGGGCCCCTATTGTTAGTTATGAAATATATAGGATGAAGCGAACTCATTGACGCTTAACCCTTTATTCGGTGTAAAAAAAAGGTATAGTCTAAGTGGTTGAATACTTGAATTCATTCATAGGTAGGGATAATAATATGTGGAGCTTAACATGACGAGGCCGTCTCAAAGTTGTACTGACAAAAGAACAAATTGTAGTTGACAATTATATCTTTAAGTCATAAGTATTTATGAGTTAACTCCTTGTAATTTGTGTTAGTTACATTACAATATAAATACATCTCATTGTGAATAAATATTTTTGGTTCGACTCGTCTAATCGTCTATACCTTATCTAAAATCTAATAAACTACATAGAAAAAGTAAAATCAGTGTTAACAAGAATTAAACTCATAACATTTTGATACATAAATCATGTCAACATTACTCAAACACTCATTTGGGCCATTTTAATCCTATTTGATTACATAGAAAACTTATCAACTAATTTTAACTTGTTTGATCACTGTTAGTTGTTTGACTTGGTTAAATAATCAATATGCGCATTTTTTAATTCATTTTTTGTAATTTCTAATTTACCAAACATTTTTCTACAACTAGCTAATTAATACTATCAATTAGTCAAACCTATTAACTCAATAGAATAACAACTACTCCCCTTTGTTTTTAGACTTGCGAGATAGTCATGTGGCCGTGTTTATGAGCGATTCCATTCTTAAATTTTTTTTTTGGAATAAGGGCCAAATTGGCCACTGAACGTAACGCGAAAGTGCAATCAGGCCACTCAACCTAAAAAAAGTGCAATTAGCCCATCCAACAGTCCAAATTCCTTCAATTTCACCTGCTAGCCGGTGGAAAGCCATTCTTTCCGGTTTCACGCTGAGGTGGCATTCTACGTGGCATTAGTAGACAATTTCATTATTTCCTTCATTTTTTTTCCCTTTTCTACCGTGATATATATGAAATTTAAATTAAATAAAAAATGACAAAAGCAAATTAAACCATCAAAACCCACCCAAATCCCCTAATTGATGAAATACAGTTCGTCTATTCCATATTACTCTCTCTACTAGAAGAAATCCCCAAATCAAAGAAATCCCCAACAATGTTCGAAGCAAATTCGTTGTTTTGAAGACTTTGGAGGCTTTCACTTCGCATTTTCAATTTCTTTTGTTCAGGTATGAATTTGTTGGTTTCGATTTGTTTGTTATTTATTTTTGTGATAATGTTGCGACTGTATATTGTTTGTAAACTTAAATGCCGACATCTCTGGTTTTGTTTAGTTTTGTTGTTGTACTATATAGTCCATCCTTGTCGTTTGCTAAGCTTTGTTGTACAGAACTTGATGTTGTTTGGTGTGCATTCTGTAATGGAAAACTGAGTCACAGTTGTGGTCCCTAAACCATAATAAAGTTGAAAATTGCTTATATTGTTTAATGGAATTTGGAGTCAGAGTTGTGGTCCCTAAACCATAACACTAAAGTAGTAGAAAAGTACTCACTGTCTAAACCCTAAAAATGTTGGTTACTGCCTAAAAATGTTGAGTCAGAATTGTCTAACATAAACCCTAAAAATTCAGTCAGGTTTTTTTATATAACTGGATAAATTGTGTAATTTAAATGCTTTGAATGGTTTGTTTTGTTGTTAGGTTTTGTAGTGATGACCACTGTAGAACTACAAATACACCATGGGGGGAATTTTGTTAAAGATAAAGAACCGCAGTACATAAATGGGGATGTTTGGTGTGTTGATATAGACCCAGATTTACTTTCATATCCACACTTGGTGAAGTTTATAAAAGAAGGTCAGTGTGGAAAAATAGAGACAATGTATTATAAAGCACTCCATGAGCCATTGGACAAACTAAGACTGTTGTGGAATGATGCAAGTGTGCTAGACCTCACTACACTAGCAATTAGATTTAAATCATGTGATATATATGTAGATCATGGAATAGATGATGTTGAATTAGTTCCAGGTCATTTGTTACCTGGTGATGAAGGAAATGGTGAAGGGAGTGATGAAGGGAATGGTGAAGGGAGTGATGAAGGGAATGAAGGTGATGAAGATGATGATGATTCTCATGAAGTAGACAGTGAGAATTCTGATTTTGAAAATGATGTTGGAGGAGTTACACAAGAGAATGATACAGTTGAGGGAAATGGAAAGGAAAATGAGGTTAAGGGCAAGGACAATGAAGTGAACCTAGATGGCTCTAAATAAAAAACAGTTGAGGGTGAGGCATGTAGTGATGACTACTATTATGACTCAGCAGACCCACCAACCCAAGAGTCAGAGGAAGAAGAAGTTGAACAACATATAACACCTCCATCTAAAAAATATAAGCTGCCAGCGTATAATCCAGAATGTGATTTCCCTGAGCTTGAAAAAGGGATGTTATTTGAGGATGCAACACAGTTTAAGACTGCCATGATCAAGTATGCAGTGCACTTTAAAAGAAATATATACTTTTACAAGAATGAGAGTATGAGGGTGAGGGTTAAATGTGTTGAGGGCTGTCCTTTTGTTTGTCATTGTAGTTGGGAAGAAAGGTATATGTGTTTCCAGCTGAAAACATGCCTACTTGAGCATAGGTGCAATAACAAATACAAGCTCAAATTGGTTACTCAAAAATGGTTGGAACAAAAGTACGAGGATATAATTATAAAAGACCCAACCATGCAACATACCAAGCTTAGGGATCATATTCAGTCTGAGTTGAAGATTAATTTGACCATCACTATGGTGAGAAGGGTACAAAAAGCAGTTTTACACAGGGTGAATCTAGGGTATTCAGAGCAATTCAAGAGAATAAGAGATTATGGTGAAGAATGTTTGAACTCTAATCTTGGAAGCACTGTAAAGATTCATACTACTAAGGTAGTTCCAGAAACACCTTCTACATTTCAGAGAATATATATTTGTTTCCAAGCAATGAAAAGTGGGTTTCTATCTGGGTGTAGACCTATAATTGGTTTGGATGGTTGTTTTCTTAAAGGGGGGATGAAAGGTGAGCTCTTAGCTGCTGTTGGGAGGGATTCAAATAATCAGATGTATCCAATAGCTTGGGCAGTTGTTGAGATAGAAAACACAGACTCTTGGAGATGGATTTTACAGTTGTTGATTAAGGACTTGGCTATTAACAATAGCTGGAATTGGACAATAATTTCAGATCAACAAAAGGTACTCTACATTATTTCATATTTACTTCTATTTTTTATTCTGTTTCTTGTTAACAATAAGTACAGTTTCTGATTCTGCTTTCATTAGTACAGTTTTTTATGCTGTTTCTTGTTAACAATAGCTGAAATAAGTACAGTTTCTGATTCTCATTTCATAAGTACTTCTGCTTTCATAAGTACAGTTTTTTATTCTGTTTCTTGTTAACAAAAGCTTAAATAAGTATAGTTTCTGATTCTATTTCTGTTTGTGTTTAAATAAGCTTAAATAACTACAGTTTTTATTTGTGTTTCTATTTCTATTTCTGTAGGGTTTAGTGAGTGTTATCCAGGAGCTTTTGCCAAATGTGGAACATAGGAACTGTGCAAGACATATACATGCTAATTGGAGCAAGAAACATAGAGGAAAGGTAATGAAAAGGCACTTTTGGATGTGTGCAAATGCAACCACTACACAGCAGTTTGAAGCAATGGTTGAGCAACTAGGATTAAAGGATGCACAAGCTAAAGCTGATTTGGCCAACTATCCTGCAAAGTATTGGTGTAAGGCTTTCATGAGAACTGAAGTGAAATGTGATTCAATAGACAACAACATGTGTGAAGCATTTAATGGAACAATAGTTAAGGCAAGGAGCAAGCCAATAGTGAAGATGTTGGAAGATATAAGGGTAGCTACCATGACAAGGATTGCAAGATGCAGAAAAGCGGTAGAGAAATGGCCTGGTAACTTTGGACCTAGGATAATGAAAAAGCTCAATGAGAACATTGTTGAAAGTATAGGTTGGCATGTTGACTTCAACGGGGATGATGGATATGAGATCAAGAAGGGAAGGCAACAATTCAAAGTGAAGCTACAAAGGAAAACATGTTCCTGTAGATCTTGGGACCTAACAGGTATACCTTGTGCACATGCTTGTTGTGCCATATTTGATCTAGGTAGAGATCCAGAGCAATACATTGATGAATGCTACTCCAAGGAAGTGTACAACAACATTTACAGTCACACTATCCAGCCACTCAATGGTGAACTCTGCTGGCCTAGAACTAATTCTGAAGAAATACTAGCACCTTTACCAAGGCCAATGACTGGTAGACCAAAGAAAAAAAGAACCCGTGAGCCTAATGAACCCCCTGTTGGAAAAATTTCAAGGCAAGGTCGAATCATGACATGTTCAATTTGTAAACAAAAGGGACATCAAAAGAGAGTTTGCCCTACAAAGAGTTCTATGCCATCTGCTGTTTCAGGTGGTGCTTCTGCCTCGACTTCTACACCAGTTTCTGCCTCAACTTCTAGGAGAAGTAAACAAAGAAAAAGATCAGGTGGCTTTGGTGTATACATCAACCCAAATACTGGAGCACAAATATTAAATGTAAGTAAATCATTGTTCTTATATTTAAATAATTTCAGATTTAATAACTACCGTGACTAATGTATTAACCTTTATGCGTTATGTAGCCTGGACAAAGAGGACAACAAGTGCTATCAGTTGGAGGGAATACAAGTGCATCTACCAAGAAGAATCAGTAGTTCCAGAAGTTAGGGCATTTAGACTTCTAGTGGAACAATCTTTTTGTAATGATATTTTGGCTATTAACTATGTAAAGTTGTGAATGCTACTGCCAAATGCCAACTTCTAGCCTAATATTTTGCTATATGCATTTTGTAACTTCTAGCCTAATTAACTGTGTAAACTTGTGAATGCTACTGCCAAATGCATTTTGTAACTTCTAGCCTAATTTTCTGGTTTATGAGTTATGGTGTATGGTTTCTGTTTGGCAGCTTTATGGTTTAATTTTTCTGGTTTATGAGTTATGGTGTATGGTTTCTGTTGGGCAGCTTTATGGTTTAATTTTTCTGGTTTATGAGTTATGGTGTATGATTTCTGTTTGGCAGCTTTTGCTTGGTTATGTTTTTTTCTTGCAGTTTGACAGATGGCTTATAACAGTTCAATAAACATGACCATTCTTGCATAAAATGACCATTTAACTCATTGGTAGATGACTTATAACAATTCAATAAACATGACCATTCTGGCCTAAAATGACCACTTAACTCATTGGCAGATGGCTTATAACAGTTCAATAAACATGACCATTCTTGCCTAAAATGACCACTTAACTCATTTGCAATTATAATACCAACATCTCTCAAAGATGACCATATCAATAAACTAGCATTAAACAAAATAAACTTGAAAGTTGAAAATCAGTAAACAACAATGCATTAAACCATACCATGACAGCTAGCATTAATTTACATAATACAACCAAGTTGAGGTTTCTTCATAAACTTACATTAAACCATACCATGGCAGCTAAAACAATTACAACTACAACTTTAGCCATTTTTACAGAATTATGGTGCCCAATTCCATCCATTTTCTTCATAGCTTCTTCAATACTCCCCAATCTCGTTTGGACCACCACAACTTCATCTCTTAAACTTCTAACAAGCCTTTTTAACTCCATTAAATCTGTTTTGGTAGATTCATACTCTATAGGTCCAATTCCTTGCATAATATCCTCAACGAAAACGAAAAATCCACATCCATTGCCCTGAAAAAAGTACGATAATTCTGAAGAAAACTAAAACAAAAAATGATATAACAAAAGTAAAAAAATCTAACCTTCCAATTTTGGCATCCAAAAAATTTCATTCCACTATCCCGAGCTGTGCATAATGGGGATTTCAATCCGCATTTACAGTACATAGATGGCTCGTATTGGAGAGTATAATTGCGATTCGGTAATTTTGGAGAAGTTGAAGACGACCTTGAAGTAGAAAAAGCCATTGCACTTACCACTGCGACTAGGGTGTCTGTAAGAAGAAGAGAAATAGAAGAACAACGATATTTGGAACCAGTGAACGACTAAGGCTAGGGTTTTCGGAATCAAGAAGCGAAAGAAGAGCGAAGGAAGTTGAAGAGGGAAGGAGTCTGAAGCAATTTGGGAATTTGGGTGGATTTGGGTTGTTTTGGTGATGTTAATACACGGTGGAAAAGGGAATAAATGAAGGAAATAATGAAATTGTCTACTAATGCCACGTAGAATGCCACATCAGCGTGAAACCGGAAAGAATGGCTTTCCACCGGCTAGCAGGTGAAATTGGAGGAAT